TATATAACCTTAAATTTTTTATTACAGTAGACATTTCCCATTTAGGATGATCTGTAGGATGCAGGACCACCAACACCTTAATGCCACACAGTGCTTCTCTCTCCCCTCCAAGCATGTAGAAAATTAAGACTGGATCCACATAAAGGGGAATACTTGATTCAGGACAAGCCAGCAAAAGAGTCTGCTGAGCATGAGAGCATCTGTTTCTCTTTTGCATTCTGCCACAGCATCCTCGTCAGTTGCCCTTTTGCAATAACTTTTGAGTCCCACTGCTGTCTCTGCTGCAAAATTATAGAAAAAGCCTATGAGAAACAAAAGCGACCTCTGTTATCTATCCATCCGTTCAGATGGCTGCCATTCCAAGCGGAGAGAGAGAGAGCCTGGCAGAGAGAGGAAGGAAGGAAGGAAGGAAGGAAGGAAGGAAGGAAGGAAGGAAGGAAGTTCTGGGCTATTACTGTTGTGGCATCATCCTCATTCCCTGCCTGGGCCTTTGGTGGCAAAGGATGGCAGGAGCAGCGCCACAGCCACCAGCAAGGTCACTCTGTCACAGTGCCTGGCATGGAGGGAGGCAGAGGATGGCAGAGATTCAGGAGTGGGCGCTGAGAACAATGGTTGCAGTCAGGAGAGGAGTGGGAGGAAATGAGATCAGAGATAAGTGTCAGAAGAAAGCAGAATTCATGGGCACTCACTGCAAACAGGGCCTTCCAGCCTCAGTTAAAAAACAACTGATGGGGGCTGATGTGCTGAAGGCAGCAGTCCTGGGGCAGGATCTGTCTACTGGCAGTTTCTGGGCCAAGCAGGCCCTATGGAAGGATAGGCCATAGGCCAAGGATGAGGCACGGAAGGGGCACCAAGAAAGCAGCAGTACCCCCATGCAGCCCTTTTCCTGATTGAATTCCCATTATGCTTCATGTGATCTTCAAAGTTAATTTTTTAAAAATGGCAAAACATTATTACCCTTCTGAAGCACAGTATTCTGTAATCAACCCCTTTGGTGTTCAGAGTCATAGGTGCCAGTGTGGCACCTTCACTAGAGCATCACAAAAAAGGGAGCAAGCTGTGCACATGCGCATTGAAGAGGAAGCATGATGCTGGAGCCAAAAGTCTGCACCTTGCAGGTCTTGAAATGAGAGTATACAAGGTATTAGGATGAGGTAACTGGGTTAGTCTCTTGTCTGGGTGTGAATGTGTGGTCCGCTGAGGTTGTTGGGACAAAGAAGTCATAATGACTGTTTGCAACGTTACTGAATATATCAAATATAGCAGTTTTTAGAGACCGTAACTCTTTCATTTTAAGCAAGGATATAAACCACCACGAGATCCAATCAGATTTGACCTTTAAGTGCTCTACTACCCAATTTGGACCAGGACCTATAGCTGTGACGTGTGATCTCCTGGCAAGAGTTGGGAATCCAGAAACAACTGGAAGGTTTATCATCACTAGTTAAAACATCCCACTCCTCTACTCTAGCTCTGGTCCAAAGTGCCCCAACAGAGTTGTTGAGGAAATATACAGGAACCACGCAAGTGACTTTCAACCTGCTTAAAACTTGAGTTCTTAAATGCCCAAATCCTACCCCAAGATTGGAACATCTCTCAAGCGCAGCAGAGCTCCTATCCAAGTCAGCTCAAAGTCCTGCCCAGATGAGCTACAGGTGAGAAACTCAACATGGCGGCTACTCAGCCTGCCTTTAGGAATTGCTGGGCTTTAGCCACAAATTTCCCTCCACCCAACTCAGAGGGTGAATAAGACAGGAAATAGGTGACACCAAAGAGGAGGGGAAAAGTTACTGTTGATCTAATTATGGCCTCAGGTCGTTTCTTGGCCTGTAATATGTTAAGAGTTTGATTATAAACTCTTCATTGTTCACACAATCCCAAAGTGAGAAACACGTAAACATAATAAAAACAGTTCAATTAAATATACCTTGACTAATTTGACATCAGAACATCTAATTGTTACCTGGTTACTTCCAATCTCTGCAGGGCCTTGATCTCATAGGCTTCAGGGGACCTCTAATTTAATCCTGTCCTCCCTAAACTGTTTGCAATCTTTTTCTAATACCCCCCCATTATTTCTTCAATCTTCCTCCATGTTTTCTGATACAAAGCAGTTAGAAAGCCAGAGATACATTCTCTGTTTAATAAAAATCATCATCACCGTTTCATATTGTTATGGATTTGGAAGGATGCACGGTAATAGGAGAGGTAAGTACCTAGAGCTGCCCTCTGCTGCCACCCTGTGCCTACTAGCAGTAACTACACGAGGAGAAATAAATCACCCAAACCAGGAAATTTGCATCCTCTTCATATTCAGATTTGATGACTGCAACAGACTCTAGAATGGCTGCTATTGAGTGGATATTACAATTGGTCCAGAATGTGGCTGCCATAATTTTAAGTGGGTCAAACTCTTTGCGTTGTTATGGTCCAAAGGAAGGCAGAGTAATACGTTTGGCACCAGCTTGGCTGCAGGAGTTGCCAGAAGTCAAGTGTACAACGCGCCATCCAACAGTAGATGTAGAACGATGTAGGGGGTTGCTAAAAGGGACCAGGCATTTCAAATGTAGTACGTTGGTCATTGCTCTTTTGCCTTGCCTGCCTATGCATCCCAGGGCCCCATTCAGTGGGCTCATTTTAACCTATAAAGTTGCAAAACAGCCAAGGACCCCAGTACCTGGAACACAGCGATCCCCGAGTGTGCTCGAACCACCAACCTTCTGGTTAACAGCAAGACACACCAACTCATTGTGCCACTGGGGGCTCTACCTGTGGAATTGTCTCCCCAGAGTTCACCAAAGTGTATGGGGCCTGTGGTGTATGGGGGTTACTTACTTTTATATAGGGGCATTTTCTTTTGGGCTGCATCCAACAAAGCTCCACTGGCACGTCAAACTTGTATGCATGCAACAGATCTTCCTCTTCCTCTTCTGTCTCCTCCAGCCCCTTCCCCTTCCCCATCAGTGCCAGGGGGTGGGAGTCACATATTTTGAACGAGTTATCAAAAACCAGGAAGTACATCTGTGTGGCTTGGAGAATGGTTTCCAAACCATCTTAAACCTTGCAGTACTTTCACCAGTCATAGTGCAAGTTCTTACCTAGAGATCCACATTCTGGTGGTTGTGGATTAAACCAAGGTTCTGCTATGCTCAGTGAATGCAGAGGGGGGTTAAGGCCAACACAAGAATTATGACCCAGATTGGATCATCATGTTGTCATGTATATATACAAGCCACATCATAAACTAAGAATGCAACCCAGACCATGTCCACCCCTATTTTTGCAAGGCTAATTGGTCTTCCAAGAGAAACCTTCAATTAGATTCATGATGTAAACAAGCGATGCTGAAATGCAAGGTAAGAGGCCTTGCTCCAGACCGCCATGGGCAGGCATGATTCACCTACAGTACATTTGCACCGGGCATTAGTTTGACAAACATCCAATTAGAAGTAGTACTTCCTCTTCCACTTAAGGACTATGGTGACTTTGTAAAGCACATCAAAAACTAGCAAAATAATTCATATTTAGGAAAGCCTTCAAGTTCAATGAAGCTTACTCCCAGGTAAGCAGGTTTAAGTTTGCGGCCTAAATGTTCTTTTCTTTATACTGGGTTGGATTTACTCTTCCTTCTGCTAAAAAGGGCTCCTTCTATTTGCTGAAATAGCTTTGATCAAGGGGAGACTTCTGCTAGACGAAGCAGTAGAGTTGTTGTTTTTGCTGTATTCCTCTTTCCTCTATAGCCTTCAGGATCACCTCAGATGCTCTTCCGAAGGATCCCTCAACCCCCCCAGAGCCAGAGCAGCCTTTTAAGGAACTGTCAAAAGAAGGAAAAACCCTGCTTAACTCCAGTGGAGCGTTACATGAGTGGAATTCCACTCAGCCCAAGTATGAATGTGATCAAGTAAACTTTTTGTATTAGAGGTGGGCAAGTTTGAATCATCCAAAAGCTGTTATAATACAGCTATATCTGAGAAGCATAAAAAAGGAACACAATGTACATGCTTCTCCCAGGCCCTAGCTACTTCCAGAAGTAGTTACTGGTCAGTGTGAGGACACATCAAGAGTTCATTTCCAGTGTGCAGGCCCACACAAGTGCAAACTAAGTAGAAACAAGGTTGGAGATGCTTTGTGCATCAATTGATCCAATCCACCGCTTGATCTATGAAACCTGAAACTAAAGCATCCACAACACGCATGTGGCCAGCCTCTGCTTGAAGATACACCACTACATTTAGCCTAGCTCTCTGGAGCACAAAGTAACAAGTCTCTGCTAGCTTCTATGGCAGTCCTTAAAGTGCCTGATTATTTGCTTACACCCACACCCACCCAGTTCCTTACCTCATACAACCTTTTTCCAATACAGCTGACCACATCTTTGTTGCCCTCCACCAAACCTATTCAGTTTGTTCAGCTCTTGTTAACCATTTTGTGGTTGTGGGCAGATTTGGAAACACAAGAAACTGTTCTGAGCTACACACACACACACACACACACACACACACACACACACACACACACTATCACAGAGGCAAGTACACCCCGCCCCACTGCCATGCAGCCAGTCTCTTTCCACCCACCAGCAATTAGCTTGAAAAAACGTGTTTTATAATTTTCTGAACCCTAATTTGCAGGGAGGGAATCTTCCTGGAAACTCCCCAAGAAGGTCACCCACAAATGATGGGGAGGAGGGGGATCAAGGAATGTTCTCACCAGTGAAAACACGTCACATGGCATTCTTGGCTTCTAAACATTGAACACATTTCCCATTACTTCAGTCCTGCCCACAAACGTGAGGACTACCAATACAAATGGCACTCTACATCTAAACATATATATTTCCAAGTTCCACAGTCAGTATGCCTAAATAACGGCTAACAACAAGACATCCACCCCTTAAAGTCCAGCCCTTTAAAAACAACACTCTAAACCAATAACGCATAAAGACCAGCTGTAAATTTATTGTGTCAATAGTAGAAACTGGCATCATTCAAACCATCTCTTTACATAGGCTTAGGGGGTGGTCTTGGTGCAGCACCCTGGGGGGGAAAAAAGAAAGGTTGTGTTAGGGGACAGTCACTTAATTATGACACAGTTATTTAAATCAAGACAATACTCAATTGCCATCACAAGACCAATTTGATACAGGTGAGTTGCAACAAATGAACAATGCAAGGGAAGCAGTCTGGGGAGCTGGCCTTGCCCTTTTGGCGTCATCTTCAACTTTGAGATTAGGCATTTTAATGAATCCTGGCTTATGTCACTATACATTACCATGTACACAGGTGGCACAGTAGGAGCTGCAGTGCAGCTGCTTCCTGGGGCAGACTGTGGATCTATAACAGCCTTTCTCAACCTGTGGGTCTCCAGATGTTCTTGAACTACAACTCCCATCACCCCTAAGAAGGGCAGAGCTCAGGGATGATGGGAGTTGTAGTCCAACAACATCTGGGGACCCACAGGTTGAGAACCACTATAAGGTTCAGTAAGAACCCGGAGATGCAATTATTCCTGCAACATTCTGGTGCCTGTATTCCGCATTATTTCCAAACTCTTCCCCATGTAACTTTTCATTGGCACTCAATACAAACTGCAAATCTCTACTGTAAGCCACACACACAAGGCTTCCTACAAAAAAACTGGGAAAGGATGCCAGCTGGTATAAAAGGGCATAGATCAAGAACCTCAGAAAAAGCAGACACACAAAAACCCTATGTTTTTTTAAAACAGGGGATCACAGGAAGGAAAGTGCTCAATTTTTATGCTCGGGACATTTTGTTACATAACAATGCAATATCTTAGTGCAAAGGGGCATTTCAATGCTGATGGTGCCTCACCAGCTAGGAGGTTTTGAAGTGCATAACTTTAAGAACAGCTTTAAGACAATACACTTACAGCAGGCCTGAACCGGGGTGGAGGGGTACGGTCCTTCCGGGCCTCACGGGAACGGTTCCTCACCACCTTGCTGTGGATGGCACAGCTAACACAATAGTGAAGCTTCACATAGAGTTTGGGCAGCACATATGCTGGAGAGAAAGGAAGAAGCAACAGAGCTAAGTACACAGGCATGCAACGTTTGCATCACAGAAAGGCAAAATCCAGTTCTTATATAGCACCCATGAAAAGCTTCCGAAGTCTTCCAATGGATGGAGTACTGCCGGTTAAGCTCATTAATGGGCTCTGAATTTTCCAAAGGAAAACCAGCATATAAAATAGTATTTTAAAAGAAAAATATTCAGGAGCTTAAAACTTTAAAGAGAAGTATGCCTCATGTTTATTCTGACAGAACAAAGCAGACTAAGCATACAACACACTTCAATTAAGAGTCATAATGGGATTTGATTTCTGTTTTTACACAAAGAAATCCGTCTTCATTCCACCCTTCTCAAACTTTATGAATACTGTTAAATCAGAAGTAGTGTATGGAGACATAAGATACTTACAGTCAAACACACTTGCTTCCGAGATATCTCGGACTGCGGCTGCTTCTACTATGTTTCGGATGACAAACTTCTTAATGGCCTTGTCCTTTGGGACGCAGCGGGCACAGTTGGTACAGCGAATAGGCTGGACATGTCCCCGGCCCTTCTTGGCACGGCCGTTATTCCTTCTCTTCTTGGTCTGTTTAAAGAGACAGAAATTTATAAATATTAAGGTATTGGAGAACCAACATAGCACTACAGAACACAGGAAAAGCACTGCTCAATACCAAGCAGTATATTCGAAATACCTCTCACATGGGCATCTCTGGAAAGCATCAGCTCCAGAGATAGACAAGGAAACTTTGCAGCAAATAAAACAGGCATAGGCAAACTTGGCCCTCCAGATGTTTTGGGACTACAATCCCCATCACCCCTGACCACTGGTCCTGTTAGCTAGGGATGATGGAAGTTGTAGTCCCAAAGCATCTGGAGGGCAGTTTGCCTATGCCTGAAATAAAAGCAGAGATCCCTAAAATCACCGAAATTCACACCGCAACTAACGAATAAGTCTGAACGTTCAGTATACCTCTGATAAGCTGTTGATGGGGTCAAACGAAGCTAATGGATTTAAGTATCATAATGTCCTCACCTGTGAGCTTCAACAGCACTGGCTTCTGGTTCATTACGATATATGGTGACAGCTACTAGCTTAAATCATGGGCATAGCCAGGAGTGGGGCAGCTAACCTCCCCAATAAAAAAAATAAAAATGGCTTAACTAAAAGCAGAAATAATCAGAATATTTGAAATTGAAATGCTCTCTGAGATCACTTGGGATGTTGTGGCATGTTCTAGCAATGCAATTGGCAACCCAGCTTCGTGATAGGTGTGGCTTCTGTTAAGTGACCCATTGTGTCGCAGGTAGCTCATCCTGCCCCCCCTTAACATAAATCTTGGAAACACCCATGGCTTAAATGATTTTGAAAAGAAAGAGTTGCGACATTTATGGCAGTTAAATAGGATTTCCATGTTATTATAGATTTTACCCATGGACATCAGGCACTGATAGTAAGAAAGCACCGTTGCTTTTGTGTCCCATTCACAAGCTTTCCAGAAGTATCTGCCCAACCACTTCTGGATACAGAATGGGCTACAGTGGACGGCTGTAGGACTGATGCAGCTGGTCCAAACATGAATTTGGAGACCTATTTCTGAACCTTTTCCATATATCTGCATAGTGGTCATGTTCCTGTTGTGACCCACCCTGGATCAGGCCATGACCCATCACTGGAAGTCAACTTTTCTCAATCTTTTGTCCTCCAGGTGTTTTGGAGTGCAACTTTCGCTATCCCTGACCACTTTTAGAGGAGTTGTAGCCCAAAAAACTTGCAGATGGCCAAATTGGGGGAAAGTTGCTTTAAGTGATGAGTTAGGATCCCAAACAGTACACACTCCATTCTAAGTGAGATCAAATGGCACCCTGCAGTATTTCTGCTTCTTTAAGTGTTTGTTTGGCTTGTGAAAAAGAAACTAACTAACTAAAAAATAAAATGGGTTTCTTGTTACAGGCTGGGATTTAAAGTGATTCCAGTGACACATTTTTTAAAATGTTTGATACCCCCCCCAAAACCAGGTGACAGAAAGATAAGTAAGTAACGTGCTAACAAATAAAGCAGTTCCCATGTTAAAAGGTGGGTTTAATGGTAATTCCATTCTCAAATCTGGCCAGTGTTTGCAGCCTCCTCCCAGCTTCCCAGTTATGGCTGAGCAGGTGCATCATAGACAGGCCTGTAAAGGTTAGCAATTCCTTCCTCCCCCCCTTTCCACACTACCACTGCCTATTCACATGCAGCAGGGTGACTTGAACCTTCAGTATAATGGTAGAGGCTGAGGTGTTCAAAGAACCAGAGGCGTCATAACACTATTTTCACCTGCAAAATGTGTGTGCACTATGCCCACTGCCACTCACCTCCTAGAGCCACACCAACGCATTTTTTTGCGAGTTCTAGTTATTTATGTATATCTACACCCTGCCTTTCATCATGGGACTCCAGGAAGCATAGGAGCAATTCCCTGGCAATATCCCATTTAAGTGCAGACCAGACCCAGGGGCCTGCTTAGTGTCTGCAAGGTGTCTTCAAGTGCATCTTTTGAGCTCTCCCAGGCGCCAGTGATATCTCCTGCCTCCTTTTACATTCTTTAAATCGCGCCTTTTCAGTTCAGTATTAAATCTTTCAGTTTGCAAGCCCAAGTCTGAGAGATCTGAACAAGAGGCAGCCAGGGCAGAATGTGAATGTTTTCAAGCACCAATCCTGTCTCTCGCTCTTCATGGAAAGGAGGGGAATCCTCATGTTCCCGGGAGAACGTTCATAATCATCATCATCATCTATTATTTATACCCTGCCCATCTAGCTGGGTTTCCCCAGCCACTCTGGGTGGCTCCCAACAGAATATTAAAAACACGATAAACCCAGAAACTCCCTAGCGAGCACAGGAGCCAACTCCTGGGGGGCTTTTCGGCTCCCCCAATAAAATATTTGAGGGGTCCGAGCCCCCCCCCCAAGTTGATGGCCATTGCCATTCAAAAGGTGTGCATGCATTGCGTCAATGTGATCGATTATTTGGGGCGGGGCTTACCTGCCCCCCACCCCACCCAATACAGTGGTACCTCGGGTTACATATGCTTCAGGTTACAGACTCTGCTAACCCAGAAATAGTATCTCGGGTTAAGAACTTTGCTTCAGGGTGAGAACAGAAATCGTGTTTCGGCGGCGCGGCGGCAGCAGGAGGCCCCATTAGCTAAAGTGGTGCTTCAGGTTAAGAACAGTTTCAGGTTAAGAACGGACCTCCGGAATGAATTAAGTACGTAACCAGAGGTACCACTGTATTTTATTCAAGCTGCTCACCCCCAGCAAGCTAGATGAGGCGGGCTGCCCTGCAGGCAATCATGCGCACGGAGGACGGGCCCGTCACGAGGCCCAAAGGGGTCATGAGAGGGAAGCCCGCGCCAAGAGAGCAGGAAAAAGAGGGGAGACGGGCTGTACCAACTGGAGCCCGAAAGGGGGGGATATTTGAGGAATGTTGAGGTGGGGGGTGTTTTGAGGGCCGAGACGGTGACCCGGAGCCGTTAACTCCAAGCCGTTCAAGGGGAACAGGATCGCAGCTCCACCACCAAACCCATTCAAATTCCTAGCTATTTCGCTCTTCCCGCTCCCGCCCTCTCAAACTCAGGGCTTTGGCCTCCATTCCCCTTTCTCCGGCCCCGCGGAGCCACACGCGCAACTCTACCCACCATTTCGGCGCTCAAGAAGAGGCGAAAGAGGATCCGGCGGCCGCCCTGCGATCCTTATATAGCTATCCCTCCGCGAGGCGGAAACGCTTCAACTCATTTCCGCCCACGGTGACAAAAGAGGTTTTCAAAGAACGGGTTAAGGGGGCGGGGGGAGGTAACCCACCAGTGTGTTTCGTCCTAGGGACAGAGAAAGCAATGATGTTGGGCTTTCCCTCGCTCAGTCCCGACTCTGAGCCTTTTTTAAAAATGGGATTATATTCCCTTTCCCTCGTCTGCGGAATGATTTTTCAAAAAAGGAAGAAGTGGTTTGTTAAAAGCCCGGATGTTTCCCAGGATGCATCGGAAGAGGTGTAAGGGCCAACGTTCTTGTTTCAGCTGCAAAGATGCATGCCGGGAGTTGTAGTTCTTTCCCCTTTCTCGTCTTGCGAGGTAGCGCATGCAGGAAGACGCAGCAGTCTTCTCTCTTCCGCGAAGCACATGGTCGTGATGTCGTCATGCGAAAAACTGGCCTAGCCAGTTTTTTTGTTTTGTATTCTGCTTATATTTCAACTACTTTAGTGATTTCATTAATTTTTATAAAACTTTGGCTTTATTGCACTGAAGACTTGTAGCAACAATATTATTCTTTTTTTCTGAAACCATGGGCGTTGCACGCAGCTGCCTTCCCTAAATCAAGTAAATAAATAAAAATATAAGAATTTTAAGGTCTTTATAAATTATATAAAATAGATGCTCATAAATGTACCAAGTAATCACATACAAATATGTAAACCACATGTCTGAAACCCACAGAAAAGTCCTGAAACCATTTTCTCTCTCCCAAAATGACCTCAAATACTTCTCTGCAAGGCTGAAGGAAATGGGGAACCTCCCCATTGTCTCTTTGCTCACAAAGCCTGTCTCAAGGGCACAGTTAAGATATCAATAGGGTGAGCCTGTGACCTGGATTCAATAACTGAGTAGTTATCATAACAAGAGAGTGGCCAGGATGCCTAGGTAATCCAACCAAGTAACCTGGCAGACAGGATATAAACAACTCACTGATTTCTGTTATGGTCTGCCCCTTCTCTGATGTACATATGACCTATGACATATGACCACTTCTGTGATGTATGTATGATGTATGGAGGGGTGGTCTTGAGCTACAGGGTGGGCAGTTCAAAAGTCTATATAAGGGCTTGCACACCTTTGTCCTGGGTCCCGCCCCCCCCCCCGGGTGTGTGGGGGAGCACACTGTTACAACAGTTTTAATAAAGATCAGGTTTACTTGCTGCTTTGCTTCTCAATATTCTGTTATTTTCTCCTTCCGATGGAGTACCTATAAAGGACTCTATAAGGGCTTTTGTGTACTCCATAAGGGAAAGGGATCAGTTTTTGTTTACAACAAATACTTCACCGACCAATCACATCACAGATAGCTCGGTTCTGCCCCCACCCGAAACATAAATCCTGGCTACACCCATGACTGAAGCCATCTAATTTGTGTAATCAAAGGTGCTACCTGTTAGCCAAGCACTCAGGCTGTGCTTCCAGGCTGACTGCAATCCTCCAGAATTATGCTGAGGAAAATGGTTCACTCACAATATGTATTTGAGACAGTTCTAAGGCATGTGCCATGGCGGAGACAGATTTAGGGCAGCATGACTGTTTTCCCCCACGCTGGGCACCGAGTCAAGAGGGGCACCGCAGGACATTGAAACTATGACGTGCACATGCAGAAAAGGTGAGAGGCAGGGGGAGCAGAATTTTGGTTTCACACGGCGCTGCTGAAATTTGAAAAACCAAAATCTGGCCATGGGCATAGATTGCTAGGCTAGACCTGTTGGGTGTATGTCTAAAACAAGGATAGCCAACGTGATGCCCTCCAGATGTTGCATTACAGCTTCCATCATCCTTGATCATTGCTGGGGGTGGGGGATTGCTGACTACTCCTATAGGCACTCCACTGTACAGTGGTACCTCTGGTTGCGAACGGGATCCATTCCGGAGCCCCATTCGCAACCTGAGCAGAGCGCAACCCACGTCTGTGCATGCGCGGGTCGCGATTCACCACTTCTGCACATGCGCGTGATGTCATGTTGCGCGTCTGCGTATGCACAAGCAGCAAAACCTAAAAGTAACTCGTTTCGTTACTTCCAGGTCGCCGCAGTACATATCCTGAAAGAACGTAACCTGAACCTAATCGAACAAGAGGTATGACTGTAGTGCCAAAAATATTTCTGTGCCTGCAAGACCCCCTGGAAATTTGTCCTTTAACAGCAACAACAAAACCTTTTCAAAATTTAAATGATTGAAAATAGCGTGGAACAACTGACCAGAAAGTCCTCTGAAAGGCAGCCTTGAGAACTGCTGTTATTGCTGCACCCATTTTTACACTTTGGCCATGCCCACTTTGATATGCAGCCCCTGGAGGGTTGATCATGATTCATGTGTCAGTGCAACCCTTGCCCCCCCCCCCCCAAAATTTAACCACCCCAGGTTAATGGTTGGCAGAACAGGGTTTGAACACAAGGCTCTTGCAGACAGGCTGTCTTTCAGAACAAGATGGGAAGCTGTCTTCCCATGCTCCTAGGAAAACTGTTCAAAAACTTACTAGACTTCAGGAAATCAGTGCATAGGATCTAGGTGTACAAACTGCAGTGGTGACATGAGTTTACAAGCATGCAGGATAGTCTTGTTGGCTACACCACATGTTGGCTACTGGTAACAACAGTATATGTAAATGGTATTGCAGTGGCAAAATCTTATCTCTGACAAATATAGCTCCAACATTATGTGGTTGCTGAGAGTGAATGCAGACATGACGACTCAGAGATTGAATGGCTGTGTGGTTCTTACACTAGAACAACCTATGTTGCTTTATATATGATTGTAAGTTACCACAATAAGATTTAACATAGACAACATCATGGGATGAGTCTTCCTGACTTTAGATGACACTGCAGATGTGTCAGACACAGTTATAATCATTTAGCAGACGAGAATAGTTACACTGGCTCTGTGTCACATGCACAAGAAGATCATCAGAAGGGTTCAGAGTTATCGCAATAACTGAACCATTCCCTACAAATAGAATAAATAAAATAATTTTAAATAAAATTTATTTGTGGCTCAGTGGCATGTCTCAAATCATTTCTGAAATTAGCTTCAAAAATATTTCCTTTTGCCCCATAAAATATGCACACATATCACATACAATTTTTGTTTTGTTTTCACATGTAACTACCACATCTACTTGTTTTTATTTTGCAAAATATATTGACCCCAAAATGTCAGCATTTACAGAATGTCATAAACAGAATATGCAAGGAAAGTTAGAATCAGAGGTGGCTGGTCCCAAAGATGACACGGTGTAAAACATGAACAACCAGTTCAGTATCAGGGACAAATTCCGTATACACCATCAATCTGTACCTATAGTAAAACAACAGGCATTTGAGAATATGGCCTATAAACTTGAGTTTTTAGGTGGTAGCTTTATGCATGAAAGGGTATGATTTTATATTTGTTTTATAGGGCAAGGATGCATTACTTAGAACATGGGCATACTTGGTGATGGCTAGTTATTTAGTTTCATGTGTAATGATTTATGTTTCTGACCTGTTCCATCTTGGTTTCAGGTGAGCAACTCAAGTAAGGGCTAGTTGACTAATGCATATTCATCGCTTGATAACCTGAATGAACAAAACCCTCACAGACCCAACACCATAAACAGAACTGTTACATCACCTCACATCACCTCTTTCAACAGTTTCAATAGATTCATTTCATGTCTTTGTTTGGCTCCAAGTCATAAATTATCAAAATGTTAACAACTCAGTCCTATATGTGTGTCCACTCATAAGCAAGCACCATTGAGTTCAATGGGACCAACTCCCAGGTACGTGTTTGTTATGTGTGTGTAAAAATGCATCACTCGGAATCAGTCTCACATACTTCTAAGCAGACATGTTTAAGATTACATTGTCACTGATGATAAATGAAACCATCTGCATGTGTTTGAGACCTAGTTCTAGAATATCGATAGAACAAGGCCAGCAAAAGTAAAATTACACATTTAATAAACTATATCCCTGGTTTTTAGTGCTCCATATTTAAGATAATCCAGTTAAGGTCTTACAATTCGTCCTTAAAATATACTGGTTCAAATTTTGGTAAATCTCTCAGGAAAGGAAATCCTACAGTTGTGGAGCAGCCAAACAGAGGAGGTGGGAACAGCTTACTGTTCCTGTGATAATAATTTTGCAAATCAACACAGAATTATTAAGATGGCATTTTCAGTTGATCCTAGCTTGAGGGGTAGCATTATAAGAAAAGAAGAGAGATTAGCTAAGGTATACAAGGGGGGGATTCCAAGCAGCTTTGAACGTTTTCAGGTCAAAATTCAGACCCTGAATTCCCCTCTTAAAGTAACAGAAAGCCAATGCTGATGTTTCCCTAAAATGTGTGATTTCCATCCTCTACACACCAAAGATTACTTTGCCATCCTTGTCCTCTCTATAAAGTCTGATCACTCCCTAAAACATTATTTCCAGAGCAGCATCACAGCCTGTCGGTAAGCTAGTTAGGACTTACAGTGTGATTAAAATTTATGGTTTTGAGTCAACAAACAAGTGACAGTACTGAAACCCCTTTTAAGATTGCAAGCCTCCCTTGGTGGCCACTTTCAGACCACTTACAGAATGTCCTGGGGAGGCTGAAAACACACTCGATTCCAGCTACTGTATCCCCATTTCCACGTGGAGAAATTTAAAGCAGGTCTCGAGAGCAGCACGCTCAGCCACAGATGTCAGAGGATGCGACTGCGTTGAAAATCCGTTGCTCAACAACCTCGGAAGAGCAACTGGTCATCTCAACTGATTCTGTTACTTTTGGAATGGTTGTGGAAACAGGCACGGCGCGGTGCGTGATTTATTGTTGAAACGCTGTGCAGTGCAGGAAGGGAACACGGCGCCTCTTTCCGTTAAGGTAGCGCCAGAAAAGAGACCATTGGTGGGGTGTTGTTGTTTTTTGGGAGGGCGCAACTGGAACCAAACGACTTTAAACCTTGCAAGCGCCAGGATCTCGCTTTCTGCAGTGCCAGGGAACTTCGCCTTTGCCAAGAGAGAAAAGTCAAAACTCAACTGCTCCAAACATCTCATAACGCAAACACCCCTCTAAGGCCGAGACGCGTCAAGAGTTAAATTGACTGGCAGCCCGATCCTCAAACCAGTTAAACAGGAGCCCTTGGATTTAAGCCGGCTTAGTCCTATTGAGTGAGAGCTAAGCCCTGCAGAGGCCCAGGAAGCCGAGAGGCGGGGGGGGGGGGGGGAGATGCAATAGCCCAGGCGCCATCCTGCTCCGCCCTGGATTAAAAAACCTCGGGATTTGAATTTTATTAAGGGGTGTGCAAGGGGGGTGGGGGTGGGATTGTGTCTGCAGGGCTCGAGATCCTCAGGGATCCGCGCGGAGGAAAAGAGCTGTGGGGAGCGGTGAGTTTCAGGGGCATCTGGGCAAAGGGAGAAGAGCCGATGCGGCTGCAAGGGAGGGAGAAAATGGGGGGGGGGTGAATCAGGCGGAGCCGAAGAGCAAAATCCGGGTGGGGGGGGGGAAGAGGGGAAGGCTGGCAAAGGAGGCAGCCGGAGGGGGGCTGATTCCTTTCCACGGATCTCTGCAGATCTGCGTGGAAAGCTTTGCAGGAGCGGGGGGGGGGGGCGCACGCACACACTCGTCTCGCCTCTTCTTTGGTCTCGCCTCTTCTTTGTGGAGTTGGGAAACGACGGTCGTGGTCTGTGCAAGCACTGGGGGGGGGGGCGCTTCTGTGGGGCCTGCTCCATGGAGCTGCTTCTCGCTCTCTCTCTCTCTCCCTTTGTCCAGGGTCGAGGCGTCCGCCCCCAACCGGCTGCACCGAGTCCCAAGCAGCCAGGCTTCATGGATGCCATGCCTTAAATGCAATGCAATGCTGTTGCTGCTGCTACTACTAATAATAAAAAAGTGGGGAGGGGAGGCGGGGCGGGAGGGGAGCCATGGTGGGGTTAACTTAATTCCGTTAAAAAAAAGAGAGAGAGAGACACAAAAGGAGACAATCCGGAGTTTTGTGTTTTGCTCGCTTGTTCGCCGAGTGGGAGGGAACGGAAGGAACCTTCTTTCTGCTGAATGGTTGCATTCAGGGGAAACTCCCTCCAACGGGAAAGGCAGGATTCCCCCAAAATGGGGTTTCTTACACCAGATCCGACCCCCCCCCGCGCGCGCTTTGCTTACGAAACACCCCTTTCTTTAGGACTCCCCATTTCCAGCCACTCACTGAAGGAAGAGAGTCCCAGCAGACTTTTGCTAGTTTAATTGGGGTGGGCCAGGAAGGGGCAACAGGATCCGTGCACACCCCATTCTCACGCGCTTGTAGGGCAAGCTGCTTGCAGGACTTGAGGTGGAGAGTGGGTTTTGTTTTTAATTGGGGAGGGGGAGCCCCAGTGGACACCGCTGCCTGATGGTGGTGGGGAGGGCGAGCTCTGCAGAAACGTATTTAACTCCTGAGCCGATTAAGGAATCTGCATGCTGAGCCTGCTTTTGCTCCCTGAGACAATAACACCTCTGTTCCCCCCCCCCTTCTGCTCCATTCCTACTCTCTGGGCTACTCTGCCTCTCATAAGAACTAAAAACAGCCGCCCTGCGACAGAAATAATTCAGGCAGCACCCCTTGATCCATGGATGGGAGAGGGATAAACTGTGTCCCAGCACAACCATCCAGGGAATTGGGTATATCTAATGTGACACTCGGAGGCTGAGTGAAAACATTAAGAATGATTTCACCACATGTGTGCAGTTGTAATAAACTGGGTAGCAAAGATGTCCATCTGCGCATGAATTTGGCAGACACTTGATGCCATGTGTTGCTCCCAGAGAATAACGTGTATTTTTTGTATATAAAAATAAATCCAACAGATTGCCTCATAACAATTAGTTAGCACAATCAAGCCTCTTAAGAATTGATTTCCCAACATCAATGAACGAAATTCTGAAAGAAATAAAAAAATGGGGGGGGGGGAGGCTTCAGGAGTTGGACTGCTCCTGCCCTCATAAGTCTTATCAAAGGATTTCTGCTACTACAGTGGTACCTCGGGTTACATACGCTTCAGGTTACAGACTCCGCTAACCCAGAAATAGTGCTTCAGGTTAAGAACTTTGCATCAGGATGAGAACAGAAATCATGTGCCGGCGACGCAGCGGGAGGCCCCATTAGCTAAAGTGGTGCTTCAGGTTAAGAACAGTTTCAGGTTAAGAACGGACCTCCGGAACGAATTAAGTACAGTGGTACCTCGGGTTAAGTATTTAATTCGTTCCGGAGGTCCGTTCTTAACCTGAAACTGTTCTTAACCTGAAGCACCACTTTAGCTAATGGGGCCTGCTGCCGCGCCGCCAGAGCACGAGTTCTGTTCTCATCCTGAAGCAAAGTTCTTAACCTGAGGTAATATTTCTGGGTTAGTGGAGTCTGTAACCTGAAGCGTATGTAACCCGAGGTACCACTGTACTTAACCTGAGGTACCACTATATATAATTTTTTACCCAAGTTTCCCCTTCAAAGACTCAGACTGCAGACACACCATCCATTTAAAGCACATTAGCAACAACACCCCAAACCCTGGGTACTGAAGGATGCTGGGAATTGTCGCTCTGTGAGGGGTAAAGCTCGTACCCTCCAACATTTCTCCGATGAAAATAAGGATGTCCTACCATACCTTCCAACATTTTTTCCAATGAAAATAGGAACGTCCCAAGGAAAAGTAGGACATTCCAGGATCAAATCAGAAACTGGGACGGCTTCTGTAAATCCGGGACGGTCCCTGAAAAATGGGGACACTTGGAGGGTCTACAAACTACAGTTCCCAGGGTCCTTTTCTGAGGAGGGGGAATGCTTTAAACGTAGGTTGTGTATGAAGCATCACGCCCAAGCTAGGCTTCATATGAACCTGGAACACACCACAACTTCAGCTATGAAATGTGTTTTAAGTGCCAGAAATCTGCTTAACCTGTGAAAGAATTATTAAATAATACCTGTGGGAATGCAGGAAGCTGCCTATTTGTCCATCTAACCCAGTATTGCTTGCTCTGACTGGCAGCAGCTCTCCAGGGCCTCAGGCAGAAGGAAGTCGTTCTCATGGTCTTGCTCCATCATCCTTTTATCTGGCGAATGAATCTGGGGGTCTTCTGCAAGCAAAATGCTCTGTGTCACAGAGCTGCGACAGAGTAGGGCTTTTAGGCATGGCGAGGGATGATGGAAGTTGCAGTCCAACAACACCTAGACGGCGCCTGATTTAGGCCCTTGATTGTGCTATGCTCAAAATATCCTCCCCTTCTGCCAGCCAGTCTGTCAAGAGAAACCACTGGATGTTATTTCTCAGGCTAACTTCATATTGCAGGATTCTTTTAGGGCAGGGACAGAAACAAACAGCCCTAGGTACACTGTCCTGAGCAACCTGGAGGACATATGTGAGCCACAATTGTTAATAATAATAATAGTAATAATAATAATAATAAGAAGCCACCCGTTTACTGGGTTGCTCCAGCCACTCTGGGCGGCTCCCAACAAAAAAACAGTAAAAACACAATACAACATCACACAAAAAACCCTTTCCTGAACAGGGCTGCCTTCCGACGTCTTTTTAAAAACCACATAGCTATTTATCTGTTTGACATCTGCTGGGAGGGCATTCCACTATCTAAAAGGGCCCTCTGCCTGGTTCTCTGCAACCTCACTTCTCGCAATGAGGGAACCCCCAGATTAATTTTAATTATTATTTTTCTCTTTCTTTCTTTCTCAGGAACAAGCTCCAAGTATCTGAACAAGAACTCGGGCCTTGTCCGCGACCCTGCTGTTCAAACCCACAAGCACTGTCAGGAGGGTATCCTATACCTTCACAAGGGTATATGGTGCAGAAAACAGGAAAAAATAAATAAGAGTAGGAGAGGATTCCAATTGTGAGAGTAGTTGAAGGGGTGGGCAGCTGAGAGGGTGGGGATAAATCCGTCTCCAGAAAGGTAAAATGGCTGAATAGTCGCGGGATGCGGCAGCTGTGGGTCTCCGGGTTCAGGAAAGGTTTGACAAGACGACGAGGCCAGTAGGGAAAATGGAGAAACAGGACCCGGCAGGCCCAAGGCCAGCAGAGAGCTTGGACAGAGCAGGAAGAGAGAACTTTGCCATACGTCCGGGAGCCATCCGGGAGCTACCTTGCTGGGCAGTGCCACGCCAGGAGGGCAGCATACCTCAGCACTTGCACACCCAGTGGCAGGATTTCCTGAAGACCATGCAGTCCCCTCACGCAAGATGGGGGAACCCGCCATTGCCAGAGCTGACCTCCTGGGACGACCTGGTTGCTTTCGAGAGGGTCTTTGGCGCCTGCCAGTGGCCCAGGGGAGATGCTCTGACCCGGCTGATGCCGGCCTTCAGCGCGGAAGCCCACCAGGCTCTGAGCAGCCTGGCCTCCAGAGACAAGATGGACTACGGGAAGGTGAAGGCCGCCTTCCTGCAAGGGAACTCCACCGGCACGGAGATCCATCGCCAGCGCTTCCGGCAGTTCTGCTACCAGGAGGCTGAGGGGCCTCGGGAGGTTTGCGGCCGGCTGAGGGAGCTCTGCCACTGCTGGCTGGAGCCCGAGAGCCGTACGAAGGAGCAGATTGTGGAGCTGCTGATCCTGGAGCAGTTCCTGACCATCCTGCCTCAGGAAATCCAAAGTCAGGTCCGGGATCGGAGCCCAGAGACCTGCGCCCAAGCAGTGGCCCTGGCGGAAGGCTTCATTCTGAGGCAGCAGGAAGGCGAGGAGCAGGAAGAACAGGTGAGGGAAGCAGCAAAGGCAGAAACAGGGTAAAAAGTGCAGGCCAGTGGTTCTCAAACTTTTTTCTCTGGCCACACTTTTAGAATAAAAACTTGCTCGTGCCACCACCAGATTTTTTACAGACTGGAAAACAGGATCTCCTAGCAGCGCTCAATATATAACATAAAGGTAAAGGTAAAGGGACCCCTGACCATTAGGTCCAGTCGTGGCCCAATTCTGGGGTTGCGGTGCTCATCTTGCTTTATTGACCGAGGGAGCCGGCGTACAGCTTCCGGGTCATGTGGCCAGCATGACTAAGCCGCTTCTGGCGAACCAGAGCAGCGCACGGAAATGCCGTTTACCTTCCTGCTGGAGCGGTACCTATTTATCTACTTGCACTTTGATGTGCTTTCGAACTGTTAGGTTGGCAGGAGCAGGGACTGACCAATGGGAGCTCACCCCGTTGCAGGGATTCGAACCGCTGACCTTCTGATTGGCAAGCCCTAGGCTCTGTGGTTTAACCCACAGTGCCAGCCGCGTCCCAACATAGAACACAACTATTCAATAAATAATAATAGTTGTGTTCTATGTCAATATATAACATAGAACACAACTATTATTATTTATTGAATTTATATACCACCCTATACCTGGGGGTCTCGGGGCGGTTCACAGAATAAAATCGAGATATAAAATCACAGAATACATACAGTGGTACCTCGGGTTACAGACACTTCAGGTTACAGATGCTTCAGATTACAGATTCCGCTAACCCAGAAATATTACCTTGGGTTAAGAACTTTGCTTCAAGATGAGAACAGAAATTGTGCTCCGGCAGTACAGCGGCAGCAGCAGCGGCGGCGGGAGGCCCCATTACCTAAAGTGGTGCTTCAGGTTAAGAACAGTTTCAGGTTAAGAACAGACCTACAGAACGAATTAAGTTCTTAACCCCAGGTACCACTGTATATAAAAACAACAACTCAATAGCTCCCCCCCCCAATAACATTTGAAAAGGGTATAGGATGTCAATCAGATCAACCAAAGGCCTGGTTAAAAAGGAATGTTTTTGCCTGGCGCCTAAAGGTATACAGTGGTACCTCAGGTTACATACGCTTCAGGTTACATACGCTTCAGGTTACAGACTCCGCTAACCCAGAAATAGTGCTTCAGGTTAAGAACTTTGCTTCAGGATGAAAACAGAAATTGTGCAGCGGCGGTGCAACAGCAGCAGGAGGCCCCATTAGCTAAAGTGGTGCTTCTGGTTAAGAACAGTTTCAGGTTAAGAACAGACCTCCGGAATGAATTAAGTACTTAACCTGAGGTACCACTGTATAATGAAGGAGCCAGGCGAACTTCTCTAGGGAGAGCGTTGCACAGACGGGGGGCCACTGCAGAGAAGGCCCGTTCTCATGTTGCCACCCTCTGGACCTCTCGAGGAGGAGACACATGAAGATGATGATCTTTGTAAGATGATTATGGGACATCCAGGAAGTATAAAACAATGCAGCCATGTAAGAACGTGGATCATTCCCAAAATATAATTATAAATGACCATGTTACATATGTACCTTAAGTAGGTAAACAAACTCAACGAGAGGTGTGAGTTTGCAGTATCGCTTGGTGCTTTTGAAAAGATATCTGTGCATATTCGGCAAAAAAAATATTTTGATACTATACTATTTACTACACTGAAATGTGTAAATGTTTCTTAGATTGTCCTTGAATCTTTCCACCACACTTGCCAGCCTCTCTTGCCACACCCTTTGAGAACCACTGTTTCTTTCTCTGTCTCCCCCTCTCTCTTTTTCTCTTTCTGCATGAAACCAAATGCCACTGCTGGGGTGTCATGTGGCTGGGGTTGTGGCTGCTGTCATGATGAGTTCCTGCACTTCAAAATTCACCGCTGCCCTACTGCATTTAACCCAGTCCTGTCCATCTGGACTGGCAGGAAGTTTCCTACCCCGTTTTTCATGATCTCACACACAGGTTGTTTTTAACTCTGCTGTCCCAGGTCCATTGAATGGGTATGCTAGGAATCGAGGTTTTCATATATGCAAAGAACATGTCAGGAGTAAGCATGGACCAATGGTACCAAATAGTATGGGAAACAGCCCTACTAGAAAAATTAACTAATAAACTGAAACTGACACGGGGACAAACAGAAGAAGACGCCTTCACCCCGGTATGGCTCGCCTTTATCACATACACAGCCCAACAGGACAATGACAACAATCCACCAACAGCATACAAATCAATATGGCTAACCTGATCCAAAACACCCACCCACCTCACTCACACACGAAAACAAAGATCACCACAGCCAATCACAAGCAAACAATCACACCCTAGGCCAACCCCAACCTCTCTCACCACCAAAGGAACACAAGTGAACAACACAAGCAACGCTGACACCAAACTCTACATATATTAAACATAATAGAAACACCGCCACCCGACCCCACCCCCATCCATCTTCCCTCTCTCCACCCCCCCTTTCTTTTTTCTTTTTTCTTTTCTTCTCCCCCTAATGCCTCAACAAATGAAACGGATTTGTAAAAAGGTTACATGAAAAAAAAACACGAGGCACTACACTTCTGTAAAACAAGAAAATCCTTAATAAAATATTTTAAAAAATATATATATATATATGCAAAGAACACCCTCTACTGCTGGGCTGCCAGCCTCTTTGTGAGCAGGACTTTCAATGCTGTTTCAGGGGCATGAGCCGTTCCGAGAGGTGGCTGTGGATTTTTCTGAAGCGCAGAGAGCTCCGCTGGATGCCAGGCAGAGGCAGCTTGGCAGGGAGGTCAGGAAGCAAGATAACGGCGGCACCTGCCTAGTGGGTAAGACTCCCTTTGGTACAATTGGTGTTGAGTCTTACATGCTCTTGGTGCCCACTGAAAATGTGCTTCTTCGCCTAGAGTGGAATTCCATTTTCCTCTCTTCCATTTGTTCTGTCTGCACAATCATTTCAGCTCTCCAGACGGAACGATACCCCCTTTCCTCCCTCCCTCAATATGCTGTTCTGCAGATTCTCTGGACCCTCCCTAAGCCAATTTGAAGAGGGGGTGCATGGGGGAAGGAGATTAGTTGACAACACGGCACAGGGGCAAGTGGGGCTGGTTAAATGTATCCCACTCCTAGGGTGGATCTTCACTCATGGTTTTTAATGTTAAGGAATAATAATAATAATAATAATAATAATAATAATAATAATTTATTATTTATACCCTACCCATCTGGATGGGTTTCCCCAGCCACTCTGGGTGGCTTCCAGCAAAATACAGTGGTACCTTGGGTTACATACGCTTCAGGTTACATAATCTTCAGGTTACAGACTCCGCTAACCCAGAAATATTACCTCGGGTTAAGAACTTTGCTTCAGGATAAGAACAGAAACCGCACAGCGGTGCCGCAGCGGCAGCAGGAGGCCCCATTAGCTAAAGTGGTGCTTCAGGTTAAGAACAGTTTCAGGTTAAGAATAGACCTCAAGTATGAATTAAGTTCTTAACCCGAGGTACCACTGTATTAAAATACAATAATTCATCAAATATTAAAAACTTCCCTAAACAGGGCTGCCTTCAGATGTCTTCTAAAAGTCTGGTAGTTGTTTTTTTCTTTGACATCTGGTGGGAGGGCGTTCCACAGGGCGGGCGCCACTACCGAGAAGGCCCTCTGCCTGGTTCCCTATAACCTCACTTCTCGCAGGGAGGGAACCGCCAGAAGGCCCTCGGCGTTGGACCTCAGTGTCCGGGCAGAACGATGGGGGTGGAGACGCTCCTTCAAGTATACAGGACCGAGGCCATTTAGGGCTTTAAAGGTCAGCACCAACACTTCGAATTGTGCTTGGAAATGTTTTGGGATCCAATGTAGGTCTTTCAGGACCGGTGTTATGTGGTCTCGGTGGAAGAGTTAAGGAATGGTTTTCATAACTTAGAAGGACACATTACATTCTACTTTTAACATTCATAATGTGCTATTAAAATGGGTGCTGAAGAGCAACCAGGAACCAGCAGTAGGGAAGCAGCATTTTTACAGAGAAAACAAGGAAAGGAATGTTTTTAATTTACAAGTATGCCCTGTGACGTTTTAGAACGATATAAAGTGGTACCTCAGGTTACAGATGCTTCAGGTTACAGATGCCTCAGAGGCTGCTACTTCTCCTTCCCTAATCATTGGGCTAGCCCTATACAGTGGTACCTCGGGTTTCAGACACTTCATGTTACAGACGCTTCAGGTTACAGACTCCGCTAACCCAGAAATAGTACCTCGGGTTAAGAACTTTGCTTCAGGATGAGAACTGAAATTGCATGGCAGCAGCGGGAGGCCCCATTAGCTAAAGTGGTACCTCAGGTTAAGAACAGTTTCAGGTTAAGAACAGACCTCCAGTTCTTAACCCGAGGCACCACTGTATCTAATATCGTTCTAATAACGTTGAAAAGGTCGGTGTAGATCCAGCCCTAGTTTTTCTTGGCCCCATCTTCCTCCCACCTTACAATGGCCCACGGCCCAACATTGTCATTTGCCTCCTCACCCTCCAGGCACCACTAACACAGCCAGCAGAACCGAGGAGCAATTTGAACACCAGGGATCGAGGAGGGAAGACGTAGAGGAAGAGGCGGCAGCGCCCGCAGCCCCAGAGGGAGCCCAAAGGAAAGAGAAATCCCACCTCTGCATCGAATGTGGCAAGAGCTTCACCCGCCCCTCGGACCTGGCCAAGCACCTGAACGTCCACACAGGAGAAAAGCCCTACCTGTGCGTCGAGTGCGGGAAGAGCTTCAGCCAGCTCTCACACCTTACGAGACACCAGAAAATCCACTCGGGAGAGAAGCCCCACATCTGCTCCGAGTGCGGGGACACCTTCAGCCAGCGAGCGTACCTTGTCAGTCACCAGAGAAGCCATTCGGGAGAGCAGCCCTACCGCTGCTCCTACTGCCAGAAATGCTTCAGCCACCAGTCGGCCCTGAAGATCCACGAGCGGAACCACATGGGGCAGAAGCCCTACGCCTGCGCCGACTGCGGGAAACGCTTCGTCTCCTCTTCCTCCCTCACCACCCACCGGAGGATCCACACGGGGGAGAAGCCCCACGCCTGCAGCGTGTGCGGGAAGAGGTTCATCCAGCACTCAAACCTCGTCTCCCACCAGCGGACGCACTCGGGGGAGAAGCCCTTCTCCTGCAAAGTGTGCGGCCGGAGGTTCGCCTACCCGTCCGACCTCACCAGGCACCAAAAGATCCACACGGGAGAGAAGCCCTACCCGTGCGACGAGTGCGAGAGGCGCTTCACCAGGCTCTCGGACCTGATCACGCACCAGAGGATCCACACGGGGGAGAAGCCCTACCGCTGCATGGAGTGCGGGCGGAGGTTCAGGCAGAGGGGGGTGCTGGTGAAACACCAGAAGTGCCATTCGAAAGAGAACCCGAGAGGAGGCGAGTCGGCGGAGTCTCAGCCCGGCGGCGAGTTCAAACTCTGCGAGATCAAGCAAGAGAAAGAAGAACTGGAGAGCCTGGCAGAATCCGGTTTGATTCCCTCTCCCAGCTCCTGATGCTCACCATCACTCTCTTACGCCGCTGCACCAGAGGGAGGAACGATCTCGTAGGCTACCCAGAAGGGTTTTCACTGTGCTTTTATTTCTTTTCTTTTCTTTTCAAGTTAAATAGTTCCCCTTCTTTTGGTGCTGGCTAAAACCGGCTCCAAGAGCAGCTATCCATTGCCATCTGCCGCTTGGCCTGTGAACAGATGTTGGGAACCGGGGTGGAGTGTGTGCATTTTGTGGATGGGGAGAAAGGACGCAAGGAATACATGTATTCCGACGCTTCACACGGCTGAATGGCCTGCTGTCACGGTGACCTTTGGAAGAAGCGGAGGCGAGGTGGAACGCTTTGTGTACAGCAGTCAAATACACCTCTCTAAAGCAGCTGGCCTGTCTGTGTTTTAGCTAGATGCGAAAGGGACGACAGGGAAATAGGATTTCCTCTCTGCTACCTTGAGGGAGAAGCTGGATGCAGTGGTCTACTTTGTACGTCTCCAAAGGGACAATGGCATATTCAACGCCACACATTGTTGCTGGGCTGGGCTGGAAGTGAATGCAGCTGCCAGGGGAAAAAATGAAGTCAGGGGCTGGGGAAAGGAGTCAGGACCATAGCTGTCAACTTTTCCCTTTTCTTGCAAGGAATCCTATTCGAAATAAGGGAATTTCCCTTAAAAAATGGGAAACGTTGACAGCTATGGTCAGGACACCACAAGACCAATGGTTGTGGGGGGTGGGAATTGTATGTGTGAGGTGCGCAGCAATAATAATGGCACGGGCAGGTAAGCTTCCTTGAATTGGAGCAATGGTGGCTCCATCTTCTCCACATCCCTAGGCATTTGTGCAAAACCCAGCGGGCTGTCAAACAAGACAGGACTGCCAACAGTAACCTGCTTTTCATTCCTGCTCTTGCCACACACCCCTCCCCCTGATCGCACCCAGACAATATGAGCTGGTCCTGCTCAGTTAATGATATAAGAAGTGGCTTAAAAAACCCCAACTCTGGTCATTGGTAGTGCCCAATCTGGCTGGCTGCAGCTCCTCAAGCTCTCAGACAGGAGTCATTCTCAAGCTTGCTACCTGAAATCACAGGTGGTAGGGATTGAACCCAGGACTTTATTCCACGCAAGTCATGGGCTCTGCCACCGATTTATGGGCTCTGAGCTCTGCTGGCTACAGATTAGACCTTTTTTTTTTTTTTTAATGCCCTGCGGCAAGCAGGCAGTCCCAGATCAATTGCCAAAATCTCTCGTTTTAATGTAAGCCACTTTGGGAGCCTCTGTGGCTGAAGAGCGGTGCACAATGCTCTAAATAAATACAAATAAAATATACGCATTGCCCTCTGCTACCCAGCTCATTAGCAGATCTGCAAATCTGAAGTAGACAACAGATTAATATATACCTCCCCATCTCAGTGTTATAGAAGGAGAAGGAATGCATGGGGCTGTACACTGGAGGAGAGGGTCAGGGCCTGCAGTAACTAAACTTGGCTTGTGAACACTGAGATCCTGGAGCAAACAGAGCAATAGGATTTGCTTGGCTTCTGTTCATTCATCCTGAGACTTTAAATAGGGAGATTCGGTGATGGGAAAAGTGTGTCCTGAGAAATTGCCTCTGTTGAAGGCCTCAGAGCCCTGCCAGGAGAAAAAGTTAGCAACCTGCTGTATTCAAGTGGTTGGCCTCTTAAAACTATTCTTGTTAGCATCACCATTTGAATGGAACTATTTGGGTTTCTCCTGACAGCAGGCTAGAGATTAGGTTAGAGTAACTGTTTGTTGTTCCAAAGCTGCAAGGTATTTTTAGAATGAATTCACCCAAAACCTCGGAAAAGAACCGGCAAAAATACGTATGTTAAAAGAACTTTAGACAGGGACTGTGTGTACTTTATGATTCTGCAGAGGTTTGGGAATAAACATGTGGTGGACCTCACCTTTTAATCTGAAAGGTTTTTGACTTTCGTAGCTGAGAAAATAAGCTTGAAAATTATGCAGATAGGAGGGAGAGCTCTGAGCCAAATGCGTAGTCACCAGGAGACAAATAACTGGTGCCTTAAAGAGAACAATCCGAACCGTGTCTACTCAGGAATAAATCCTACTGAATTCAATTGGACTTACTCCTAGGTAAGTGGGTTTAGGATTGCAACCTACTCTCCCCATGGTTGAACAAGCAGAACGGTGAAAATGTATGCCGATTTATAGACACCACAGAGTTTATGTTTTCTTGGCATGGGACTTGGGTTTCCCCAGTACAGTTCCCACAGCCCTACTTTTATGGAACTTCTGATATATAGAAATACTTTCAAATGCGGATGATTTTAATAAATAGAATCCTAAAAATTACTCTGACCCATTTTTGAAACATTTGAGTTTGTACTCACGCGTGGCAGTTGTAAACCGTGTGTCTCACTCATATTAGGCATCTTGGGAACCTCTGTTCCTTTTTCAGTGTCCTGAGGTAAAGAAAGAGATTATCTTGCTGATGTGGTTTCAAGGCAGCGACATATAAATATGGTAGTTTGAAGTGTTTGGATTTTTTAAAAAAACAAAAAACACCACTCCAGCCAAGTATGTTTTTACAGCTTCTTTCTTCGTTAATTAGGTAGTACCGGTCTTCATAGTCAGTGTTAGGGATGTAATTGATTACTTCCAGAGATTTTCTTCCTCAACACTAGTGCATCACATAGGGAACCTGTGGCCTTGACCTAATTGAACGTGAATGGGGAGAAGGAATAAAATATAAAAGGTGGGAAGCAGAGAGAGAGAGAGATTCTTCTTTTGCCGCATCTATTAAAACGTAAGTTTGCTTAATTCTGAGAACTTGATTGTTTGCCTTGTCTTGGGCGTTCAAAAACAGGCTCACAAGAGGGTGGGCAGCCATGGAAGCGTCCCCCAACTATAGGATGGAGGATTCACAGAAGGGATAGCTTGAAAGGCTTTTTGCCCAGTTTTAAAAGGATACTTAATTTAAAGAATTTGGTATATTAGGATAAGCTCCGAATTGCACATAACTTCTCCGTTGGAGGGTATTTGGATGTTTTGAGCATTAGTTCTTTTTCAAGTCTGTTTTCCCTTCCAGAAAAACAGCAACACAGCTTTTCTTTCTTCACTTAAGGAAAATGCCACCTAGGCTAGAAAGTCATTGGGAAGCTACAATATACAACTACCATAGGGAGTTGGGAAGAAGGCTCCCTCTGTCAAGACTCCTAAGTTGGGGGTAGAAATGGACTTGCACCCTACTTCCTTTGAAGTGGTCTAAGATGTGTGAATTCTAAGATGGGCTCTATTTCAGTATCCCACACCCCTGTGACCCTTAATGCCTCATGCATTTTTCTGACCACGGTTAGAGTAGTACCAGTTTGGCTGTCAGTCACACCCAGCACTTGGGTTTTCAGCCGCTGCCTGAACTGCTACTGTATCAGACACCTGAGTTGGAAACCCAGCCAGATGGGTGGGGTATAAATAAAATTTAATAATAATAATAATAATAATAATAATAATAATAATATTTCTGTACTCAGTCCTGTGCAAATACTTACAGGACTCAGCTACATTAGTAAAAACAAATTATAAATGCATTATAATACAAGTTGACGCTGTAGAGCTGAAATTGGAACTCTATGAAATTTACCATCGTGAGCTTTAAAACGTCCCCCCCCTCCCCCGAGAATTTGTATTTATAGCTGTGTAGATGCAGCCACAGTCGTGTTTGCGGAGAGCATGACATTGCATCTCAAGGTCACTTTGAATTCACCTTTCTGAAATCAGGTGACAGATATAATAACAGCGACAGCATAAAAAAAGTTAACAAACATGAAGATTAGCAGCTCAGTTTTCAGTGCTGGCTCTCGCTCTATTTAATGGGACAAGCAGAAGGATCCTATGGAAGAGCCTATAAATATAGGTATTTGCTTATACACTATCCTTGTTTCTGTCCAACCATAGACTGGCAACTTGGACCGGCATATATGCTTTAGGTCCTAAAACAGGGGTTGGCAACCTAAGGCCCATGGGCCACAAGTGGCCAACGGGGGTCGTTTAACAGGCCCATGAGCCGCCCCCAAACCAAGCCGCCCGCTCGGCGAGTCCCCATGCAGCGTGGTGTGGGGACTTGCTTCTGTGGTGCTGGAAATGGTGTCTGCGCAGACACCGAAAATCACGGGCATGCGTGCGATCCAGCCCATGGAGGGATCTCCACTGGAGTGAACTGGCCCAGGCGAGGTAAACCTTGCCAACCCCTGTCCTAAAACTTATGAAAATGTCTCTCTTTGAAGCAGAGTTCCTCCATAAAGGAAACTGCAGTGCTAATAATAATAATAATAATAATAATAATAATAATAAATTTTATTTATACCCCGCCCTCCCCAGCCAAGGCCGGGCTCAGGGCAGCTAAGAACCAATAATAAAAACAAGTTGAATGAATACAACTTAAAAACAAGATTAAAATACAACATTAAAACGCAGCCTCATCACAGGAGGAGAAAGGAAAAAAGAAAGAGGGGATCAAATTGACTCCCAAGCCAAAGGCCAGGTGGAACAACTCTGTCTTACAGGCCCTGCGGAAAGAAATCAGATCCTGCAGGGCCCTGGTCTCATGAGACAGAGCGTTCCATCAGGCTGGAGCCAGTGTTGAAAAAGCCCTGGCTCTGGTTGAGGCTAATCTAGCTTCCTTAGGGCCCAGGACCTCTAGGGTGTTGCTATTTATGGACCTTAAGGTCCTCCGTGGGGCATACCGGGAGAGGCGATCCCGTAGGTACGAGGGTCCTAGGCCGTCTTTGCAGGTAGCAGAAATGCATACATGTATCTTCACGAGCACATCCGCTTGTTTCTGATGAAATGAAAGGGGGGGGGGTTTGTGCATGTGTGAATGAATCAATCAGCATGGCTTTGTAACGGGGTGCTGATCTAAGAATGGGGAACCAGCACAAAACTGGCAATAATCCAGTTAGGAAAACGAGAGACCAGGCTGTTAAATTACTCATGTTTATTTATAACAGACCTTCAGCCAGTACAGTACAAAACTTAACAGTAGTATAATCTCCATTACACAAATATGTACTTACAATATATTACAGATACAAAAAAGCTTTTGCAGTAAGAGGTTTTTCTTTTATTTAAAAGTGAGTTTAACCCCACCAAAAAAAAAAAAAAAGGGAAAAGAGTGCGACACCAGCAAATCCAATAACAATATACAAATGAAAGCTTGTTAGAAAGAAGAGAAGAATATTGTAGCGGGTTGGGGATATTGCACATCTTTTTGTTCTTCATACATCTGGTTAAAAAATATATAATATTTACACAAGTTAGAGACCTGGAGTTTTACAAAATTTCCAAGATTTGTTTTTTAGGCTCTTCATACAGGTGAAAGCAAAAATAAAACAGAACACTGGTTTTCTTAGAAATTTTAGAGCTTTGTTTCTCTAAAAACAAAACCTGTTTCCATTTTCACAAAAGGGGAGAAGCAGGAGGTAAGTTGTGAAGTCTGAAACAGGATTCTTGCTCCCTGATTCATCACAGAAGCAGGTTTAAGAGAGATTCGTACCATTCCACAGTGCAGTAAATATAGTTCAACAGTGATGAGCTGGAGGTCTTCATTTAGCTCAAGAACTACCCAATATTTCTGATTTTTTTAAAAAAAACAACCAAAAGAAAACCAAAGAGTTCCTGCAGAGAGCGGTTCTATTCCCACTAAAAACAGGAAGAAAAAGTCTGAACGTGGGCTTTGTATGGAGGCACAAAGGGATATCTTTACTTTTTACAAATAGAAATCAACAGTAACAAATGACCCTTTAGGTGCTTCAATTTACCAGTGTGGCATTAATTGATGCCAAGCACCCAAGGGCCATCTTTGGCTTTCAAGAAGTCGGTACCCAACTATGAAAGCCGATTTTCCTATTAATTTTTTGTTGTTGTTCTTGTCAAAGAATCACACTTGTATCTGGAAAAAACAACAACCTGTAAAAATATCTAACGAGAAAGACTGCACTAACGTATTTCCTTCCCAATGTTATATGTCAAGAAGTCAATACATGCCCCCACTTCTTGACAAATGTATCAAGATGACAAGCATAGCTAGTCGGATTATGTTTTACAGTTTTCACAGCAATATTAGTCTCTGCATTGGAAAAAAAAAGAAAGATGCATCTTCCCAGAATTTGGTCTAGGGGAGCTGGAAAGAACTCTAATCTCACATGGAAAAGATGAGAGCATTGAGGATCACTTCTAGAACTGGAAGAATAGATTATTTTAGGGAAACAAACTCCATATTCTTAGCAACTTTCCCTAAGGTGGTGTTTCAGATGCTTTGTACTGTAACTCGCCTTCAGCCCAAACCAAGATGGCTGTGGCTGATGGGGAGTTGTAGCCCCCAAAAACATGTGGAAAGGCCCCCGGTTGTGTAACAGCTGCTTTGGGGTGTGTCTCCCCCAAGCTCTATTTTACAGATTGAGATTTATTTAAGTGCCTAGCATGAACTATGCAGCTGATCTACTAAGTGGGGGAAAAGCAGATACAAATTTTGCTCTCTGCTTTATTTCCACTTCTGCTTAAAAGACTGGTCACATAATCAAACAAACAAACACCACACATAAGATTTTGCCTATGTCTGGGGAATAAGTGATCTCTTTCAATAGTTGGAGGACTTCGTAAATACCAACTTTTGTTTCACCTCGATCGATGGACCAAATAGTGCTTGCCAATTAAATATAGTGTTGCAAAACACACCTCTGTGCCACAACCAGAGGTCCAGACAGCCTCATGTACCTAGAGGAAAGTGCTCTTTGTCAGATCCTACAAGAGAGAATCTTCCTATAAATGGAAATGATTCCTGCAAACACCATTCTAGGCCTAGATTCATACTGGGGTGGAGAGGGAGGAACAAAAACATGCACACATTGAGTTTAGGAGTTTGCTTCTCTCATTACTGCTATACACACAGGTCTGCCTGGACCAGAAGATGTGCAAACATCTCAACTCAGAGATTTAATTCTATAACATTTGTGGTTCACGCGACAAATGTTTTAGATCTTTCTCTGAACGCATTTATGTGAAAAGCTAGTTAGCTTTCACAGGATGAATCCTATAAGCAAGATGCAAGAATCATCTAAAATACTGGCGTGTTAGGCGGTTCATGGGAAAAAATGTTGAAAACGCATTCTGGAAGAAGCTTTTTTTTTACTTGCTCATATACACATAAAGGGCCAAAACAGTCATTCAATGACAGGTAAATGTCTTTAAAAGTTGGAAATCAGCTTTGAGGTTTTTTATTAAATGTAATAAATGTGCATTAGATTTCCAACATCCTGCTTTCACAAGTCTTTAAATAAGCCTTTCCTGAGAACCCAAATGTGTGTTTTAAAAAATAGCTAAGAAGCAGCTTTAAGATATGCTCTCACAGATTTCCAGGGGCACAAATGGAACACCTTGAGTTCATTCATTCAACACAATTATCTTATCAAACTGCTTGTGTTAATCTGACTCAAACCTTCATGTTTGCAAGATTTGTAGTGGACAAATCCTAACTTTTAAAGCAGTATGAAGTCAAAACATTCAAAAATACAATGTATAATGGCTGGATCATAAGATGTCTTCCAGTCACATGAGAAACCCCGTAACAATTCCCAGTACAGAAGGGTCATCCCCAGAATCACCACTGGGCAGTTTCATTCAAATAATATAATTTAATGAGCATCCAAGTCTTGGGAATTATTGAGGGGGGAACTATGCCTTCTGAACTGATTCTTCGGTTTAACAATCACAAAAAGTGCTGAATACTGTACACCAATAGGAGATATGAGTGCTTTAAAAAAATCAAAATCCTTTATCCAAGGGGCCTAAGGAATAACAGGGAGGGAGGGGAAAGTACAATCCTCATTGAAAAGACAGGAAGTGGACTCTCAAGTCCCTTTAGCAATTTGGCAAAGTCTCCCAGCAGGTTCCATTCGTATTGCACAATAGTAATCTTAATGACAAGATTTTTAATATTCTATTCCCTCTGCTTGAAGCCACAAAATACACATCTGCTGGAACCAGCTCAAAATGCCTTCTGAACCTGTAAGATACAATTCGTATGCTGAACCCAAGTGACAAGGCAGAAGGGGAAAGTGACTTTGTACCAGAAAAGTTAAGAGCTTTAGAAAGTGTGGCAGAACAGTGGAGTGCAACTATTTGAAGGAAGGTTCTCACCTTCCCATCTTCTAGAGGAATCCCCCGGAATATCTCATTTGTCAAGGCCTTTCCAGTTAAGCAAATCTGTCTGGCCTTGCAAGGGGTGGCGACAGCTCGGAAAATTTAGCATTTCACATCTCAAAAAAGAAGTCTAATAACAAAAGGGCAAAACCGAACAAAACGTTGCAACTTGAGGTGTTTCTATAAGTAGAAAAAGAACAGCCTTTGGTTTATCCCACAAGGAAGCAGTTTGCTGAGCTGCTGTTGAGCAAGTTATTTTTTATGCATCATGGGCATTTATCTAAAACCACAAGCCTTCTCCCCTTGCTGTGTCCTAAGACTAGAGATACAATTTTACCCTTACCTCCCATCTCTTTCTCTCAGGCAAGGTGCTTCTAGCAGGTCAAGGTGCTGAGACGAAGTACAACACCTTGCAGAAAGGCAAACTTCCCCAGTTATGCTGCCTCAACGCCCAAGCCTTTACATTTGGCGATTACACTCTTAAAAGCAAGGATAAACAGAATTTCTGCCTGGGCTGGTAGGAATGACTGCATAAGCCTGACTCTGAGTAACAAATCCTGCCTACAGTCCACTAACAGAAACGCATCTTCAACCAAACTACAGAATAGAGGTTTCAGCCCTTCGTGGTGATCAAGGCTTTAAGACACTAAAGTACACAAAGCAAGGTTTTTTTGGCGGGATCTGCGTTGCAGAACACCAATGGCCCTCTTTGGCACCACTGATCACGTACCTGTGAGAAAATGGGAGACTCTGGCTACTGTGTAGATATTGGGCAGACAGGTTACCAGAAGTTACTTGACACAATTTTGTCCATGCCACTGTATGCTTTTACATAGCTGTACAAGACAAGGAAATTCCACCTTCACGGCTGCTGCTGTCAAGAGTTTGCTAATAGAGTCCAAAAAAACCCCATATGCTTTCCGAACACGGATCACTAAGGTTTTTGACTGATCTGTGTAAAAACAAGGCTGCCCTTCCTGCTGGGAAAGGAGTCAAGCCCCAAGCTACTTTGTGATAACTAATTCCTGGGCAACTGACTGGAGAGAGACAGAAGTCAGGCACCAGAACAACAGCAAGAAGTGACAAGGCTTCAGCACCCGACTCTAGTAGTTGCAAGGGAGGTTACTAAAAGCCACAGAGGCTTTTGCTATCTTGTTTCCTTCCTTCCACTGAAAGTCCCTTGATTATGTCTCCTAGGAATCACATCCAACAGGGTCATGTTTATTTATTCACCCTACGGAAGTTGCATGCTTTTGGAGAGAGAAGTTGGTGACATACACTCACCTAAGGGTTGAGGCTCACACCTTCTAAAACTTCCACTAAAAAAAATTGACTCTTTAAGAGCCGAAGGAAGCTCAGAGGACGTTAGCTCAAGCAACCCTCCTGGAGAGAAGGTCACGGTGAACAACACAGACATCAAGCAAACCCTTTTGAAGGAGGGCATCCCAGATTCCTAACAGCTGGGATGCAGAACATGCCCTTTAACCAGGCAATGCTAAGGTTCCTTCCTTGCATCCCGGGGGAAAAAAAGGATTTGCTTTCCTAATGCTGATCTTCAATTGAGCTTGCAAAAGCAGCACCCTGGCAAACTTTGTACACAAACGCTTGCCACCTTCCTTCAGACTAGTTGGTGCCGCAGCTCCTTCATTTTCACCAGATGCAGAATTCGCCTCCTTTTCTGTGCCCCGAAAGAAGAGACAGCACGTTTCGACACAAAGCTGTCATAAAGCAAAAGCATAGAGGTATAGAGTTCACGGGACCACAGAGTTTCCTAGTCGGATACCTTTCTATGCTGTGTTTCACAGACACCCAAAAAAGAGGGAACACGCGGTTCTTCCTGACATCACCATCTAAGTGTAACTCAAATCGTGGCTTTCCTAGTCCCTTTGAAAGGGCGAAGTTCTACAAGAGTATATTAGCACCTGATCTGAGGTTCTTAATGTCTAACATGGTGGCTTGACAAGAGATACCTGAACTGAAATTCACCAAAAGAAGCCCAAAGAAACTTTGAATGGAGGAGGAAGGAGGGACAGACATGAAAGACACGAATATCTTGCTGATGTGTACCAGAGGTGTGTGTCGTGTCCCTCAAAATGGAGGAAGCCCCTGGCAAAATGACATAAAGAAAAGGCTTACATGACAACAAAATAGCGAAATGAAATTAATAAATAACTATGAGTGGAAGAGAATCAAAAGCACAAGAGAACTTTAAAATCAATAAACAGTATTTAAATAACACAGCGTAGAAAAGGCAAATGTTATGAGCTCCTCCCCATCTCAAGTTTGTTGGATTTTTTTTTTTAAGTTAGGGTTTTTATTTTATTTTTTTAGAACATTTCTCTTTTTTAGCCAAAGTCAGTGCAACGGAGTACAAAAGAAATGAACGGCTCCATACCCGACGAGGATGGGGCACGAGAGATGGGGAGGGAGATTTGGGAAGGTGGGGAGAGAGGGGAGAGAGTTTAGGACTAGCCGACTTTATGCTCCCCTCTCACTATGTGAGAGGAGAACTCGTACCGGTCTTGGCTGTGATAGCCGCAGATGTTGCATTCGAAAGGGTCTCTGAAGCCGTGGCAGCCCATGTGGATAGTGAACATGACGTGGTCCAGGAACAAGATTCGGCAGTGCTCGCATTTGAAGGCTTTTATCTGTTCCCCTTCATCATTCACCACACGCAGGGCTTCTTTGGCTGAGCTGGGAGTTGACCGAGTGGTGGTGGGAATGATGCCCTCTTGTACTTTCGGGTCCTCTTTGGCGTAGGCCGGACTCTGCCGGCTGCTGGTGCAGTTCCCAATGACGGACAGCAGCGGCTGCTGTGAGCCCCTCTCCTCGTGGATGCTCTCAGTGTCTGTGGAATCCTGGCAGCCGTTGCTAGGTGACACCATGCTGGGCTCCCGAGATGCCCGGTACACAATCTGCGTCCCGTCGGGAAGGTCCTCGTGGCCTTCCGCAGCTTCCCGGCTTCCTGCTATTTCCAGCCTGCCCGGGAGGGGCTGAATCTGCGTGTAGACGGAACTGATGACGGGGGTGATCTCGGAGATGCAGTTGGTCGGCGGGATTCTGAGAGGGCGCAAGTGTTCTGCTCCCATGAAGGACAGGGATCCGCCAAAGCTCGTGTCCATGGGATGGTGGGCTGCCACCATCTCCACGTCCTTCTCGAAGCCGGAGCTGACGTCAAATGCCATGTCGGAGAGGCCAAACCGCATCTGCTTCTCTCCTAAGGCAAAGGATGAGAGGTATCAAAAGACAAGTTCCCTCTACAGTCAATACGATGAGCCTGTTAGGGATGGAAGTCAAATAAGAGCACAGCACATGGACAAAAAACCTTGCAAAGAAATCTCTGGATGCAGCTATTGCCGCACATGCAGGGCGTTAATCTCTTACCCCTGCCAATTCTTGTACGTAGCCCCCTCTTGTCCCTTTCAAATGCAAAAGGAGAACCTGAGAGACATGACCAACCTGAGCAACTGGCTCTCATTGGTCAGAAAGAGCCAGAGATCCCTCCTTCAAAAGAACCACAGGGGAGAGAACCTTTAAAAAGCTGAGCAGCTCCTGCAGTTGGGAGGGGGGGTCCAGACTGGGTCTTCTATACCACCAGAAAGCTAACCATCCTTGCTGTCTACTCATAAACAGACTAGAAATATTATATCGTAGGGGCTGGGGCTGGGATTAGTCCAGTTTCACACCACAGTGCTCTCTGGCTTATTTTGTATTCTGATCTTACCTTCTGTCAATTTCCCCACCTTTTCTTTCTAATAAGGTTTCACAATTTAACCGTGTGTGCAATTACCAACCACAGGATTCTAGAACTCCCACGTGTCTAGACAACTGGAATTTACATTGCCGGAAGTTTAGGATCAGAGTTGTAAGAGACTAGCATGTCCCTCCAAGCTCTGGGAGAGACTCAGGCAACGTGGGCTGCCTTTACTTTCTACGTAAGTTACAAGGGAGTGGTCTGGAAAATACAAGGTGTGTTGGTCTCAGGGTTCCCGGTCATAAGGAAGTTAAGGGGGGTCTGCCAGGGAAATGAACAACCTTTCTTTGATCTCCAAGGTTGGATAAAGCAGCCGAAAGCAAGGCTTGCTTTCCTCAGCAAGTTGTGTGCTGGCTGAATGGAAGAGTGTAGGATGCGCTGGCTCAGAGCCTGTTTAAAAAGGAATGGGCTTTGGTGCTTTCCTGCTTCCCTCCCATCTGGTCTGCAAGAGGGTCCTGGAAGCAACTACCAGATTAAAAGACTCAGCTGGCAGGACTGCAGGGCTGTTGTGCAACAGCTGGGCAAGGAAGCGCGTGCATGAGGCTTTCCTCTTCTCCGCAGCACATAGATCTGAGTCTGCACTTGACTGGAGGCAAGAAATACTTTATGTAAGAAGCAGGGGGAAGGCTCAATTTGAACTTGCTTCTTGAATTTGTGACTCCATTTTGCACCTATTAGTTGTTTATTACTACTACTACAACTATTAGACTTGTCAGTCACGTGTTACCTGAAGGTCTCTAACTTACAACACATTCAATAACATGAATACAATTAAATGATACCATGAAAACAGAAGAAAACAACTCCCACAACAGCCAAATTAATCTAGTGTGTCTACCACCTTGTAGTTTGGTTCAGACTTGAAGCCACACTTTAGACCACACTTGAAGCCAAATCCCACTAACGGCAGCTATTCCAGAGAGCATAAATGGCTGTCAAGTCCCAGTCTAGTGGTAGCTGCCATCTTGCTGCTTGCTGAGAGATGCCCTGCCTAACCACTTTTTTGTTTTTGCAATGCAGCATGGAGAGGGATGATAAAAGCTGGTGGGGCTGCGAATGCAAGATCTGATGGCCCACAGGGAAACACCCAAGACAATAAATAACACAACTGTCGGTGGTCAACAGCTCCATTGTCCTGCCACTACCTTTAGTCCACTTCCAGGAATCCAGGGGAAGCTCCTTACCCACAAATTTCTGAGGTGTGGAGCGTTTTCGTTTGGTGATGCTGTTTGCCAGTCGGTCAATGAAGGTTGGCCGGTCGGCTGAGGAGTGAAGCATGGAGTCCGGCACCATCTCCAAGTCTCGCATCTCGTCACCTGGCAAGGAAACAAAAGCAGGTGTGACGTTTGGCTCCCTAGAGCGTTTCTGCCTCAACCTTTGGAAGGCCTGTATTGTGAAAACAGTAGATGCTGACGGTTCAGGGATTTGCCGAGGGAGGAAAAGTCACACAGCAAAATCGGCAAGGATGGAACAGACTCCCAATGCTAAATTTAGTCCGTCCAATTTAGATCCTGTTCCCCAGATCCATGATAACAACAACTTTATTATTTTTACCCCACCTATCTGACTAGGCTGCCCCAGCCACTCTGGGCAGCTTCCAACATATATAAAAACATAATAAAACATTACACGTTTAAAAGCTGCCTTCAGATGTCTTCTAAAGGTTATATAGTTTCTCATCTCCTTGACATCTGATGGGAGGGCGTTCCACAGAGGTTGCTACTACCGAGAAGTCCCCCTGCCTAATTCCCTCTACCTTCACTTCTCACAATGAGGGAACTGCCAGAAGGTCCTCGGAGCTGGATCTCAGTGACCAGCCTGATCACTGAACCCATTTAGACTCTGTCCTTCAAGGCCACAGTTTCTCTGACTACCAGGCCTTACATGTTCTAGACACTAAACCCAAATTTTCACCTGGATTAGATATGGGATTCTAGTCCTCATTACCTAACTAGTGCCTGCTGCTGAAACAGATGGCAGGATGCCTTGTGCTAAGTGATCCATAAATGAAGCAAATAATAATGATGATGGCAAAAGTAACTAAATCTGCCTTTAGATGGAAATTCCATGCAGTGGAGGGGAACCACCTCAAAGAGGAAGTACCAGCTAGGGAAGGCATTTTGCATTGAAGACGATTTGGACTGTTCCACCCACACAGACCCTGCTAGCCGGTTTGGATACTTGCAGAAATTGCTGTGCGTAAAGCCATCCTAAGTGACCGACAACACTGCCCCTCAAGCTCGCCTGTCCCAGCCTGGCAGGTCCAGACTTACCTTGCTGGCCAGCCAGCGACTGTGGTTCAGTGTTAAGACTCTGCAGGTAGTTGTGGCAGCGTTCCTTGTGCTCTTCCAACGTGCTTTGCTGCTTGTAGCTGCGGCCGCAATAATTACATTTGTAGGGCTTTCCGACGGTGGGGGAGGAGACTGGAATGGAAAGGGAAACGTAAAAGGGTCCAGTAACAAAACTCATATCTTTCTCGAACCACCACAGCAACCTTTGGGTCAGCAAGAACCAGCAAGCGCTGACAGCCTGCCTGCAGCTGTAGGAATGAAAGGAGACAGGCACAAACAAAAAAAACCAACCACCAACTTTGCAAACGGTTCAGTTGTATGTCTCTGCAACTGTGCCTGCCTTGAGACGCTAAAGGAAAAGGGGCATCTTTCAGATGATTTCCTGCTGAAAGAAGGCCTCCTCTCTCCAATCGCCATTTCTATGATCATCGCTGCCAAGATCAAATATATGTGGGTTTCCCCCCCCCAGTTTTCTGGTAAGGGACTCAGATCAGATCTGAACATCCTCATTAGGCCCTAGTCACTGAAGGCACTCCAAAATGGGAGCTTTACGACAGTAATTCAAGGACGACTGATATAACTGCCCTCATTCTGTTCTTCCCCCTTTACATATCTGAATGTTACTATTTAGGGAGAAAGGGGGCTTTAGCAGAGCATCAGGAGTCCTCACTGATGGATCAATTGGAAATCATTGCTAAAAGAAGTGTTACCCCCCCACCAGAAAAAAAAGCAAAGAGGAAGTGATTGTCAGAGTCTGAATTAGAAGCCAGACCAGTGCCTGATTTCTATAATGAAATAAGCTAATGGCAAGATTGTTATATGCACAGAGATGGAAAGATACAACCCGACCCACTATAGAGGAATGGCTGATAAAACTATTGGACTTGGCTAAGATGGCAAAGTTAATGCGTTTAATTAGAGAAAAATCATTACTGAAATTTATTAAGGATTGGAAACTTCCTATGGGCTTTTTGCATGAAAGAGAAAGTGAACATGTAATATTTGGATTTGAAGATTGAAAAAAATATTCATCAGTAGAATGGCTGGATGTTAATGAGTGAATACTATATTTAGCTGCAGGACAGAGAATTGGAAGTCTTTTTATCTTTCTTTATCCTTTTCTCTTTTGCTTTCTCTTCATTTTTCTTTTCTTTTTTCCTGCCTCTGTTGTTTTTTAGATTAAGTATCTGTTTGATTTCAATGTATTATAAAGACATATGAACTTTTATATATCTTTTATATATGTTTATATCTATTTTATAACAGGTATGAATTTTTGTATATCTTTGAGTAAGTATCAATAAATATATTAACAAGAAAACACCTGGAAACCACCTCTAATCTTGGTGATTGTAGCACTCAATGGTGAAGGGAAAATAAAGACATTTATAACAACAGAAATCTATATTAATTTTTTTAATTATTTTTTTTTAATTTTAGAGACCAAGTTTGTTCTTGGTATGAGCTTTGCATGCACACGAAAGCTCATACCAAGAACAAACTTAGTTGGTCTCTAAGGTGCTACTGGACAATTTTTTAATTTTTTAAAATATATTTCTACTGCGTCAGACTAACACGGCTACCTACCTGAATTTATAACAACGTATCACTGAATATACTCAAGCTAGCTATTTTTCTTCTTCACATGGTGTACTCTGAAAACCATGTTGCAGAGCTAAATCTTCATGAATGCTTTAACAAGACAGACTTGCATGTTTATTTTAGGCTTGGAGCAAGCTAGCAAATTTATTTAATTTATACGCTGCCTTTCTATAAGACATTGCCAAAGCAGTTATTTTGCTTAACGTTCTCCTGGTGCGTGAGCCTTCTTTGCCAATTGACAGACACACATTTGCAATAATGTCAAAATCTATACTAGCTACAATACCTTTATTAGGCTACTCAAAATGCCGCAAAACAGCGTGCAAGTTTTTGATTCTATTGCTCTTGTTGGTTTAATAAAGGTTTTGCCCTGATATGAATTTTGGATTTTCTTCCTATGGGCCATGCTTTTAGTTTTCTCTTTGCAATGCTGTTTATCTTTTCATGGACTCCCCACTCCAGCCAAATGACAATTTGTGCAATTGTAGCAGCCACCAGATACCATTCACAGCGCCCATGCAACACAGGCGCAACAGCTCTGTCACATGAAGCCACTAGCGGGCAACATTTTGTGCAATTGAAAAAAAAACCTGATTTGGTAAAATGGAGCAATGTTTCAGCCTTTGGCAAGTTTCCCCAATAAGAAAAGTCTGGGCAACAGGCAGTACCTATTTGCTGGAAATTCTTCACATTGAACCCCTGCACATAAGCGATAAAACTTTTTGGAAGGCTGGCATGTTATACAGTAATAAACAAACAACAACAACAACAATAATTTATCATGTATACCCCACCCATCTGGGAGGGTTTCCCCAGCCACTCTGGCGGCTCCCAACAGAATATTAAAAACACGATAAGACATCAAACGTTAAAAACTTCCCTAAACAGGGCTGCCTTCATATGTCTTCTAAAAGTCAGATAGTTGTTTATTTCCTGATGGGAGGGCGTTCCACAGGGTGGGTGCCACTACCGAGAAGGCCCTCTGCCTGGTTCCCTGTAACCTCACTTCTCGCAGTGAGGAAACCGCCAGAAGGCCCTCGGAGCTGGACCTCAGTGTCTGGGCTGAACAATGGGGGTGGAGACACTCCTTCAGGTATACTGGGCCGCAGCCATTTAGGCCTTTAAAGGTCAGCACCAACACTTTGTGAGAGACCAGCATGGACCAGGATTTACACACAGAGAAACAGAATCATCAAGGTGAAGAAATGGCACGAAAGAGGCAGAATTCAGAACTCTTTAAAGTTCCTTGTCCACGCAACATATTTGGGAAAGGCTGAAGCGCAATGGTAGGGCATCTGTTTTAAATGCAGAAGTTTCTAGCTTCTCCAGGTAAGGGCTGGGAATGTCCCCACTCCCTGAAGTCCTGGAGAGCCACTACTAGCAAGTGGAGACAGTGGAGTCTCAGCTGATGAGTTTGACTTCCGGCCTAGCTGTGGGTTAAACCACAGAGCCTAGGACTTGCCGATCAGAAGGTTGGCGGTTCGAATCCCCGCGACAGGGTGAGCTCCCATTGCTCGGTCCCTGCTCCTGCCAACCTAGCAGTTCGAAAGCACATCAAAGTGCAAGTAGATAAATAGGTACCGCTCCAGCGGGAAGGTAAACGGCGTTTCCGTGAGCTGCTCTGGTTCGCCAGAAGCGGCTTAGTCATGCTGGCCACATGACCCGGAAGCTGTACGCCAGCTCCCTCGGCCAGTGAAGCGAGATGAGCGCCGCAACCCCAGAGTCGGTCACAACTGGACCTAATGGTCAGGGGTCCCTTTACCTTTACCTAGTTCCCAATTATCTATGAAGTGACAGATCTCAAAACTAATACAGTGGTACCTCGGGTTAAGTACTTAATTCGTTCCGGAGGTCCGTTCTTAACCTGAAACTGTTCTTAACCTGAAGAACCACTTTAGCTAATGGGGCCTCCTGCTGCTGCTGCGTCGCCGGAGCACGATTTCTGTTCTCATCCTGAAGCAAAGTTCTTAACCCGAGGTACTATTTCTGGGTTAGCGGAGTGTGTAACCTGAAGCGTATGTAACCCGAGGTACCACTGTACAGCACATCCTTAGGCTCTTCATAGTAAATGGTGGTGGTGGTGAAATAAAACAGCTCATGGTTTTTACAACATACTGGCTGCTATCGCAGTCCTCCAGCCCAGCCCCGGGGGCAAGACGATCATGGATCGGGAGTGAGGAAGGGAGGGAGGGGGGAAGGAAAGAGAAAGAGAAGACCAGGACCATGAAAACTAGCAGCCTGATAAAAAACAAAAAAACACTTCTGGGAAGAAGCTAGAAAAGGAAAAGATTCACCAAAAAAAGGAAAAAATGAGGCTGGCGGGGGGAGGGTGGAAGACGTCTCACAGAGCCTGTGCAATGTCAAATACAATTGTGAAGATCAATAGCCCTACACAATGCACTGAGAATGAAAGGGGAGGGGTGGTTAACTTTCTGCCTCTTGACTCAACTGAGACAAACAGAGAAACTGAACTGGGAAAGTTTTTAGGAATGGAGATGGCCTTTTGGAACTCCCTGCCATTTTATATAACGCAAGGGACCTTCTCTATTGCCCTTTTGACATCCCTCTTTCAACAAGCCTTCTAAGTGAAATTCTTAAGCCAGCTGGTGTCTGTCAGAAACTGAACTGAATTGTGTGCTACTGAAAAAGTAATTTCTGGAATGGCTTAGTGCCTTTCTAATTCCAAACTGAGGAGTCACGATCAGGGGTCTTCAATCCAATTTGCCATACTCACAATGGCAAGTGTTCCACTGCCTTCTCTTAAGCAGAACGAGGTGCAGCCTTCCTGGATATATAACCTTATTCTCATTCTGTGCTTCTGAGACACACAGAGCACACGGGAAGCACAGTACAATTCCATGAATAATCCCACTTAAAGAAGGAAGGTGTGTGTGTGTGTGTAAGAAAATTAATGGATGCAGTGGTGCAATTAGGTAATTCTTGTATCTGGACTTAACAGGGTCCAAGTGCGATAAGCCAGCTCTGCAGAGTTTGGGAGCCCTCCTGTTCATTCTGCAAAGTGGGCTTCTGGGCTTCTGCCACAAGTCAACCGTACAATGGTAATACCACTGAGTGTTCAGGCATGTGGAGGAATGGGGCAGGTGGCCCTGCAAAATTTTAGATCCAACCCCAACAACCCATGACATTCGGCACCCAACAAATTACTTCATAAGGAAAGTGGCCTTCAGGGGAGAAACTGGCACTCCCCACACCTGACATACAGCATATGAGTTACCCCACAACTAGGACTCTGTTCCCTACTGACAGGGAGTTTTTAAGAGCCCAGCAAAGAAGGTCTAGGTGGGTCCCTATTTGCAAGAGCCACTGACTCTGTAACACAATCCTGGCCAGCCGTGCATCTATTTCTGAGCTACACACGCAACGCCTGGTACTGTTTGTTTTAAAGGAAGCCCGTTGTCATACCTAATCAAAAGAGTGCTTTCTCATTTAAGCTGTGCTGTTAAGTTGTGCTTCACTTAAAACCGCATTTCCTCTATGGGCAAGAAGACCCTTTCAATCTTTAAATTCCATATATAAAAACAGGGAACTAAATTCTGACAGTCTGCTCTCCAAATATCCTGGGGAGGAGGGGGAGGGGAGAGAAGAGAAAATTCTGTAGAATTGGGTCTGCTGAATGCAAATTCCAAATGCATTTGTTTACTGGGTTGGGGATTGAGAGAGAGAGAGAAAGAAAGAAAGAAAGGAGAGTTGTGTACCGAAGAGAGGTAGCCCCATGGGAGAAGAGTCATCCTAGTGATCCCACGTGTAGATGCAGCTTCTGATCTATTTCTAACTGATGTGATGCGTTTGATCTGGTTTATAAATCCTCACTTTTTTGGAGGCAGATCTTCAAAGATGAAAGCAACTGCCTCACCCAGGGGAACAGCATGAAACACACATGTCAGGTTAAGGGGTGGGGAGAAGAAATATATTCCTTGCTCCCCCTTCCCCAGGTGGGACAGGCTATTTTTACAGCCGTAAAATCCAAATGGTGATGAGGACACTGTCATTTCACTCATATACCCTCTCTGCCTCGTATTAACAATCTGCCTTTCTGCACAGCCTTAATTTTCTTCGATATTACAAACAAATGTTAGGATTTGGCACATTTTATCCGTCAACAGCTGCTTATCATCATTCTCTGCCGTGATATACGGAGGGCTGGTGGCGCAGAAATTACACTAATGAAACAGAAGGCCTTGGAAAAAGCATGCTTCTGGAGACAACTAGGTCGAAGTCTTGAGGGTCCTTCTAAACTGACCATTTGTGCAGGGAACTGCAGGCGAGTTTCTGTCAATATTTATCAGACTCTTAAGCATTTTTCTCCTCTTAGAGCAGACCATACTGCCTTAACTTTCCTCAGTATTCTCTAGCCAATATCAGGATCTTGGGCAGAGGTGCCAATGTGCACACAGATTTAGGGAAGGGCTGTTGATGGCTCAGTGGCAGAGCATACGATCTGCATGCAGAAGATGCCAGGTTCAACTGGGCAGGCCTGAGAAGGATACCCTTCTGAAACTGTGGGAAGTTATGGCCAGCCAGTAGAGAACAAGATGTGACAATATCCTGATGTGGCGTAAGACACATAACCGTCCCTATCTCACCACATAACAACAGCGCTAGAGGGGCCTCCATTAGAGCATTTCTATCAGGGCTGAGGTTACTAGCCAGGCTTTGGAGACCAGCGAGTTGTTGAGGCACACGGTCCTTCCGGAGCACGGATCAAACTCAGGAGTGTAGCCTGCAAGGTCCTGAGAATTCAGTACAGTCATACCTCGGGTTACAGATGCTTCAGGTTGCGCACCGCGCCAAACCTGGAAGTACCAGAATGGGTTACTTCCGGGTTTTGGCACTCGCAGAAGCACTAAATTGTGCTTTGCACATGCGCAGAAGCACCGAATCACGACCCACGTGTGCGCAGACGCAGTGCTGCGGGTTGCGAACATGCCTCCCGCACGGATCACGTTCGCAACCCAAAGGTCCACTGTATCTTCTCCACCCTGTCTTCAGCTATGTTCTGAAATTTTCAGTCTTCAGTTCTGTTTTCTGTTGGAGGACTTGGAATATACCAATGATAAATAAGCACACACAGAGATATTCAAGCAGAAAAGTGGTTTTTTTAAATGGTAGGAACATATCCATTGCTTTAAAAGAGCTGTTTCTAAGTACAGTGGTACTTCGGGTTAAGAATTTAATTCGTTCTGGAGGTCTGTTCTTAACCTGAAGCACCACTTTAGCTAATGGGGCCTCCTGCTGCTGCTGCTGCTGCGCCGCCGCTGCACGAGTTCTGTTCTCATCCTGAAGCAAAGTTCTTAACCCAAGGTACTATTTCTGGGTTAGCGGAGTCTGTAACCTGAAGCGTATGTAACCTGAAGCGTATGTAACCCGAGGTACCACTGTAAGTAAAAGGGGTGGGTGGAATTAGTTTGATTTTAAGATCAATTTTCAGGGGAAGGGAGCTTAAGCAACCAAAACACAGTGTTAAGACCAAACATATCTGACTCCGACATAACTCTAGGAACAAGGGTGACACTGCAGAAAGTAAAGAATGGTATCAGCTGTGCCTCGCATACTGGCTCATTTACCTTTTTAAGCTGCTTGATAGCTGCACATGCTGTCAGCTGAGCTGGTTTATATGCACAGCATCAACTCATGCTGGTTGAGAGCACAGGGGTTTGAGCCAAGCCCGAGGCTATGCATGCTCCATGCACTTGAGAGAATATTCTGTGCTAAGGTAAATAAAATGCTGAGTCAAGAAAGCGCAATTCTGTGCCCTGCACGAAGCATGCAAATTAATCACTTTTGCATACATCTGCTTATTTTACACACTCTGTTCTGCTACATGGAACTTTATACATGCCAGTGAACCCTCACCTCCAGACCACTGAGATACCTTCTTCTCTTCTCCCTATTTCACCAGGCATCGCCTATCCACACACACTCAAGCTTATTTTCACAGTCAGGTAGGCAACAAACCAAAAGGACCAAAGCAGGGATTCAAGTTCTACGCGTGCACAGATTAAGTAAAGATCTCCAAAACTACAATGTCGCTAAAGACAGTGGAGACATGAAGATGGCTGTCTGCACTGGAGTCTGAACCTGCCTTTTCTTTTTGCTTAAGCAAACCTAGAAACATGTAAGCAGCATCTCAGATGCCTACATGAAATTTCTGGGCCAGGCTTTCCGGGGGCTGGGGAGGCATGTGTGCATTAGTATATACTGTGCCCACTTGAATCCTTTAGACCTCAGATGTAGTCTCACTTCAGTCTTTGCCTTCACGGCATGAATATATTGTACAGTGGTACCTATGGATGCGAACGGGATCCATTCCGGAGCCCCATTCGCATCCTGAAGTGAACGCAACCCGTGTCTGTGCGTGTCGCGATTTGCCGCTTCCGTGCATGCGCACGACGTCATTTTGAGCATCTGTGCATGCAGCGAAACCCGGAAGTAACGCGCTCCGTTACTTCCGTGTCACCACGGAGCACAACCCGAAAATGCTTAACCTGAAACTACTTCAACCCTAGGTATGACTGTACAACATGATTTTGCATAAATCGTGCAAAGCACAGAATTTAAATTGTTTTCGGCACAGGCTCTGGATTTCTGGGGTGCAGATTATAGAAGCCCAGGCTATAGACTCCTCTCTCTAGCTCTCAGGACAAAAGCTGTGCAAGTAATTAGGAAGCTGTTGCCTCTGGAGGCTTAATGGCTTCAGCCCAGCTTACCAAAGAGACCTACTCTTCCCTTTACTCTCTTACATTCCCTTGATCTAGAATACTCCCACTGTGGACTTTCATAGGTCTTTCAAAAGCCCTACAGTAACGCTTTCTAATCTGAGCAGGCTTTCAGTGGGAACCCCTAAGTTGGAAGGGCAGGATTTAACAGCTATGCCTTGTCTTTTGATTTGCCATTTTGAATTTGAGTTTTTAGTTATAATACACTGCCCAAAACTGTCAGGGGGGGACTAGAAATTCAAGCCAACATATACTGGCATCTGTACATGTATCTATTCCTCTTTGTTACATAATGCAAAACTGTTCTCCTGCAGATTTCCCTGCCTGGGGATATCAACATCTTAGCAGGAATTGAAGGGATGAACCAGCGATAAGGATAACAAGAACATCAAGGTACACCGGAGATAGTAATACGCTTTCCAGACTCTGCAATAATCAAAAGGGTAGGTAAGCTAGAAACAACTTCTCTGAAAAGCTAAGAAGGTTCAGGATAGGGTTCCGTTACACAAACGGCCTATGGCAATGTAAATGTTAATTTCAAGTGGTTTGATGAAAGAATGCATGGGTTATCCAACTCAACTAGTGCATGATTAAATGGCGTAAAAGGTAAAGGTAAAGGGACCCCTGACCATTAGGTCCAGTCGTGGCTGACTCTGGGGTTGCGGCGCTCATCTCGCTTTATTGGCCGAGGGAGCCGGCGTACAGCTTCCGGGTCATGTGGCCAGCATGACTAAGCCGCTTCTGGCGAACCAGAGCAGCGCACGGAAACGCCATTTACCTTCCCTCTGGAGCGGTACCTATTTATCTACTTGCACTTTGATGTGCTTTCGAACTGCCAGGTTGGCAGGAGCAGGGACCGAGCAACGGAAGCTCACCCCGTCGTGGGGATTTGAACCGCCGACCTTCTGATCGGCAAGTCCTAGGCTCTGTGGTTTAACCCACAGCGCCACCCACGTCCCTCTAAATGGCATAAGGAGGCCATAATTTAAGCTATGTTCTGGGGCTGCCACATGCACAGAACACTGCAAAGTTGGCAGATATATTGCACACTACACATCAGCAGCACACGGTATGGTGGGGCTTTAAAAGAGAATTAGACGAATTCATGGAGGATAAAGTGATCAATGGTTACTAGTCATGATGGCTGTGTTCCACCTTCACTGTTGCTGAATGTCTCTGAGTACCAGTTGCTAGTCAACCAATTGCAGTTGAGCAGGGTGCTGTTGTGCTCAGCCTTGCTTGAGTGCTTCCTAGAGGCACCCACTGGCCACCAGGATTCTAGTCTAGATGGGTCATTGGTCTGATCCAGCAGGCTTTGCCCCACCCCCACCCCACCCCCGTGTCTGCTACTGACTCACATTCTAAATTTGCTTAAAGCATTTCCAAAAAAGAAAAATGCTTCCATCAAAATTGTGGTGGAATTAAGAATTGTACTTTTGTGTGCACATGTGTGTATGGGGAGGTGCCCGTAGTTCTTTCTCTCTGATCTCTAGCCATGGCACTAAAATCCCTAGGGACCCTTAGAGAACAGCCATAATAGCTAACTGTCATGTATATACTTAATAAAAAAGGTAAAGGACCCCTGGATGGTTAGGTGACTATGGGGTTGCGGTGCTCATTTTGCTTTTCAGGCCGAGGGAACAGGCATTTGTCCACAGACAGCTTTCCGGGTCATGATGAAATCGCTACTGGTGCACGAGTGCCAGAGTGCACGGAAATGCCATTTACCTTCCCGTCGCAGCAATACCTATTTATCTACTCGTGTTCATATACTTGCGAACTGCTAGGTTGGCAGAAGCTGGGACGGAGCCACGGGAGATCACCCCATCGCATAGATTCCAACGCCGACCTTCTGCTCAGCAAGCCCAAGAGGCTCAATGGTTTAGACCACAGAGCCACCCGTGTCTCTGGTCCCAGTTCCAAAGCAAGTTAACTAGGTACTGCTGCAGTGGGAAGGTAAACAGTGTTTCTGTGTGCTCCGGCACTTGTCACGGTGTTCCGTTGCATCAGAAGTGATTTAGTCATGGTGGCCAAATGACCCGGAAAGCTGTCTGTGGACAAACGCCGGCTCCCTCAGCCTGAAGTGAGATGAGCGTCGCACCCCATAGTTGCCTTTAACTGGACATAACCGTCCAGGGGTCTTTTACCTTTTTAACTATATACTGAATAACAGCAATTGTAGCAGTTCAGCTAACCAGCTGCTGGTGTTTAGCCTTCTTCTGGGCTTAGGTTTGCCCTTTGACTAGCAGGGAATCTCAGTGAAACACAGTTTTATACTATAAGCCTTGGGAACAAGGGTACACTTGTCTTGTTAGGCCTCAGATACAGTTTTCCACCCTGAGCCTTTTGGGACAAGCACAGTTTTAAATAGATGGGGAGTGGGAAAGAGACATGTACAAAAGGATAAAAAAGGAAGTCAAATGACAATCCTACCTACTTCTGCACTCTGGGATATTTCATTTCAGTGTCTGAAAAAATGGTACAATTGGGTACAGGAAATTAGCAAGCAGTTGTAGCATCCCCTAATAAGTATACTTCAGGTTGGCTTAGGGCTCCTTGAGATACCTCAATACAAAGACATTCCCTGCACACAGAAAACATGCATGTCAGGGACAAGTCTAGCGTTTGGCACTGAGGAGCAGTCACATGAGCCCCCACCAGCAGTCACAAGTGGTACAGGCCAGGCACAGGTTTGCCACCTAATTAGGATTGAGGAAAAGAGAGAAATGGAAGCAGAGAGGTAGGATGGGATACCACCTTAGCTGCTAAGGCTTAGCACTTCCATGATGGCCCATTGTTTGTATTTAAGAAGGTTGTTCTAAGAAAATTCCTGAGCATCTGGTCTACTGGGGCTGAACAGAGATATTTCCCCAAACCTATCTGGAACCTCAGATGACAAAACTCTTCTGCGTTAACAAACTTTTCAGCAGGGTTGTGGCGGCTAAAGATTACAGCCTGGTTCTTTATCAGGTGAGGCAGTCTTCCTCTGAAGGCAGGACCTTGACTTAGCTGACGTTTCATGTCAGCTCCCACAATCCATCTGGCTGGCCCTTCAGGGTATTTTCTGATGCTCCGGCATACGATGACCCCGAAAGTGCTCTTTGCAGAGGCAGCGTCTCACTCGGTGGCAAATGCCAACACCTTTTGTTTTGCGACTGAGCGAATCCCCCAAACTGCAAGTTCTCTCTCGGTCTCAAAAAACGATACGTGCAAAATAGTTCTGAGCCCGTACTAAGCACCATGGAGACCTACTGGCACCCCCCCCCGAAGGGTCGGAATCAGAGGAGCTGTCGCCACTGCGAACTGTCGCCAGGAACCACCCAAGCGGAAGCTGGTTGGGGGAAGTGACAACTGATTTTGATTGCTCCAGACTGAAGGACTCTTCAGGAAGGCCAGAGGCCTTGGGGCACAGAGCAGCAGCATCCCAGCAATGCACAGTGATCTGTGAAGAGAGCTGTCGTGATTCCACGGCATCCCTCAACTTCCATGCAAGCTTGCGGGGGGGGGGGGATGACAACAACATGCTGATCTCCTTTGCTCACAAAATAGCTAACTAGGGCTTCCTAAATAATGCAAAAAGAAACTTTTTTTTCAGGGAGGGAAGTTCGGCGCGTGAGAGAAGAATTTTGTTTGTGTTAAAAAGCCCCAAAGCACTGCAGAAATAGAAGCTAAGAGAAAATAATATATGCTCAGCAGGTGGGCAGATTTCCCTCTCTCTTTCCTGCCCCCTCTGCCCCCCCCCCCCGCTCACGGCACGCCAACTGCTACAGTAAAAAACCTTAGACTAAATTTAAAGAGCCACATCACAAGTATCGTGGGTTAAGAGGCTGATGACAAACTCACCAGTCCATCTTCATGCCAACCGTCCACACAAATCCTACACATCTCTACACAAATAAGGCACCCTATTGACAAACCAGTAACCCACAGAAAGCCAGCAAGGAGTTGGATCCAGCAGTGCAAGATAAGAGAATAAAAGCAGCCCAAAGGTCTAAATGATGGGTAGGCAAACTAAGGCCCGGGGGCCGGATGCGGCCTAACCATCTTCTCAATCCAGCCTGGAGACGTGTTTTTACATGAGTAGAATGTGTCCTTCTATTTAAAACGCATCTCTGGGTTATTTGTGGGGCATAGGAATTCGTTCATATTTTCCCCCAAAAAATATAGTCCAGCCCCTCACAAGGTCTGAGGGACAGTGGACTGGCCCCCTGCTGAAAAAGTTTGCTGACCCCTGGTCTAAATGATCCAGCAATCTCTTTCCCATAATGGCCAACCAGATGCCTATGGAAAAAAATTGCAAGCAGGACTAAATTGTAGTAACAGAGGAATACTACACTGATACGGAAGGAAATATAACCCCTGTCATGACTAGTAGCCACTGATAGTCTTATTCTCCTTTTAAATCCATCCAAGCTGGCAGCTATCACTACTTTCATAGAATTGTAGAGTTGGAAGGGACCGTGAGGGTCATCTAGTCCAACCCCCTGCAATGAAGGAAACTTTTTGCCCAGTGTGGGGCTCAAACCCACGACCTTGAGATCTCATACGCTACCAACTGAGCAATCTCCTCATTTGCTTCCCTACCCCATGTCTTTTTTCTAAGCTAGAAAGTCCCAAACAGTGTAACCTTTTTCTTATAAAGGAGTTGCTCCAGTGCCTTGATCATTTTGGTTGCTTTTAAACTTAATTTCTCATTTTTAAAAATATCCCTTTTGAGGAGTGGTGTCCAGAATTACATGCCCAGCATTCTAGGTGTGGCTGAACCATAGATTTGCATAAATATGCTATGACAAAATACGCTAAGTTTTATTTTCAATGTAATTCCTTTCCTACTGAAGTAGATTCTAAGTTTAAGAATTTTGTTTAGATATTCATTCCCCGCCGCCTTTTATATAAGTCACAACTTTGAGAACTTATACAGATCTTCAGCTGAACTTTAATTGCTGCAATTGAGGTTTTATTCAGGTGCAACATGAGGTCATGTTAATCCATAGGATTAAGGACAGAGTAGGCTCAATCTAAGAGATTACTAGGACCAACAGGTAAAGCTTGATAAAACTGCCATTAAGATAATGCGGAGTCAACAATATGAAGATTTCCAGGGTCAGTTAGAGAAGAACCTGAATGACGGGAATGTTCCTAAAAACCAGAGAATGGTGTGAAGACAGTTCCACCTTCAGAGTTGAAGGAAGGGTGGGATACAGATGTAACAAGTAAATAACATCTGTTAGAGAGAAAGAAATCATAAATGGGTGGATCCAGATTAGAAGGCAGGCACTGGAGGTGATGGAACGGAATGGTTGGATGGCTGTGGGTTGCCAGGGGCTGGACTGAGGTGGAATGGTGGGGGCTGTCCCCACCTTCTCCTGAACCTTCCCGAGAACAGGAGGACAGTATACCGTATTTTTCGCCCTATAGGACGCACTTTTTCCCCTCCAAAAATGAAGGGGAAATGTGTGTGCATCCTATGGGGCGAATGCAGGCTTTCGCTGAAGCCTGGAGAGAGATGCGCACCAACCCCTCTCGCTCTCCAGGCTTCAGGAGAGCCCCACCGCCAGCCCCACAAGCTCGGGGGACAGCGGGGAGGCGCAGCGCGCCTTTCCCGCTGTCCCCCGACTTGGTTAGAAGGCTGGCGGGGGTGAGAAGCCTGCTCCTCCCCATCGCCAGCCCCGCAAACTCGGGGGACAGCGGGAGGCGCAGCATGCCTTTCCCGCTGTCCCCCGACTTGGTTAGAAGGCTGGCGGGGGGGGGGGACTTCCGGGGTGGCGCCTCCGGAAAATGGCGGAATTCCCTTCGGACTGAAGGGAACCCGCTGCACGGAGGCTTGGGGCCAGCCGCTACGGCCGAGCGGGGACCCACAAAAACCCCAGGCGGCAGAAGCCTGTGGACGGGGGCCGCCGCGGGGACCGAGAGCGCTCTCCCCTGGTACAGGAGCCCGGTAACGGGCTCCGGAGTGGGAGGTGCGTGGTGCTGTGAGTCGTCTGCTTCCTCCATGCAGCAAAGCCGCACTGCCGTTATCGGAGAGCGCTGCCTTTTCCTGGACAATTTGGCATCTAAAATATCTATCCGTGAGTACCTGATCTTGGAAGAGTTGAACCACTTTTAAGACTGGTGAATAAACAAATAATATTGGACTTGAAATTGAACTTAATTGGGACTCGGAATGGGAAGGTCTAAACAGGAAGTCGCCTTCCGTTCTTTTGTTATGTGAAGAAAGCAAAGACAAAATATACTAAAGCTTGAAAATTAAATTCTAAGAGAACTAGAATTCAACATCTAAGATTTCTAGACCCCCTTTGACTGCAGGAGAAGAAGGGGTTGTATTTGGACTTTTCAATCCTGCGGAAGTGAGTTTAAAATAAAGCAATTTTCCACCGCCCTGAACCAGGAGCGGGCTGTCAGAATTGACGTTCTGAAGTTTATCCAGCTCGACAGTTAGTTAAAAGAAGGGTAACATTTTGATTCTACTGTTGCCTCTTGAATTTGGAAGGGGAATTTTGGATAAAGTGTTTCTGGAAAAGAAAGATTGTTGCTGTTGCTTTTATTCCTTTAAAAAAAAAAAATTCCATCTAGTGGAATTTAGTGAAATTACAACGCAGAGAGATTAAAAGAGAAGGACTATTGGACTATTTTCGTGGGAAAGAATTTTCTTTGACCTTGAAGGACAATGCTAGTACAAAGGCTTGAACAATTGTTCCTGGAAGGTTTTTCAAAACTAAGTGCCCAGCTGGACCAGATGCGTCAGGAGACGACCTTGATGATGGAAGTTACCAGAGCACAGCAGCAAACAAATGAAATTCAGTTAAAGGCTATACAAGCATATGAACCTGCTGTAGTGACGGAGGCTTCAGAGATGGAGGGACCTTTGGACGGGCAAGATCAGCCTTTGAACTTGATAAATGAACTTGGGACAAACCAGATTCGGAAAGATGAAATGTGGTCAGATTTGGAAATGGGGGGATGGATCGACCCCCCTCCATATGGTTATTTGGACTTTCCGAATCTGGTGATGGGCTATCAGAGGATTGGAGTAGCCGAAGTCTCCAAGCTTTGTGGAAATTTGAAGTGGTATTATTTGCTGTCTGGCTTGGGCAATGGGTTTGGGATGGACTTGCTGCAAAGGGTCAAAAGCATTTTCTTGCTGGAGCATCCACGACTGGAAAGGAATCATCAACAAGAGTGGCGAAAGGGGCAAGAAAGAGACTTGAGGGCCTCGGATACGAGACAACCAGGTTAAGGAGCCGGATTATCGAGATTAAAAGGACTGATAATCCCGGGTCCAGGGGAGGGGAGGTTGGAAGCTGACTGAACTGAATTTGACTTATTATTTTTTCTTTTTTCTTTTTTAATATTGGGAATGCTTACAAATGTTTGAAGGATGTTGAATGAAATTACATGGCTTAAGTAAGGATTGGTAAATGATTCGTAAAAGGTAATGATGCAAGAATTTGGTAAATATTGAATATAAGCTATGAGTTTTAAAGTTTTTATATGACAAGAGGGAAAATAGAATAAGGAAATGTAATGACAGATTGTTATGAAAAAACAGAAAGGATTTGCTGTAAAAATTAAAAATTAAGAAACAAAAGAGGGGAGGAGGAGGAAGTCTAGAAAGGAAGTCAATAGAGATTGTAAAGGACTTTATATTTTTGTTTTTTTGTTTCTCTTTTTTTTTTCTTTGCGGCTGGGTTTTCTTTTCTTTTTTGTTTATGTACTATTTTTGTTTTTTGTATCCTTAAATTTTTTTTTGGAAATTTTTGTTGTTATTTTTTGAAAATTCAATAAATATCAATTATGAAAAAAGAAGGCTGGCGGGGGGGAGAAGCCTGCTCCTCCCCATCGCCAGCCCCGCAAACTCAGGGGACAGCGGGAGAGGCGCAGTGCGCCTCTCCTGCTGCCCCCCAACTTGGTTAGAAGGCTGGCGGAGGGCTTCCCCCTCCTCCAGCCCCGCAAGCTCTCAGAGCCATGCCAAAGCTGCAAGCAGCTTCGGCATTGCTCTGGGTCCCGTTCTGGGGGCTGGGGGAGGGGGAGGGGGAAGCTCGGGCTCCCCCCTCCTCCAGCCCCGCAAGCTCCCAGAGCGATGCCAAAGCTGCACGCAGCTTCGGCATCGCTCTGGGTCCCATTCTAGGGGCTGGGGAAGCTTGGGCTTCCCCCGCCCCAGCCCCGTGCCTGGGGAGGGAAATAATTTTTTTTCCTTTATTTCCCCCCCAAAAATCTAGGTGCGTCCTATGGGGTGAAAAATACGGTAGATTTAGAACAGTGGTTTGCAGAAGGACATAGTTCAGAGGCTGCAGAGTGGAAAAGCTGAGAAATGTTGGGAGAGGAACAGCAGGAAGAAGCAGCACCGGGGGCGCGACAGCTGACAGACTCAGTGTCTTTGGAAAGCGTTCCTAAGCCCCCCTCTCCCAGGACTAGGATGGTATTCAGAGTAGTAGAACAGAAAGCTCACAGGCAGAAAACTCAAATTAGCCGGCGCAGGGATGATGTAGAATAGGAGAGATGGAATGGGTTGGAATTTACTCGGAGCAATGCCATTATTTAATAGAGACTGCATTCCTTCGTCTCTCTCTGTGAATACTGAATAAATTACTTGGTAAGAACTATTCCTTTTTATCTGCTTTTTGGCTGCCACCGGGGGAGGGCTTCCCTGAAGCTTGACATGGGTGGTCACTGTGGTCTACCTCCCTTTAAGAAGAGGTGACTCCAACAAGCAGAGGTTTGGGCCGAGGGCAAAGAGCAAGAGATAGTTCTACCAACCCACCAAGGCCTACCTTGCTATAACTATTTATTTTTTGTCTAAGAAATTTATATACTGTATTTCTCGCTCTATAAGACGCACTTTTCCCCTCCTAAAAAGTAAGGGTAAATGTGTGTGCGTCTTATGGAGCCAATGCAGGCTGCGCGGCTATCCCAGAAGCCAGAACAGTGAGAGGGAGCGCTGCGCCACGCTCCCTCTTGCTTTTTTTTTTTTAAAATATTTTATTAAGGATTTTCTTGTTTTACAGAAGTGTAGTGCCTCGTATTTTTTTTTCATGTAACATTTTTACAAATCCGTTTCATTTGTTGAGGCATTAGGGGGAGAAGAAAAATGAAAAAAGAAAAAGGGGGGTGGAGAGAGGAAGATGGATGGGGTGGGGTCGGGTGGCGGTGTTTCTATTATGTTTAATGTATGCAGAGTTTGGTGTCAGCGTTGCTTGTGTTGTTCACTTGTGTTCCTTTGGTGGTGAGAGAGGTTGGGGTTGGCCTAGGGTGTGATTGTTTGCTTGTGATTGGCTGTGGTGATCTTTATTTTCGTGTGTGAATGAGGTGGGTGGGTGTTTTGGATCAGGTTAGCCATATTGATTTGTATGCTGTTGGTGGATTATTGTCATTGTCCTGTTGGGCTGTGTATGTGATAAAGGGAGCCATACCGGGTGAAGGCGTCTTCTTCTGTTTGTCCCCGTGTCAGTTTCAGTTTATTAGTTAATTTTTCTAGTAGGGCTGTTTCCCATACTATTTGGTACCATTGGTCCATGCTTACTCCTGACAGGTCTCTCCAGTGTCTGGTTATGGTGTTTCTGGCTGCTGAGAGCAGGTGGGTTATGAGTTCTTTGTGGTGTAAATGGCACGCTCCCTCTTGCTGTTCTAGCTTCTGGCTTAGCCGCGCAAAACCTCCACAGGGCACGGGGAGCCTTCATCCCGCTGCCCTGCGGAGGCTTCGCGCAACTATCCCTGGCTTTTGCGGGAGGTGGGGGAAGGGACAGAGCATGCCGCCCGCTCTGTCCCTTCCCCCACCTCCCGCAAAAGCCAGGGATAGCCGTGCTCCCTTTAAAGAACCGCACGGAGGGAAAAGCCTGCAAGCGCCGCACACACGCTCCGCATGGCTCGTGAAAGGGAGCGCTGAGCAGAGCCTGGGATGCATATAGGCTCTGCTCAGCGCTCCCTTTAAAGAATCTTTTTTTTCTTGCATTCCCCCTCCAAAAACTAGGTGCGTCTTATGGTCAGGTGCGTCTTATGGAGTGAGAAATATGGTGCTGCTTAATTATATACATTTCTAAACACTGTACATAAAACAATGGGACAATAAAGAAAAGAAAATACCCATAAAACTGAACTAGAGCAGAAGTGCCTCGTGACCCACCTGAGTGTGTTCGGAGGTGCCCCGTGAGTGCGTCTCTCCTCCGACAGGCATAGTTACAGAAGGGACATTTGAAGGGCTTCTCGCCCGAGTGCAGCTTGATGTGGCGCAGGAGGTTGCCCTTTTGGGTGAAGGAGGCACCGCACTGATTGCAATGGAATGGCCTCTCACCTAGGAAGAAGAAGAGGAGCGCATTGGGATGAGTATCCAGAAAGGTTAGCCTCGATCCTTGCTTTCACTGATGAACCATGACCCCCAGTTCAAACATGCTGATAAACTGAGTTTAAAGGAAGCAAACAGACTCGGGGTTGTATTCAGTGTAGTGTTAAATGGTGCAGGTGGCACTGTGGCCTAAACCATGGAGCCTCTTGGGCTTGCCGATCAGAAGGTTGGCGGTTTAAATCCCCGTGATGGGGTGAGCTCCCGTTGCTCGGTCCCAGCTCCTGCCAACCTAGCAGTTCAAAAGCACACCAGTGCAAGTAGAGAAATAGGTACCACTGTGGCAGGAAGGTAAACAGCATTTCTATGCGCTCTGGTTTCCATCACAGTGTCCCGTTGCGCCAGAAGTGGTTTAGTCATGCTGGCCACATGACCCGGAAAGCTGTCTGTGGGCAAACGCTGGCTCCCTCGGCCTGAAAGTGAGATGAGCACCACAACCCCATATTCATCTTTTGACTGGGCTTAACTGTCGAGGGGTCCTTTCCTTTTTTTTAACCTAAGTGGACAGTTCCATTGGGGCAAGGATTTCTCATTGCGCAGCAGAACTATCTTCCCCTCTGCTCCCCCCCCCCACTTCCTAAATCCATTCTGGGGAATCCTCCAACTCTCTGGAAGAGGAGAGGGAGGAAGTCCCATTCTGCTAGTGCCAATCCTTGTGCTAGCACAATTATTTCATTTAACACTGTCCCCCTAGGTCCTCCATGGAGCTGTTCAGGAGCAAGCATGAGTGCTCCCAGCTCATGCATCTTGCAGAAAACCATGGTTTAGCATGACACGTGGATGTGTGAAGTACTCTGAATGCACCTGGATTGATCTAACACCCAGTCTTGTAAGGAAAGAGCTATAAAGCGGTTCAGAGCCTTATTAGGCTAAAGAGCCTGAGTGTGACACATAGAACCTTTTAGACCATTGAGACTTAAAGCACTATACAAGCGCAAAGCTCATGCATCAGCCCTTACGGTTACCAGCAGCCATGCCTGCTCACCGGTGTGGCTGCGCTTGTGCACCATCAGTACGTTCGGGCCAATGCACACCATCCCACAGATATCACATTTCAGCTTGCCGTTGGGTAGCCGGATGCCGCCAGGGGAATGTGGCTCTTGCCCTGTCCCGTCACAGTAGCCGAGTGGCTCAGAGAGAGAATCCTCCACAATCACGCTGTCCTCTTTTTCAATGAGCCGGTCGTCATGCGACAGCAGCCGGCTTGATTCTTCATCACTGTACATTTCCACCTTGATAGAATTTGCTATGGAGGGAAAAGATGTAAAAACAAAACAAAAAAACAAAGCACGTACAGGTTTGTGACAAGTATTTGTAAACAGTTAACTTTTTTTAAAAAAAAAGTTGTTATGGTCCAGGAGAGTGAAAAGAGACTTCTAAAAAATAACCATCAATAATTATTAATAGATCCTACTAGCATCTAGGGCCAGGTGCTTGGGGAGCATGATAGAAATTTCTAAAATTATGTATGATGTGTGTGTTGGGGGGGGGAGATTTATCCTTCTTTCCCACTATTTTAGATCACCCCTTGACACTGATCGGGAGCAAATTCAGCACAAACCAATGGAGTATTTATTCAGAAAGTGCATCATCAACTTATGGGATTCAGCGTTACAAGAGAGCCAGTGTGGTGTAACGGTTAGAGTGTGGAACTAGGACCTGGGAGAGCAGGGTTCGAATTCCCGCTCGGCCACGAAGCTCACTGAGTGACCTTGGACCAGTCACTATCTCTTACCCTAATTCACCTCACAGAGTTGTTGTCAGGATGAAATGGGGAAGAGGAGAACCATGTGCACCACCCTGAGCTTCTTGGAAGAGAAATGTGACATATAAACGTAATAAATAATATAAATAAGCCATTAGTTTAGAAGGAACTTTAAAAAGGGATTAGACAAATTCATGGAGGCCAGGGCTATAAATGAGCATTACCGTATTTTGCGCTCCATAGGACGCTCTGGCCCATAGGGCGCACCTAGGTTTTTTGGGGGGAAATAAAGAAAAATATTTTTATTTCCCCCCCAGGTGCGGGGCTGGAAGAACTAGGTCGGGGAACAGCGGGAAGGTGCGCTCTGCCTCCCCGCTGTCCCCCGAGCTTGTGGGGCTGGCGATGGGGAGAAGTGCGCTGATCCTGGGACTGCAGGCAGCTCTGCGCGGCCATCCGGAGCGGGGCGGGACTTCGCGCCCGGCTCCTGGTGGCCGCGCCGAGCGGCGCGGAGCCCGGGCCGGCAGGCAGCTCTGCGCTGACCTCCGGAGCGGGGCGGGACTTCGCGCCCGGCTCCCGGTGGCCGCGCAGAGCTGCTCTGATCCCGGGACTGCAGGCAGCTCTGCGCGGCCATCCGGAGCGGGGCGGGACTCGCGCCGGGCTCCCGGTGGCCGCGCAGAGCTGTGCTGATCCTGGGACTGCAGGCAGCTCTGCGCGGCCATCCGGCGCGGGGCGGGACTTCGCGCCCGGTGGCCGCGCAGAGCTGCGCTGAGCCGGGACGGCAGGCAGCTCTGCGCGGCCATCGGGAGCGGGGCGGGACTCGTGCCCTGCTCCCGGTGGCCGCGCAGAGCTGCGCTGAGCCGGGACGGCAGGCAGCTCTGCGCGGCCATCCGGGAGCGGGGCGGGACTCGTGCCCTGCTCCCGGTGGCCGCGCATAGCTGCGCTGATCCCGGGACTGCAGGCAGCTCTGTGCGGCCATCGGGAGTGGGGCGGGACTTCGCGCCCGGCTCCCGGTGGCCGCGCAGAGCTGCGCTGAGCCGGGACGGCAGGCAGCTCTGCGCCGCCATCCGGAGCTGGGCGGGACTTCGCGCCCGGCTCCCGGTGGCCGCGCAGAGCTGCGCTGAGCCGGGACGGCAGGCAGCTCTGCGCCGCCATCCGGAGCTGGGCGGGACTTCGCGCCCGGCTCCCGGTGGCCGCGCAGAGCTGCGCTGAGCCGGGACTGCAGGCAGCTCTGCGCGGCCATCCGGAGCTGGGCGGGACTTCGCGCCCGGCTCCCGGTGGCCGCGCAGAGCTGCGCTGAGCCCGGGACTGCAGGCAGCTCTGCGCAACCCTCAGAGTCGGTCTCCCGAGGGTTGCGCAGAGCTTCCTGAAGCCTGGAGAGCTTGTGGGGTGGGTGCGCACTGACCCCTCTCGCTCTCCAGGCTTCAGCAAAAGCCTGCATTCGCCCCATAGGACGCACACACATTTCCCCTTCATTTTTGGAGGGGAAAATGTGCGTCCAATGGTGCGAAAAATACGGTAATCACATCAGCTAAGTGAACTACTATGATTACTTTTTAAACTGCCAGTTGGTGTGGGGCAACAGTAGGGTTCTTCTTATGTTCTAGAGCAGGCATCCCCAGACTCATCGCTCCAGATGTTTTGGGACTACAATTCCCATCATCCCTGACCACTGGTCCTGTTAGCTAGGGATGATGGGAGTTGTAGTCCCAAAACATCCAGAGGGCTGACTTTGGGGATGCCTGTTCTAGAGTATCAAAAGGTGTAAAAATCAAATACAATCCCCAGTGCTCCAAATAATGTAGGGCTCAGCACATGGGGGGCGGGGAGCAGGCCTCTCCTCCACTAGATCCCCGGCCAGGTAGAAAGGACGTTTCACTCTGACAATACAGGCAGGAAAACGGTCTGAAGAGCAGCCTTCTAAGGCATTTTTCTGCCAGCACCCTGCAAGAATGTTGTGGCATCTTTTCTATAGACAGAAGGTCAAGAGTCCTAAACCCAGGGTCTGGTTTCTAAAACGTTCAGTTAAGAATGCGCAAGAAACCGGGATGCTATGACATTAGCAAGAAGAGCTCTTTGCTAGGGGAACACACAGCCGGCCTGTAAATCCAACCACATCAGTTGGTGTAACAACGGACGCTCGTCCCATTTCAAGGTGCAAAAATGGGCAATAAAATATTTAAAATCTAGCCCTTCCCAAGCCAGAGACGGGGGAAGCTCGCAACTTGGAAAGCAGGGAGCATCTAGCGCAGGGCTTCCCCCTGAAGCAGCTAATGGAATGTAAAGCTTGAAAAACGAGGACTTCCTGTTTCGACCGACGGACACATGGAGCAGCCTCCGCCGCAGAAGGAATGCTGTTTGCGAGGCCTTGCTGAATAAACACTCCTGAACCTTTGGTCCATGGCCAGGTTACATCATCCCAAGGAGTGTACTGAAAAGAAGGACTCTCATATGCGAATCTCCTCCCAATTCCTAAGTCCCACTGCGTTCTCTTCCAAGCAGCATTCCGCTGCAATGGGAAAACAGGAGGAAGCTGCCTTATACCAACTCAGTCCATTGGTCCATGTAGCTCAGTATTGTCCACCATAACTTGCACACGCTTGCTGCACATGCATCAGGACCACCTATTAATACAGTGGAAGGTGGAGAGCCTCAAAATGAAAAGGGAAGCTGAACCCTTACCTCTCCCTTGTTCTCTTTTGGCTTCAGGTAATTTTCTCCCAGTTCAGCTTGGGAATAGGCTGGGAGCAAAATGCCCATAACAGCAAAACATAGGCAGATAAAGGGAGGGAGAAGGTTTAGTTCTCTCACCTGTGTATCCTTCTTTTCTTAAAATTAAAAAGCCCAGCACCACCTGCTTCGTATATAAACACAGCAGGCACGTGAACAAAGGTGCTCCAATAATATTTGGTTCCCCCCCCACAAAGGATGGCACTTTTAGCTATGCTCATGTGTTTTGGGATAAGGAAACAATATGAACCAGACTTCGCCAACCTGATGCCTTTCAGATGATTTGGACTCCAACCCGCATCAATCCTAATTGGCATATCCCCACAGCATGATGGAAGTTGAAGTCCAAAACATACGGAGGGCGCCACGTTGGGGAAGGCTAGACAGCTGATATAATCCCTTCAGACTCTCCACGAAATGTCACCTAGATTTTTTTCACACGCAGGGCAGAATAAAGATAATAGTTTGAGTTTCCTCACTTGAAGCTTTATAAGTGTATATATATTGTAACATCACGAATGGAAATCGTTAATTATACAGCTGTTGACTAAGGAATTATTATTATAACTGACATTAATTACGATTATGGAACACAGTGATGTAAGATCGGAAATGCACCCAAACCATCATGCGGGGAGCCGATTTTAACGAAAATGTATTAATTGGAAGTTGACTGGCACTTTGAGAATTGAATAACTTGGGAATTAATTGTTATTGTTATAATGTGGCTATTATTGGAAGTACAGTGGTACCTCGGGATGCAAACAGGATCCGTTCCGGAGCCCCGTTCGCATCCTGAATAGAACGTAAGACGCGTCTGCACGTGCGCGAGTTGCATTTTGCTGCTTCCGCGCATGTGCCTGATGTCATTTCGAGCGTCTGCGCATGCGGCGAAACCCGGAAGTAACATGCTCCATTACTTCTGGGTTGCCGCAGAGCGCAACCCGAAAGCGCTCAGCCTGAAGCACATTCAACCCGAGGTATGACTGTATATTGGAAAACTAATAAAAAAATGTTAAAAAAGAAAAGAAATTGCACCTAGAATTAAGGCGGCAGTTACCATGTTCATTCTTAAAGAGTGTTTGATTTGTGGCATTCCACAGAGCATTGGAATAGTTAAGAATGTAGGTCATTGCCCGCATCTCTGCTTTTTCCTCTCTTATCTAGTTGCCACCTATTCATGCTATACAAACTGAAGGTAGCAACTTGAAGGCCTTGCACACACAGCTACGGCTGGCAGCCATGGCAGGAGGCTAGTGCAGAGAATTTACCTGTGCTCCTAGAATATCTCGGCATTAATTACATTAATAGAAGCCAGGCTGCTTAGGTTAGGCATACACTCCTGTTTATACGTCTTGGAGATCCAGCTGCAAGCCGACACCTCTGTGCGCAAATATGAAGTGAAAACCTGCTCACTGTGGCAGGAGCTACTTGGGTATATTGATGCTGGTTGAACTTTGATGTTTTTTCGCTCCCCTGGGGATGAGTGTTTCTTTTTCTCTCTCCCCCACAGCAAACGGAGGGCTGGCTTTTGTTCTGCAACTTTCCTTACAGAAGGAAGGCAGAGTCTGGTTGGGTTGGCAAAACAGGTTATGTAATATTTCTGCTCCACTGGGGCATGAGCTTGCTGGCTGAACCAGCTGTGAAATCAAGACTGATCAGAAGCAACGGTATCAGGCAGCGTCTCCCTTTTAAAGGAGAAGATACTCATTTCCTATTTGTTCAAACCATACGCTGGGTTCTCCTCCTGTAACACTGAACAAGTGTGATCATGCTTTCCCAGGGGATCAACTAAATTTTAACGCAGCGGATGTGTTAACATGGACATTTGAACGTTCCTTTCTAAATGACTAAAACTGGATTTAATTGTTGGTTTTTATAAGCCAACTGTAATCGGTTTTATAAACCAACTGGAGCGTAATATAAACCTCCCGTGATTTCAGATAAAGAATTAAGAGGATGTTATAGCTATCTAACGGGACGCGGGTGGCGCTGTGGTCTAAACCACAGAGCCTAGGACTTGCTGATCAGAAGGTCAGCGGTTTGAATCCCCGCGACGGGGTGAGCTCCCATTGCTTGGTCCCTGCTCCTGCCAACCTAGCAGTTTGAAAGAATGTCAAAGTGCAAGTAGATAAATAGGTACCGCTCCGGTGGGAAGGTAAACGGCATTTCTGTGCGCTGCTCTGGTTCGCCAGAAGCGGCTTAGTCATGCTGGCCACATGACCCGGAAGTCCTTGGCCAATAAAGCGAGATGAGCGCGCAACCCCAGAGTCGGTCACGACTGGACCTAATGGTCAGGCGTCCCTTTACCTTTTATAGCTGTCTAACACAAAGCAGTATTATCAGATGAGAGACAATAGTCAGAAGTCAAGTTTGAGAACGCTAATCTTTCCCATACATTAACTCTGCAACATGGTGGTCATACTTTTCAGCAAAATTCTCAAAAAAGAAAAAAAGGAAAGCCCAGTTGATAATTTCAGCAGGAAATGCTGGTGGTTGCGGAATATGGCAAATTAGAATGCATCAATGCAAACAAATCTTTTTCCAACACCATCTGAATATAGAGTCCTCTCCCGCATCTCCAACTCTTTGCTCACATGATCTAGCACCACTGGTGCTTTCCCAGCAACCACAATTTCCAGTCATTCACTCACTATGAGAGGAAATGCCTTCTTTGTCGATAAATGTGTCAGGAACCAAACAGTGACTTTCCAATCTCTCAAACTAAAAATCTGAGCAGGAGAGAATACTAGGCAGAAAGTTCAGATAATCCAAGGCTGCTGTATAAAAGCTGCCTCTTTTCCAGGGCCTCATCCAAAAGGTAAATTCTTCGCTGATGTGATTATCTTTGTGCAGACCTTTTTGGAGGATTTCAAAGGTGGTCTCTGCCTTGATGACAGCTTGGGCCCAACACTTTTTGGACATAAACTACAGGAATCAGAAAATGACATACTTACCACTAAGGGAGCGGCTTGGGGAGGAATGTTGGCTGTTTGGTGTGCTCACAGTAGGGCCCACAATCGTGGAGGTGAACTCCTTTTCCAAAGAGGAATCTCCACTACCTTTGGGGAACAAAAAGAAGCAGAGAGCACAGGTAAGCCTCGTTTCAAGAAATCAAGAAATATTTTTCCTGTGCTTAGGACTGAAGATGGGCACAGAGGAAAGGAAACTCTCCTGATGAGTTTGAGTAAAGTCTAGATTTTGCAGCCTACAAAATCTGAATGAAAAAAATTCCATTGGTGCTCTGACTGAATGAAAACCTAGCAGGAGGAATCCCAACAAATCCCAACCATGTATATAATAAGTGCCCTGTTCTTGCAACGTATAGTTTATGATGATCAGATGATTATCAGCGTAGACCCAGATACAGTGAACATCCGACCAGCATTTCAGAAGAGAGATGTCAGATACTGATAGAACCAGTTCTATTACATACATAAAGCAGCCTTCTTGTATTTATAAGACTGAATTCATAAATGTTTTCAGAATGATGATACTGGTTTAACATGTATAACATGCATTGTCAAAATAAGCCTGCAGCCTCTAAGCTACCCGAATGCTTGTAACCAATATATGCAGCAGCACTTGGGAATCATCAAAGAAGTGCAAATATCTCATTACATGGCAATTACAGGATAAAGGGATCCCCATTTAAAATTTGAATCACCTTAAATAAAAGCCAGGATATACGTAGCTTTGTTGTTGTGCAAATAATACGCAATATGAATACAGAAATGTGTCATACAGAAGAGTTTCAACATGAAGTCTCATGGAATAGCTGATATATGTATATGAATGATTGCGGAATCCAAGCTCAAGATAACAATACTACATTGAACTGATTTCAAATACATTCTTCATGTATGGATTCCTGTGTTGTTTGCTGTTGCCTCCAAGAGGAAGAAAGCATGCACCAAAAGCACTTGCTTAGTTCGTTCTCTTTATCTATTTATGGGGAAGAACATGAATCAGTTGCATATAAAGATCTTATTAACGGTTTATTAGCTACAGTGTACATGGAAGTCATGCAACACTAGGGAGTTCGCAGAATCTTGCATTTTACTTTTTTTTAGAGTCTGACAGCTTGCCCTTTTAGAGAAGCTAGCCCAACTAAATTATCCAAATGTGTACTCTTGTTGTTTTTTAGTGTGCAGTTTCCATTTCTTCCATTAATAAGAACCCATCCTCCCTAAGCCCACCTCATTTATTGTTTTGGAAAGGGTGTGGGTTGTATTCAGCAACAGTCATGCTCTAAGTAGGACCAATGGAATTTATGGACATGGCTAAGTTTGGTATATTCATTTCAACAAGTCTTCTCTGAGAAGAACTTCATTGGATTCAACCCAATCTTACTTAAGAGAGGAATTCAATTAAGTTTTACTCAGAGTAGACCCACTGCAATTAATGGGCTTAACTTAGTCATGTTTATTAATTTCAGTGGGTCAACTGCTTGAACTGACACAACAATCTCCTTAGTGCCATGTTATATTCCACACATTATCCCATTTTTTTAAAAAAAATCATTGTACACTGTATACTGAAAACACAACCTATTGATAAAAAAAACTACTTGTTTAGTGACTTAACATGACTATGGAGGGACAGAATCACTCAACAAGATACATCAGTGCACTTTACACACCCATATTAAATATTTGCACTGGTGTATCTGCCTGCAGCTCCACCAATTTAAAGGAGTTAAGTGTGCTTAATCTAAAGACTCAGTTTAAGATGGGGCATGATCATCTTTATGTTTTATAACGAAGCCAAATGAAGGCAAGGGACGATGTTGCTCCTTTTGGATACAACATTCCTGGCTTGCTATAGGATTGCAGCCTACCTCCTTTTGCATGCATTGGGGGGGACCCTCTTAAATAAACTTTGTTCATTTAAACTAAATAAACCAGGATAACTAACTACGCCAAAGCTAACATAAAATGGGAGACCCAATGTTTGTCGCTGACTTGCTAAGGAATCTCCAGCCTGTCGGTGTGTCATTAGGCCCAGTGTAGGTCCCAATTTAGCCCACAAAGCCATTTTCTCCAAACCACATCAACCTTCCTCCATACTTGATAACTTATGTGGGGGAGAGAAGGGAATGGTTCCAAAGGAATAATCTTGAAACCACTGGGGGCTTCAAGGGAACTCTGGACTGTTCTTTTCCAAGCAGGGCTTGCTGATCTGGTGGAGTCCCATATTGTCTATTTGTAGCTAATTAGCAGCTAATTAAAGCAAGCCCTTTTGAAGCTGTCCCAGGAGGTCATAATGATGCCAGGAGGTTGACAGGTAGGCAGAGCTGCCCACCTGTCAAAGTTGGCCCACAGGTGTGTATGCGGGAAGGATTTAGCTTGCCAGCCACGTTCAGTTCCCCACCCCTGTGCTAAACTGCAGTTTAGCAATCCAGGATAATTACAACTTAACCAGTCCATTGTAGAATGCTGCAGGGAAGCAGAGCAGAAACCATGGAATGCTAATTGACGGTAGCTTGGTAAACTGCATTTATCACTGTTTCTCGCTGAAGGTTTTTGAAGAGACTGGAAGGAATGTCTTGGGCTTAAATCTCACCGATGTGACAAAATCTGTCTCAGTTCTACTATTTCAGAATGCAGGTGGGGGCTCACAGGAGTCCACGCTCCTCCATATGAGAAAATCCCTGCGCACGAGAAAGAAGCGTTACAGCTGTCAAGACAGGAGGTTACTAGAGTACGCAGAAGTGTAGCCAGGCTGAACAGCAGCAGCTGACAAACCAGGCAAAGCTGGAAATTGGCACTCCTTGCCACTTGATGCCACTGGGGCCTTGTGTAGCAATGATGGCCATTGAATGTCTGCTATCTCCCTTCCACGCTGCAACTTAAGACCGTGGGTTGTATCCAATGTAGCGTGAAGTTAAAGAAACTTAGCAATGAACCTGTTCCATTAGTGAGTTATCTTGCGCAAGAGGTTCCAAAAAACGAACAGCTTGTATTTTTAAGTGCAATTTGTACACCTGTGCTAGTGCAAGCTCTTGCGCAATCGTTACATCGGCGGACCTGCTACCCCTAATATGCAACACAAACCTAGACAGCATCTTAAAAAGCAGAGACATCACCTTGCCAACAAAGGTCCGTATAGTAAAAGCTATGGTTCTCCCAGTAGTGATATATGGAAGTGAGAGCTGGACCATAAAGAAGGCTGGTCGCCAAAGAATTGATGCTTTTGAATTATGGTGCTGGAGGAGACTCTTGAGAGTCCCATGGACTGCAAGCAAATCAAACCTCTCCATTCTTAAGGAAATCAGCCCTGAGTGCTCACTGGAAGGACAGATCCTAAAGCTGAGGCTCCAATACTTTGGCCACCTCATGAGAAGAGAAGACTCCCTGGAAAAGACCCTGATATTGGAAAAGATGGAGGGCACAAGGAGAAGGGGGCGACAGAGAACGAGATGGTTGGACAGTGTTCTCGAAGCAACCAGCATGAGTTTGACCAAACTGCGGGAGGCAGTGGAAGACAGGAGTGCCTGGCGTGCTCTGGTCCATGGGGTCACGAAGAGTCGGACACGACTAAATGACTACAACAAATGCAACACTGGAAAACAGACCTCTGCTTTCACAAGGAAACTTGCACGAGCGGACTAACAGCTCTGGATACAACCCTTTGACTTAAAATACAGACTCAAGCCATTACTTAAACATCAGCCAAGCTCTTCCCTCTAGCCTGGTGAAGGGTTCTGTGGAACCTGAAAGTTTGCTCAGTACAAAGGTATTGTCTCCTAATGTCGGCTTTTTTTCTTACGGGTCAACATGAGTACTTTTGCTTTTCTATTTATTCAGATGAAAATAAGAACAACTTCCCTGTTGTTCATTGGCACTGCATTTAGAGAAGCAGGATCAGTACAGGCCATAGCTGTCAACTTACAGATTTGAAAACAAGGGACCAACAGCCTCGAAAATAAGGGATCAGCAGCCAAAATAAGGGATCAACAATTACTTTGATAAAATACATATTTTGTTGTATGCAACATATTTTGTTGCATGGACCTATTAGGTCCATAAATTACCATATAGCATATATTCAACACAAAAAACAGCAACAATTTGTTGTTGACAAAGGACAGCTGGACATAGAAAGGACCCCATTACCTTCAGTAGCTTATTTAAGGGACATCATCAATAAGGGACAGCAGCGGGACATGGCGCTGGGATAAGGGACTGTCCCGCCAAATAAGGGACGCTTGACAGCTATGGTACAGGCAGCATAATGACTGCAATGAAAATACTGTAGCAATGCCAGCCCCCTGAACGTCTTTTCTGCAAGGCACTGTCCCCTCACCCCAATTCCTGTCTAGTGCCCCTGTTGTTTGGAAGCACTCTTATCTACTTAGGAAAAAAGCAAGTTCTAAAAGACAGGAAGCAAGTCTGGAGACATTCTCATCAGAGAGGCTTTAGTACAGAGACAGGTGATTTTCTTCAGAGTTTGAATGCTAGCTGCTGTTCTCATGCCCACATAGCTTAGCACATTCCAGGATCTGCCGAGATAAAGGAAACAAACTGTTCCGACCAGGTGAAGTCAAATTTAACACAGGCACAGCATGCAAGGCTGGTGCCTTGTGATCATTTTATCTTTAAGGAAAAGTTGTTGCTTTCTTCTCCCAGGTGGGCCCCAAGGCCAAGACTTTCTGGGTCCTGAAAAAAGGAATTTCACCCTTTCCCTTAAGGCTGTCATTCCTCAGGTGGGTAAACAGGAGAGTCTACATCATAGTAAGCCTATCTCTGCAAGTGCCTAGAAGCAGCCACACACCCCTCAATATGGATATTAATCGTTTAATTAGGAGTTAGCCATGATACGGCTAAGCAAAATAGGCACCAGCAGCAAACAGTTCGCAGCGGAGCACATTTAAGCAGCAATTACTCGAACCAAGGATTTCTTCTGCTCCTTGCCAGAACACACAGAGAATTATGGCCCTGACCCCTTCCCTAGGCTTTTACTAAATAGCAGAGGGTGGAGGAAGAAAAAAGGGGGGTGTCTTTAACAGCCTTGTCCGCTGCTTTTATAACACATACTACATTTATCTTTCCCCTTTGGTTGCTCATCCCTAACCGATCGCCTGCAGTTGCATTTCTGATTTCGAACAGACTCTATCCCCCACCCCACCCCCTGACACAGACGATGGAGGAATTCTAGAGATCAATTTACTTGCATCGAAAGTCAGCCACTTCCTGCACTGTTCTGCATGGCATCAGACACACCCCAAATGGCGCCAAGTGTAAATGAAAACAGAAAAGAGCATGGAGTTATTTCACACGGCCACCCCGCTCCCCATTTAACTTACATTATTCTAGCTTGCTGAAGATACCCTGGAGTGTTATCACAGCCAACTCCTTGGAAACAGCACTGGAATACAGACTGTGTGTGTGTGTGGCTGCATCTCGGCAGTAGGGTGAACTCAGCCACTCACCTTCCAGGAAGAAGAGATTCCTGGAAGTGAGAGAAACGGCCGTCATTTTACAGTCAAGCAGCACAGTTAGAGCAGGAATCCATACGGCTGCAGTGTCCCCTTTTGCTGAGATTCTGGCTTGCTCCTCTGAACGCTTTATATGCCTTGCCTCTGAAAACAGAGCCATCAGCTTACAAGGGGACATCCCTTTAGTGATGGGGTTTTTAAAAAACAACAACCCCACATTGCCTGGGAAGCAAGGAAGTCCGTGGAAAAAACATCGCAGTTGTTGCCTAACCCCCATCACTTTGGCAACAGAATGAATGCTTCACAGTTGCTCTGGAAAGATAAGAGCTGCCACCGAAAGAGCCTTTAACACTCCAGAAAGTGGCAGGAGAAACTGTATAAGTACAATGAAACACTCCACTGCATTCAACAGAATATATATATATTTCTATTAAGGTGTGCTGCACATTGTACACAATTGACTCATTCTTTCACAGTAAGGTAGCCATGTTTCTTTGGCTAACCAGTTTTCTCTTGGCCAAATAGCTAGATCAAAACCATTAGGTTTTTCCCCCATAGTTTTTTCCCATTCCGTCTTTTCCGCTAAGAGTTTAATAACTTCATGGAAACATGTTTTTTTGTTTTTGATTAGGAGTATAAATGCAAGCTACTGCTATCTTCTGATTAAAATTATGCACTTAGCTGTTGTATTTCTATCACGCCTACTTAAAAAAATCAGGAGAAAGAAGTGCATGTTACAGGAGCTTTAGCCGACTTCTGCAGAGTTAATTTCCATAATAAAAATAATAGTTCTAAAGGGGGGAAAAAAGCAAATGTCTAAATTTTAAATTATGCATATGTGTCCTAGCAGGCATTCATCGCCTCCTGCACGCAAGTGAGAGAAAAAGCAAATGCCTTCAAGAAGGCGCCTACCACCCATGGCTTTTAATCAAGACTAATGCTAAAGATCTGCTGCTCAATTAGTCAGAGGCACTTTTTAAATAGTTAAAGTCAATTTAACTGATCAATCAACTTGAAGTTGCGTATTTAACCATTTCAGACCAAGCACAGGCCTTTTCTTGAGAAAGGGAAATCCTGAGCTCAGTACTACAAACAAACAAACAAACAAACAAACAAACTCATTGGAACCAGGACCTAAGTTTTCAAGTCAGCACTGTAGAGAGCGAAAAAATAAAAACTGAATTCCAGCTTTGAATTTTTCAATGGTCAGACTCTGGGATTTTTCTAGCCTTGTCTACACTATGTATTTACCGCACATCAGTGCTGGTTTCACGGTCCAATGTGTTTCGCACCTGCTAGGTATACACTGCAACATACATCCTCCCTGCTTCTGCCTGATATGATTACACCAACAATAACGGTTGCCATATTTTATCCCAGGCCAATGAGGACGGACTGCTGTGCTTCCAACTCTCCGTCCTGTTGCAGAAGTGTGCTTTAATGGAAATCCTGTGAACCAAACATCAAGGCTATTGCCCACTTTCTACTAGTTGAGAAGGAGCAACTGCCAATGCTCAGCTGCAATCGTGGGCATTCTGACAGTTTTTATTTTTTTTAAAAAAAATCATTTTTATTGATTTTCCAATAAAAAACATCCAATTAATATATCCAATCATAATACTCCAATTAAAATAAAAAACTAAAATTAAAAAGACTAAATTATAGTCCAAATTATAATTATTAATTTTTCGGAGCTCCCCACGGTCTAGATCTCTGACAGTTTTTCAAATAAAAAAGAGAGCACCCACAATTGCACTTCCTAACCTAAAGTTCCATCTCTTTTCCTCATTTGGAACACACGTACAATAATATTTTCCATGATGAGAATATACAAGAACAGGAGGAGTACACAACTGTACAATTCTAGCTCAAGTAAGGGGGGGGGAGAGCTGGGGAAAAGGGTAACAAACTAGGAAACGTAACTAGCTTTGTTGCCCTAGAAAAAGCCAACAACATTCGGAAACAGGATGAGCCAACAAGTCTAAGAAGGTGATGAGCAGATTCCCTGAGTTAATGCAAGTCATTCTCAGAGTAGACACATGGGCTTACTTATGGATGGCAATGGGTTTACGCGGAGCATTCCCCATTATCTGAAGAAACCTGAGAATATTCTTGGCTTTAAATGAACTGAAAACAGGAGCCCATAACTTTCAGCTGGCCTTGGTCAGCCACAATTTGTGGGTGCTGTCGACCCTTGCTCCTGCTCACCCCATTGGGGGGCAGAGCCTCCTTCCTTATTCATGCTGAGCTTTATAAACGTTCTGAAAGCAGTGAGACCTCTTCCTCCTTTCAGAGTGCCTCTAGTCTAGACCTCTTGCCAGATTAAAAGATTACTCCTGCCACTGGAAAGCTGGAAAGCATACTTGTGGACCTACTAATGGTGAAAAGTCTTTTCCATGTTCTACAGCATCAGTCTGAAAGGTTGTTGTTAAGTAAAATCCCTAAATATAACTGTCCTCACACCATAAAGGTTAGGACCATACTCACAACAAGAGGCAGTTAAGCATCTGAAGAGGAATGACCACTTGAATATTGAATATCTCTTGAATATTTCCCCATCAACAGGCAAACTGATCAACATCTCTACCGGCTTCCTTGATTAGCTCTGCTCACCTTGTCAGAAGCCTGTTCCCAATCTGCATGTCACACTAATGTCATAAGCATAACCGAGAGCTCAGCAGAAAAGGGAAAAACAGATAAGACTGAAAATGTTTCAGATTATGTAGCTCCTGGACTGTACATTGTAGGGGAAAAGGCTTTCAAAGAAAGGAACCAGACTGGTAATAATCCTTTGCTGACCCTGTGTCAGCATCTGTGGCTGCAGAGGATATCAGCCATGGCTTGAATGGCAATCCTTAGGATCTAATATTGCATATACGATATCTCTTTATGAATTCATACACAGCAAGAAAACACCTACCACACGTAAGCCCATGGAGTTACCTTTATTTCTCAGTTTTATTATCATAGGATGTTCTCACAGCCCTCTAGGGTTGTTGTTTTTTTAAAAAACGATGACTAAATATGGATTTCTCCAAAACAATTAGTACTTTGCATCCTGTTCCCATAATCAGATCCCCACTAGGTCTCTTTTAACAAACTCTATCCTCCTGGGGTGTATTATAAATTTGGCCTTCACTGGTCTGGATGATTTACCAGCATTAAAGAATGAAAGGCAAAGCAGCATTTTGCAAACCAGCCACACAAAATATGCGTTTGATTCTGCACAGTTAGACACAGCCTACTGATTACTGCGATTGGTGGCATATAGGTCATTGATTTCCCTCACTCTCAACACTTTTATAGTTGAACAAAGGTTCTTATTTCATCCTTAGCCTCATAACATGCACGTCACCTGATAGTGACTGGTTTTTTGTTTTTTTAAAAAGATATGTAAGAAATATACAATCTTTAAGCTTCAAGGCACTACTGCATATATCTCCTGAAGACTGTTAAATCCAAACAGTGTCTGTTACAAGTACAGTGGTACCTCGGGTTAAGTACTTAATTCGTTCTGGAGGTCTGTTCTTAACCTGAAACTGTTCTTAACCTGAAGCACCACTTTAGCTAATGGGGCCTCCTGCTGCCGCCGCACCACCAGAGCCCGATTTCTGTTCTTATCCTGAAGCAAAGTTCTTAACCTGAAGCACTATTTCTGGGTTAGCAGAGCGTGTAACCTGAAGTGTATGTAACCTGAAGTGTATGTAACCGAATGGCTTGGCTCCTGAACGCCGCAAACCCAGAAGTGAGTGTTCTGGTTTGCGAACGTTTTTCGGAAGCCGAACATCCGACACAGCTTTCGATTGAGTGCAGGAAGCTCCTGCAACCAATTAGAAGCTGCACCTTGGTTTTCAAACCGTTTCGGGAGCCAAACTCCTGTAGTTACTTAATGAGATTGTCTTGTTCCTTTGCATGTTGCATATTCTAGCCATCATTTCACAATTCTGGCTACCATCAGATCAGTCTGCTCCTTGTAACTCGGATAACTGTTGAGCTACTTACAGCTTCACCAACAACCTTTGTCCAGGACAAAATATGAGCTGGTGTACCTGGCTATGAGCTAGAGGATGACATTTATTGGGTGGGTATACATCCCCAGCAAACATACTCCTTCACTTCAATTTAGTGGGGCTTTCAATACAAAGAAGTCAACTCACTATTCCAGTGGCCCACTCTGAACTGTAGTCCGTCAATATGTTTATTTACACCAATGTATTTGTATGAAAGTAGCTTTGATGATCTTTCCCTCATTCATAATTACTTCACGGCTCTGTTTTTTCCTGTTTAATGAGGACTCTATGCTCTGTTCTTCCAAAGAGAAACAGCCAACAAAATAAGATCATGCACTTTTGACTTCTTTTTCTTCAAAACCAGTGTCTGGTTTTATTTTAGTGTCTACCACAAACAATCCCTCAGAGGTTTTTAAAAAATGCTTGAGTAAATTATTTAAATCCTATAGGAGTGTTATACAAACAGAACCAACTAATATATTTTCTACCTTCCCTACCTTCCTCTATTAGGCTGTCCTATCCTATGCATAAAGGTAAAGGTAAAGGGACCCCTGACCATTAGGTCCAGTCGTGGCCGACTCTGGGGTTGTGGCGCTCATCTCGCTTTATTGGCCGAGGGAGCCGGCGTACAGCTTCCGGGTCATGTGGCCAGCATGACTAAACCACTTCTGGCAAACCAGAGCAGTGCACGGAAACGCCGTTTACCTTCCCGCCAGAGCTGTACCTATTTATCTACTTGCATTTTGACGTGCTTTCAAACTGCTAGGTTGGCAGGAGCAGGGACCGAGCAACGGGAGCTCACCCCGTCACGGGGATTCGAACCGCCAACCTTCTGATCAGCAAGTCCTAGGCTCTGTGGTTTAACCCACAGCGCCACCCGCATCCCTATCCTATGCATACTTACTGGAAATTTGATTTCCATCAAAAGAAACATCACTAGATCAGGCTGTTAGGCAAGTGTTCTAACCTGGTCATTCTACAATTCCCCTTTTCTGAAAAATGTATTTAAGTTACTACAGTTTGCACTTAGTATTGCTAATAAGAATTTGAACACTCTCAGTTAATGCACTTCAGATATGGCACTCCTGAGTAGCAACTGCCTTTATAGCTTTAAAGAATCATAGAACTGTAGAGTCAGAAGGGATCCCAAGAGTCATCTAGTCCAGCCCCCTCTAAAGCAGTAATCTCAACTAGATCATACATGACAGTTGGCCATCCAACCTCTGCTCAAAAACCATCAAGTCCTAGCCTCTGGAGCATACGGGAAAAAAGCTTGCTCCATTCTTCGTGTGACAGCCCTTCAGATATTTGAAGATGCTTATCACATCTCCTCTCAGTCTCCTCTTTATCAGGCTACACATACCTATTCCCTCAACCGTTCCCCATAAGGTTTGGTTTCCAGACCCTTGATCATCTTGGTCGCCCTCCTCTGCACATGTTCCAGCTTGTCAATATCCTTCTTAAATTGTGGTGCCCAGAACTGTACACAGTACTCCAGGTGTTGTATGACCAAGGCAGAATGGAGTGGGACTATAACTTAGCCCTACTTATCTTCTGAAAGAGAATGTGATCGGGGACAAGATATTTTAAATAAGGTATATTTTAAATAAGGTAGAAGCATCCAACTATGCTTAAGGATTAATTGGAAGAAACTTTTCCAATTATCTTTCCCAGCTGTAAGGTAACCACCATATTAAGTGAAACAATTTTACTATCAATCGCCAAACTCTTTCTGTACTCATATTTAATGAAACAGTCATCACACAAAAATACTGCCTATGGTCAAGCTAACTGAAACAAGCAGAAACAGATGGAATTTAAAGGGATGCCAAAAGTTCGCTTTTCCTTCAGTATGATACGTAAGGATTTGCTCTAAATTTTTGATGAATCAAATATCCTCAAACTGATTTAATTGCTGTGCGTGTGAGTCTTAACTATGTTGCAAGTCTCAGGTATATTTAACAGCTAAAACACCTGCCGAATTTGGCAGGTGGGCAAATACAGAGCTCTAGCATTTTTCGCAGGCACCGAACAGTAACTTAGTAAGACATGGCCATCCATTTGAGGTTGAGCTGAATTTGGAGGGTTGCTCCAGGCCAACTGTAGCCAGGGAGAAGATTGCATGCCACAAGATCAATGTGCAGTGACCTGGCGGGGCATGGCTTCTTGTCTCAAGTTGCACTTTGGAGCACTGCTCTGAGCTGAATATGGGTAAGGAGGGCAGAGGCCATGAATCGCCAGGTCACTGTTCAGCTGATCAGAACAGAGGCTGGCTGTTACACTCCCTTAGGTGATGACTCCATCACCAGTCAAGTCCATGGAGCAACTATCACTGGTAAGAGACTGAAAGGTGGGGAGGAGGCTATTCTCCCGTGTCCACCCCTGAGATCTTGAAGCAAGACGAAAATGCTGGAAGTAGCTGCCCAAGGGTGCATCTATCTAAGAAGGCAGGTCATGTCAGGAAGCTGGGGGGGGACGGGACCATGTTGCTCCTCAAAACCTGAGGCATGCTGAATATTCCAGTGCCGAACCAAAAGTTTATTGTGACCAAAATGCAGAAATCCTATCCTGTCTTTTGCACTATGTATTAAAGACAAAACGGCATCTAAAAACAAAAATAAACAAATCGAGATCTGTGAAAAGCAAAATGAGAACATACCGGATATGTAAGAGCGTCCATTGCAGTCCTCTATATCCATCTTTACAACACTCTTCTAAAGAAAAAGAGACAAAGGTCTATCAGAACAGCAGCTATAAACCAAAGCAGGAACCTTTTGGTGAGATCCCAACCCACTCCCTGGTTGCACATCCTAAAATACAAAATTTAACTAAACTACTTTTCAGGACTGAGGCCACAATGGCAAAGGGCCATAATTCACTGGCAGAGCATTTGAAATGTATGCAAAAGATCCCAGGTTAAATCTCCAGCCTTCTCAGGAAGGGCTGGGAAATCTCCTCTCTGAAGCCCTGGAAAGCAGCCGCCAATCAGTGCTAGTCAATACTGAGTTAGATTGATCAATGGTCTGACTCAGAGTAAGGCAGTTTCCTATACCAATATAATCATGGATCATTGCCATGGAAGTATTTTAATGAGTGTTTAAAAAATCCAATTTGTCTCCTAACATTTTACCAATATATTTTTTTTAATCCAGCCTATATCTTTATCAATATTATATATATAACCAATACGATATCAGATGATAACCTGGGAGTGCAAGTCTTCCAATTTGTGGCTTGGCAACAAAGAAAGAGAAAAGCTACTTTTGACACATACGCACCCATTTTACTGGAAATAAAAGGCAGGGCATATATATATATGTATATGTATATATATACATACACACACACCAGCAAATAACTCATAAAGTGGGGCCCATGCAGTTAATTTCGGTAGGGTTTTCTGTCATTGTGTCTGTATTCAGCTGCCCTTTAAAGGAGGAGGCTGTCAAACGGTGTTAGTTCACGAAACAGAAGCTAAACACTGCTTCAAAAGGTTGCAAGGAAGGAGCAGCTGTCAGTCTTACATCTGATGAGGCAAGACCAGATTCAAACTTCATTGGTCTAGAACACAAGTGGCCACAGGCCACTGCTAAATTTGAATCCTTCAGTGGCAAGGTACAGTAACAACTGTCCAATGCAATTCATTTTCAATAAAACAGACTCTCTGCTGTCATCCGCTCTTCTGGGTTCAGTCTGAACTAAAACTGATGCTGGTGTGTAGAAGGTACAGCACACAGGTAATTCTGAGCCCCAAATCCAGAAGTGCAGCTTTTATCAATGAAAAGCAATCGTTCTTTGGAAAATGAGACTGAAAACCGACACATCGCATCACTGAGCAGTCAAGAAACAGGCATTTTCAAAGCTCAGACTGGAATAACAGTATATATCTTGGTACTTAGCACCCCACAGAGATAATGAACATATTATGAACATTTTATACATTCAAATGCCTTCCCCCCATTACACTTAATGTTTTTTTTAAAAAAATAAAAATAAGTGCAAACAACCACAAGTTTTACCACTTTGAATTCACACTGTAATTGACTACCAGTAAGCTCATAAATGAGAACTCACTGGGAAAAAACAATTAAGAGCAACAATTTCCCGAGATATATTTTGGCTTAAGGATCTAATTTAGGTGCAGTTCGCAGAACACAGGGGAAACAAAGAATTAGTATAAAGAGGAAGGAAGAATGCAAGTTCTCTGGGGAAAAGTCAAGTGATGTACTTACATCTGAATGCAAAGTGAGGACGTTGATGGATCCTAGGATAGCTTCCAAATACGGAAGACAAAGGCAAAGGAGAACGATACTCAACTGCAGCTAGGTTTAGGTTAATATCAGGAAGTAAATTCCCAAGTATAAAAAGTATATCCCTTACCATGGGGAGTTTTTAACTCACCCACCCCATCAGTAGCAAATGGTTTAGGCCAATGGTTCTTTGACTTTTTCAAAGCAAGCCTTTCTAACCGATAACCAGGTGGGGGTGGTGGAAGGAGGTGTTTATGGTAACTCAAGGTCTCAGGTCTGGGAAGAGGCATATTTTTTTTAAAAAAAGCAAGCGTGAAAAGTGCAGGACCAAATGGATTAACAGCATACTGTAAAGTTATTAAGGGAAGTACGCTTGAAAGCAAAAAGCTCCAACGTTATTAGAAAGCGTAAGGACACACAGTCAATCTCTACCTCCATTAATGTACAGACTAAGGACAGAATCAAGGGACGCGGGGGGTGCTGTGGGTGAAACCTCAGCGCCTAGGACTTGCCGATCGTATGGTCGGCGGTTCGAATCCCCGTGGCGGGGTGCACTCCCGTCGTTCGGTCCCAGCGCCTGCCAACCTAGCAGTTCGAAAGCACCCCCAGGTGCAAGTAGATAAACAGGGACCGCTTACCAGCGGGAAGGTAAACGGCGTTCCGTGTGCTGCGCTGGCTCGCCAGATGCAGCTTGTCACGCTGGCCACGTGACCCGGAAGTGTCTGCGGACAGCGCTGGCTCCCGGCCTATAGAGTGAGATGAGCGCACAACCCTAGACTCTGTCAAGACTGGCCCGTACGGGCAGGGTACCTTTACTTTTTTAAGGACAGAATCAAGCCACTGCTTACGACATGGTGAATGCTTGAAAAACTCCCCATCACGAATGAGAGTCCACAACCAGGGTGTTAAGCCAAACATATCAACCCAAACTTACGATAAGAGCTCGGCTGCATCCGACCAAAGGCTCAGCCCACTTCCCAGAGTGCTTATGGGAAGCCCAAAAGCAGGAAAGAAGTGGAACGGTCCTCTCCTGCTTTTGTTTCAGAGAAGCTGGTCTTCAGAGGCATGCTGCCTCTTATTCAGGACAAAGGAAACAGCAATTATGACTAGAGTCTTATCCCTTGTGAATTCGTCTCACTCCTGTTTGAAGTTATCAAAGTTAGCAGCCATCATCACATCTTATGGCAGCAAAATACCATGGTTGAAAGCATGCATGGTCCAAAGAAGTACTTTCTCTTGTTGAATCACATTTCCGGTTGGCCGTAACCCTTGCTTAAGAAGTCACTCAACAAGCTGACTCTCAGTATGGTTGGAGTAGTCACGTAAGAAGTTTTAAAGTGGCCGCTATATAGCAGGTTAGGGACGTGGGTGGCGCTGTGGGTTAAACCACAGAGCCTAGGACTTGCTGATCAGAAGGTCGGCGGTTCAAATCCCCGCAATGGGGTGAGCTCCCATTGCTCAGTCCCTGCTCCTGCCAACCTAGTAGTTCGAAAGCACGTCAAAGTGCAAGTAGATAAATAAGTACCACTCCGGCGGGAAGGTAAACGGTGTTTACGTGCGCTGCTCTGGTTCGCCAGAAGTGGCTTAGTCATGCTGGCCACATGACCCAGAAGCTGTACACCGGCTCCCTCGGCCAATAAAGCAAGATGAGCACCGCAACCCCAGAGTCGGTCACGACTGGACCTAATGGTCAGGGGTCCCTTTACCTTCTATATAGCAGGTTGGGGAACCCCTTCCTGCAACCTTGATACTGCCTACAGCCATTTGAGCCTATGGGTCTCGTCCTGCCCATCAGCTGTTCGGCAGGGAGCAGCAGGGAGGAAAGAGAGGGCTTTGATGCTATGAGAAGTGTGCAATTGCAGCTCTTTTCTCCGCAAGAAGAGTAAAGCAGAGGGGAAATACGAGAACAGCCAGCGTGGTGGGGTAGTGCCATAGACTCATCCTCCTGACAACTGGGTCAATGGCACTTACCTTAACAACGTAGAGGCAGGGATTGGGCAGCAGTGGGGTCAAACCTGTACAGCTGCCCTTGTAAGCGTGCCAGATTGCTTCCACTAGTGCAGCCACATAGACCTAACCTCATGTTCACCCTGCCCCAACTACGTGCCATTCAGATTTAGTGGATTATGGTATGAGATTCTCTACCATACCCAAATCAGTGCTTATCTGAATCTTATATGGGGAAGTAAGTCCTCCGCTTGCCTTCAATATTTGTTGTGACCTTGGGTTGGTTTTATTAAAGCTGTTGCACTATTTTCTACTGTAATTTTAATTTATTGTAGTAGTTTTTTTAACCGCCTTGTATTTTCTTTTCTTTTTTTTTAATGGGAAGCAATATATTATAAGGGACGCAGGTGGCGCTGTGGGTTAAACCACAGAGCCTAGGGCTTGCTGATCAGAAGGTCAATGGTTCGAATCCCTGCGATGGGGTGAGCTCCTGTTGCTCTGTCCCAGCTCCTGCCAACCTAGCAGTTCGAAAGCACGTCAAAGGGCAAGTAGATAAAAAGGTACCGCTCCGGCGGGAAGGTAAACGGTGTTTCCATGTGCTGCTCTGGTTCGCCAGAAGCAGCTTAGTCATGCTGGCCACATGACCCGAAAGCTGTACGACAGATCCCTCGGCCAATAAAGCGAGATGAGCACCGCAACCCCAGCGTCGGTCACGACTGGACCTAGTGGTCAGGGGTCCCTTTACCTTTAGTATATTATAAATAAATAAATGTGGAAGTCAACCTTCGATCTTCCATCAATTAATGAAATGTATGTAGTTGTATGCCTCTCCACATGCTGTGCAACACTGGACAAGCTGGTGCTATTACAAGCTGGTGCTGCAATTTTGTTTTATCACAAACAAGAAACAAAGCTGCCTCCACAAATAGGTTATGGACAAAAAACCCCTCACCAGGCTGCAATAATTTGACAACACTGTCAACTAGACGCTCCGTAAAAATAGGGTGAATAGAAACTGGCAATTCTAGCTAGTTACGAAGCAGTTTGAGCCATTCCTCTCTTCATTCAATATTCTAGTCCCAGGACTTTATGGCTCTATAATGGACGTTTGTGCTGTTCTGATCATTCCCATTATAGACATTTAAGAAATTACGTTCACCTAATGATTCAGCTATTGGTATCTGAATCCTAGAAACACACTTCTTGTTTAATTTTGGCATGAAAAGGACACAGGAGCCACATTGATTCCCTTGAGCTAGTTACTCACATATCTTCTAAACCCCAGTGGGAAAAGGTCCCAGGGAACTGGGTTCTGTGTTGGAATAATGGAAGCATTTGGGCAGGGTGGACTGCATGTGTCACTCAGGCACAGTCCTGAGCCATGTGGAATCTTCTAACGGAAAAGTAGCTCACACTCAGCTAGAGCTATGTCTAAAGGGCACGCAAGTACTAACTGAACACTGGCAACACATCCTCTTTCTTTATTGGAAAACTTATGAATTGCCATGCTGAGTTACAACAAGGATCTGCCCAAAGCTCTGTTCTTTGTGATGTTCATTCCCTCTTAATCTAAGGAACTGGACAAGGATCCTCTGTGAAAACAGGACTAGTGCACATCCACAAAGATTACCTGCCCACAAACTTTATTTTAGTGCATCTCTCTGCACACAGCTGCCAGCCATCTGTATATCTGTGACATAAAAGCAAAAAAAAACAAAAAACAAACCACCGCCCCCAGGAATTTATAAATTTACAAAACTCTTACTTATTCCTATTCTGCCTTTCTTCCATGATGGAACTTGTGATGTACAGTGGTGCCTCGCAAGACGAAATTAATTCGTTCTGCAAGTTTTTTCGTCTTGCGAATTTTTCGTCTTGCGAAGCATGGTTACCCTGGGTATTAACATTTTTAAGAAAAAGGAAACAAACTCGCAAGACGTTTTCGTCTTGCGAGGCAAGCCCATAGGGAAATTCGTCTTGCGAAGCAACTCAAAAAACGAAAAACTCTTTCGTCTTGCGCGTTTTTCGTCTTGCGAGGCATTCGTCTTGCGAGGTACCACTGTAGAAGTATTTCCCATGTAGTTTCCTATCTAGGCACTGACCAGACCCACTTAACTTCAGTAAACAGCATTATATGTCTTCAGACCATACCCTGCAAATAACGCCTCTAGCAGTTACATTTTGAGTCCCCTACATGCAGAGGGAATTCTAAGCACTTAGGACAAAACTCCAATGACTGTAGCACCACAACAGGAGGCTATCACTGACAGGACAAACCAGTCCTTAAATAGAAACCACAGTGAAATGGAACTTTTCTGCAATGGGATAGTATGGCAATGAACTCTTTTATGCGCATCTAAGGTGAGAAGCAATACATACAATGCTTAGTGTGTGACTATAGAAACTCCACCATTATAACTACACTTTCAGGCAACCAAGTAGAGAGGCCAAGGCATCTTCTAAAGTTACATACACAACTATTTTCTAAATGAAAGTCAATGCAGTGCTATTTTAAAAGGCCAATTTTGGCTAATGGGCATCCATAGCGTTTTGTGACAATGGATTCCTTGGCTTTATTATGCATTATGTGCTTACTTCAGAAGGCTCCCTCGTGGCAAACACTGAACTACACTCACCTTCCAAGGAAAGCAGTTACCCCAGTGTAACATTTACATCTTTACCCTGCCTCCTTGGAGTTATGCAACTGCAGAAGTAAACGTGTCATGCAAACATTCCAGAGCAGATGGAAGCCTTGAGAGGGAAAAGCCACCATTCACTGAAGAGAATTCATCCTCAGTTGAAAGCTGCTCAAGGAGACCAGCTGGCTTCCACAGTTTAGCCATCGGGGCCGTCTAAACAGAATGGACGATTCAGCTCTGCTTGGTGTTTTCTCAGGAATGAGTTCAGAAGATAGCTGCTGCAACAGAGCTACAGAGCTCTGCCTATGGTCATGACCACATATAGGGTTGCTATACGTCCGGGAATTCCTGGGTATGTCCTCTTTTGGGGGTCCTACATGCCCATCCGGGGGGAATTTTAAAGCAAATGTCCTGGTTTTTAAAAAATAAAAAAATTGTGAACGGGTGGCTCTGGCATGGGTTCGGGGCTATCACTTTTTGTCTGGGTTTTTACCTCTTGAAATATGGCAACCCTTGTCTGATCTCAGAAGCGCTGCCTAGTACTTCTAATTTCTGCTTCATCACTGTTCACTGCATCAAACATAACCCATAACCTAAAAAACAGGTTAAGGGTTCTAGCTGGGGTGACGTCCCCTGCTGGAGCAATGCCCCTACCTGTAACAGCTCCCACAATCTGCGAGTCATGTTGCAGAAAAAGTCTACAATATCCTTACACTATCACAGATCCCTCTTCAAGCCTAGAAAGCTACTGCCTTTTAGTAGAAAGGCAAGTAAGGACGTTTATTGTGGAGTGGCACATTTGGGGGAATCAACCTTATTGCCTGGACTTCCCTAAGGCAGCAGACCTCCTACGTCAATATAGGTAGTGTTATGCTACTTTAAGAAGTGAGGAGGCGATCATAAGCATCCACAGGGAACATGAATCGGGAGGCAGATCAAATCAACTCTTATTTTTTTTTATCTATACCCTGTGAGCGTTTGCCAGCCATGTGTTACATGGAACTGGGGAACAGCTTTTGGTGGAAATCAAACATTCAACTCTTTTTTGAGGTCTGTGTCTGTTCACATGCTTTTGTACTAGAACTCCATCGTATAACACATTATGGCAATATTATAGCTTCCTGGGAGTGAGAAATTCTCACTGTTTTGGAATTCAAGCCCAGATATACGGTGAAGTTTCCAGATTTCAGGTACAGCAAGAGAGAAACAGGGCCAGTGTGCAGAATCCCCTCTAGGCTCAAAGAATTAAGAACATTAGCACATTAAAAGTAGAACACAGTGGCTTCAGAAGCCCTTGAAGTTCCATTCACTTTTGAAATAAGGGCTTTCGCCCCCCAAGTGACAAAACTTAGGGAATAAAACCTTCAGAAGTAGTCCAATTATTTTAAACATGCATCGCCTCCCAACCTCTGCATGATGATGTTTACATGCATCCTTTTGCAATAGTTAAGACAGATCAGCATTTTTTTTTTTTTTTAAGGAAAGCAATAACTGAAAAGCTTCAGTGAAAAGAAACCCAGCTGGACCTTTGCATATCTCCTTTTTGCTCCAGACTGTGTCCGCATCTCGGAAATGAGAAAGTCTTATCAGGTTAATGCAGACCTTTTCCTTAGAGTTACTGTCGCTCCCTACAAGATACTTCCAACTGGGAAATATCAGCCGCACCGGGCAAATTTCAGTCTTGCAGGATCTGTTGTGTTTTCTGCTAGAACCCCCCAGGTTCACCAACTGGAGCCAGGTACAAGAGAGAAGCACTTATAAGCTACCAGAGATCTGACAGTAGATCTACCTGATCTACCTTCCGCCTACAGTTTTAACTCTTGATGAGAAAGAAAAGTGAATGAAAAGGAACACAATGCAAGGTATTGCCCCAGGGCTACAAATCACCCAGGCCAGAAGTTTTCAACCTTTGAGTCCACAGTTCCCTTGACCAACCACATTCTTTCTGCAGCACCTCTGTGGGGCTCAGGAGCCCAGTTATGTCACCCCTTGCCTGCAGAGGTGGCAGCCTCTCACCCCTTTGTGCAGTGTTCCCTCAGCCTCCTCTCCTCTCCCCTCTCCTTGGGAGTCCTCTGGGCAGCAGCCGCCACCGCCCCTGGTCTCTAAGCTTCCCCCACTCTGCCCCAAAGAGAGGTGCCTCCTCACACTGCCCCCCCAAGGGCCTGGGAAGAGGATGCCCCCAGCCTTAGTGGCCTAACAGACTGGTCAAAGGTGAACATGAGGCCAACACCTTACCTTGGGAGGCAGCAGGGGCAGCAGCGGGCGCTGTTAGGCCTGCATGGCGGAAAGGCTCCCCTTCAGCAGGCCTTGCACACAGCAAGCACAAGAAAGGCCAGTGCAGCGCCTGCCCACCCGGCCTCCCACTTGTCCGTCTGTGCCCAACAGCAAGTACTGGTGGACTGGCTGCCTGGGCTCCCTTGCCCACTTACTTGCTTACTCCAGGGCTGCGTCAGCTCCTGGCAATCAGCACTCCCTGGCCAGCCCCAGAGGCACCAGAAGCTTGCAGCCAGGGCTGCTACAACAAACAGCTATGCAAGCCTTGGGGAGGCAGAAATGTGAGAGGGCATCAGAGGAGGGAAGAAAGGAAGGAAAGGGGGGCAGAGGTCAGTGTGGCCTGCAGCACCCCTGACCATCATTCAAGGCACGCCAGGGTGTCATGGCACACTGGTTGAAAACCACTGACCCAGGCTATTGTACCAGTGCAACAGCTCAGGGTAACCCTGAACTGTATTTTTTAAAATGTGATGCGAATACACACACACAATAGAAGTAGACATGCTATGTGGGCAGAAGGGTTGCATGGCAACAATACAGACAGTCTTATACATCAACAAAGTCCAGGATCTTCTTGCACTGGCACGGCAATATGACAAAAAAAACCCCACAGCATTTAACTGAAAAATTGCATGCGTTCTGAAGCTCTCACATGCGCCTCAGGATACCAAGCAGGAACAGGGATACTGACTACCATGCACTGGAGCAAGTGTTGACACAGCAGCAGCTCTTGCGAGTGTCAAACAACAGAGGCGAACATCAATCATATAAGGAGATGGAATTCAGCAAGCCTGATCAACCTTTTAAGATGCTGCTCTGCATCTAAAAAAAAAAAACAAGGTCAGAAGGGAAACGTTTTCAGGTTTCCCGATATTATCATCACTGAAGCACACAGCGACCTAACATTCCAAACAAATTACTCAGCATTACCTGGAAGACAGATAGGACAGCAAAGCAATGCACGTTATTAACCTCCAATGAATCTGTTGGGGAGCAACTGTTGTTGGGCAGTGTGGGGACACACTGCTTCTGATACAGTGCTTGTGGGAGTGGTTGGGCCCGTGAGTCTGCATGATGAAAATGTTAGCACCAAATTATAGGTCACATTTATTTAAAATAATTTATGCTATGCTATAACCATGCTCTTAGGTGGGCAGTTTGCTACAAATATTGAAACAACTTAAAAGGTACATTGAATTTTATTTTATTTTTAATGCTTACGATCAGCATAAACACCACATCTCAGACAGAACTACATTAAAGCCACAATCTATGAAAAGGCCTGGGGAAATAAAATGTGTTTGCCTAGCAAGGTAAGTACTAGGCAAGCCTCTTTGGACAAGGCTTTCCGCAGCCAGGGTGCCACCACCCAAAAGGCCCTTTATCTAGTAGTCAGCCCACTAAGACCCCCCAGAGAAGGGCTTTTGTTGAAGATTTTAAAGTTAGGGTATGTGCATATGGAGAACAGGGATTCTTCTGGTACACTGGTCCCAAGCCACAAAGGTCTAAATCAGCAGACTGAATTTGGCCTGGAAACAAACTGAGAAGCGCATGGGAAATTACCAGTGTGATATTCTCATACTACCCAGTTCCAGCAATCATGTACACAACTCTATGAACTTCCTGGACTATACTCAAAGGCTCCTCCACACAAAATGTGTTACAGTAGACCAAACAGGAGCTTTGATAACTGAAGCCAAGCTAACCCTGTCTACGTAGAGTCATAGTTGATACACAAGCCTACCTTGGCAAAACCAAGCCAAATAAGGAACCTGAGCTTTCCAGTGGAAAAAAAAGGATCAAGGTGCAGCCTTGAGGACTCAAGCAGTTATTACTCCAGCACTACATTCTAAAATTGCTCGTCTGCATAGGAATTCTGTAACTTAGGCAACCTACCTAGAAGCATACCATGGTTGACGGTATCGATATCTGCTGAGACATCCAGGAGAAATAGGACACACACAGCATTTCTTTCCCAGCAATGGTCCTCCCACAGGGTAACTATAGCATGTTCTGCGTCAAAACTAAGCCTGAAATTATTTAGAAGTATGAGTCTTATCTAAGAATGCCTGGCGCTGACCAAGATCTAACTGCTTGAGCACCTTGCCCAGGAAGGGAATGTTAAACACCAGCCAGTAGCTTTTTCAAACCTTCAAGGTCCAATACAGGTTTCTACAGATGTGGTCATACCACAGCCTCCTTAAAGCCCACATGGGCCACCATGTCTCTCAATGGACATAACTGGACACCCCCCCCTTCTACTATATTTAATAAGCCGAGACAGACAAGAATAAAGCAAACAGGTGGTTGGCTGAAGTTGGCCAACTTGTATAACTGAGTCATTCAACAGAATAATCCAGATGGTGCCTTGGTTGGCTCCATTGATTGATCTGCATTGCGGTGGATAGGAGGAATGCCCTATAAACATCTCTTTGTCAATTAGATTTGGAAATGCTGAGAACGCCAGAAGCTGCGTGACACACCCCTGCCCGACTCTCCAATAGGTCAGGACTAAGACTTCGAACATTATGTCTGTCACCTACTAAGTTGTAGGTTTACTTTCCTAACAAAAACTGTAATATAAGATGATGTGGATTGCCTTCAGATATTTCGTATCCTCTGTCCTCTGGATTAACATATTTTTTCATTTGTGCTTTGATGTTTGTGATAAAATAAACTAGACCCATTCTTCTTCATCAGCGATTACAATGAGGTCCCTAAGCGACTGCAAAAGTTAAACATTATTTAAAGTGTTAATGGCATCACTGTGATTACCGGACAAAGCAAAGCTGTAATTTTAAATTTCATTTATATATATTTTTTTTCTTCTTCTTCTTTGTGATCCACCTTGAATTTTTATAAGGAAAGGCACCACACAAATATTTTAAATAAATAATAAACAATCTTAACATATGGCAAGTTGCAGTAGACACTTCCCAGACTGCTACAAGGAAATTGCTTTGCAGAAATTCAAGAACCAAAGATGAACTCAATGAGCCCTGACCATTGGATTAGGCTGGAACAGGTCATAATAATCTTAGAAAATAGGTAATACTTTTTCAGCCTGGATGTTTCTGCTCAATCTATATCATATGTCTTCAGTAAAGCAATTCCAGAATAACTTCAGGTAGGCTGTTTGGGCAGTAAATTACCATCCCTTAAAGATTTGTGCCATTTTGACAAGATTTATCTAAACAGCATCTATCTGCCGCTAAAACCCACTATGCTTTTAAAAACTAAAATGAGTGATTGTTTGTGTGTTCCCGTTTCATCTGCATAGTTCACACTGTGACAGAAAAAGCCTGCTCCCGTGCCCCTCCATTTTCTGCAAGTGAAGGATAGCATGTATGCAAACAGCTCCTGAAAACACAAACCTCAGGAAATGTGCTGTCTGGCAGGAAATTTGGAAAATCCCAGTGATATATATTTATGTCTACCCAGAGGGTGCCTAGTATCCCCTCTCGCCTCCAAAAGGTGTCAATCCCCTTTACCTGCTGAATATGAACATTGTCAAAAGGAGCAGGTGCTACTCAAACCAACCTGGAAGAGTCCCTAAAAGTGAGCTGAGCTTTGCAGCTTTCGTCCCTGTCTGAAAGGATAAAGGGTCCGTTCCATCCTTTATCCTCATCTATCAGGAAACCTTGCAACTAACCAACTGCACTCTGTTACATGTGAATAGGCTGAGGCATCTACTTGTAAGTTCCTAGGTCAGTACTAGGATTTCCTAGGTCAGCACAAGTTTCTTTTCCAGCATGTTGGTAAGGTCCCACCAGGAGTCTCAGATTTGAACAAAACTGGAGAACGGCACAAGCAAATGTACAAGTATCTCTTGCACACTTCTTGGGTGGGGAAACTTAAAAAAAACCACAAGGTGCATACACAGCTATTTCCCCTTTTGTCATTATAGGATCAACAAATCTGAAGGCAGGGACAAACGGAAAAGGGAACGTCTACTGGTATGTATGGGAAAGCCCCAAATTTCCTACTCCTTATACACAAATTCAAATACTGGGCTAAAAAAGGTAAAGGACCCCTGACAGTTAAGTCCAGTTGTGAATAACTCTGGGGTTGTGGCACTCATCTTGCTTTACTGGTCGAGGGAGCCGACGTTTGTCCGCGGACAGTTTTTCCGGGTCATGTGGCCAGCATAACTAAGCCGCGTCTGGCTACTCTGGTCTAATTCGAACATGGGAATTGTGGAAACGTAGCTTAATAATGTTCATATATGGACAAGCCCTGAAAGGTCATCAGAAACCCTCAATCCTGCATTTGATTCTATGCATGTAAGTGTTGTTGCTTTTTTTAGAAACTAACTAACTAACATGCTCACAAGTGGGCACAGGCTCAAGGCCTTTGTGGGTAAAATCCTATACCCACTAGTCTGAGAATTAGCCTCACTGTATTCAGTGGGACTTCCTTCTAAGTAGACATGTATAGTATGACACTATCATGATGGTTATGTTGGATGTCGTATAACAAGGCACATCACCTAAGCCTTCAAGTGCCTTTGGGAACCCTTTTCTCATTTTTTCCTAATCCAACACTTGACCAAGAATCATTTCTGAACAATGAATGGCTTTGTTTAATTGTCTTCACAAGGATGATGGGAAATGTCAGGTACTCATGGAATATTAAGATTTGCTGCCCAAGTTGTCAAACTTGTTTTATCTAAAAAGGCACAATGATCTTTAAGGTTAGCACCTGACAGTTTACTATATATTTTTGCTGAGGTCTCTGGTGTTAACAGCAGTGCCATCGCGGACTGAATCTGGGGGGATGTGGGGGAGAGAAGAGACTGAATTTCATCAAACAATATTAATTTGAATCCAGATATTCAAGTAATATATTTGATGTGAAACACTGTGTTAACCAAAAATGTCCTATTAATCTGTAATGTACAAATTCTTACAGAGCAGAACTGAATAAAAATCATTATATAAGGATTTTTTTTTAACAGTGAGGCAGGATTGTAGGTTTCAGCTGAAGTTCAAATAAAAATCTGCAACCATCAACATATTTAAAAACAATCAAATCACAAGAATCTGGGGGTTAATTTATGTTTCAGTTTATGTGCATGTTTATGTTATCATTTTCTTACATGATCTGTTTTGTCAACACTTAATTGAAAGCCTCAGTAAACAAACATTTCTTTAAAAAAAGACAAAAGGAACATTCATACAGAGAAACAGTCTATGTGGCTGTTACAACTACAGCCCATCAGTACAGTGGTACCTCGGGTTACATACGCTTGAGGTTACAGACGCTTCAGGTTACAGACTCCGCTAACCCAGAAATAGTACCTCGGGTTAAGAATTTTGCTTCAGGATGAGAACAGAAATCATGCTCTGGCGGCGCGACAGCAGCAGGAGGCCCCATTAGCTAAAGTGGTGCTTCAGGTTAAGAACAGTTTAAGGTTAAGAACGGACCTCCAGAACGAATTAAGTACTTAACCCTAGGTACCACTGTAAATCTATTTAAAAATCCTGGGCAAGTAAAAAGGTCTTTGATGACAAAAAAAACCAAACAAAAAAACCATAAGAATACCAAGCAAGCCTCTCACTTGTGACCAAGTGAAGATGCCTGGGCATCAGGATGGTGCTTGACATCTCCACCATCTGGAGATGCACGCCTGGGAATCACTGGATCTTGACTGTTTTCACACACTAATACCCCATCCTGTAGAGATCTATCAGTTATATTTTTTCTGCACAATTGGAATGAATTTCAGGAACCAAAAAGCTTTTTTGTGCAGTCTGAGCAGGAGCTGTGAACAACGTTATAGTTAATTGTTGTAGCTTGTCTTCACTTAACCCACCCCACTGTCCTGCTCACAGTTGTGAAGAATATCCCTACGTTATGAATGGCCCATGTCACCATTAAGAAAAACAGGCAGAAATAAGTGTGGGTGTGTGGGTGTGTATGCAGACTGTCCCTGGATCCAGTGACTTTTCTTCTTTAAGTTCTCAAAGTTCTTAACCTAGCTCAAGATGGTCATCTGAACTAGACAGATGTCACAGTCAGTCCGTCATTTGAAAAATAAGGGTTTAGAGCCATATTGTCCAAAAATGGCAACTAGACATTCTGTTTTGATGACTGTAACCTTGGTTTAGGAAGCCATTTGGCGCCTAGCTTATATATCTGTGTTTCTAACCCTGCTTTAAAATCAATGCTTTTATTATAGTTTTCCAACGTTGGCTCTTTCCTTATATTGTGCTGTTCCAAATAACAACCAGAGTTATGAAACCAGCCCATACTGTGGGCTCAAGCGAATAAGTCATGGGTAGGCAAACTAAGGCCTGGGGGCCGGATCCGGCCCAATCGCCTTCAAATTCCGGCCTGCGGACAGTCCGGGAATCAGCATGTTTTTACATGAGTAGAATGTGTCCTTTTATTTAAAATGCATCACTTGGTTACATGTGGGGCATAGGAATTTGTTCATTTTTTTCTTCAAAATATAGTTCGGCCCCTGACAAGGTCTGAGGGACAGTGGACCGCCCCCCTGGTGAAAAAGTTTGCTGACCCCCTGGAATAGGTCATCAAGGGGTTTCTTTTTGTTACAACAAATCCAATGTTATCAGGTCTCATGAGTAACAAAAATTATACAAACACCAAAAAAACCCCTAAAATAAAAATCAGAAAATGTATCTGTAGCACATAATGGCTATCATCTTATGCAGCAATTGCAGTTTTCAGGGTAAGTATGACAGACAAAATTCTACGCATGACATTTCTTCAAAACAGCATACTCTTACCAAGTCTTTTTTGTTTGTTTAGTTCTGCCTTAAAGAGAAGACAGACCTGACATTCTCAGGCAGGTCACAGTGGGTTCTTCACCCACAAGGTGAACTTGGAGCCACAACACATGTTACAGACATAAAGAAAATATAACAAACGCAAAGGAAGTCTGTCAATCCAATCTTGCCCCACTTCTTGCGCTGCATATAGCCACCTGCCATTTATTAAACCAGCATATATTTGTGTATACACACACCCTAAAGTTCAATCATAATGATAATAAATGTTCCACTGCGAGCAAAATGCACTCCACAGCTGGATTCAGATGCTGAAACTGTCCAGGAATGAGCAATTATTTTAGTAGGTTAGCCCTGGAATATAACATATAATGCAGGTCTCAAAACAGATTGAGGGTATTTTTAAAAAACCAAAAGGCAGGGAAAGGGCAAGAAACCCTTTCCCAACCTCTATCGTATGCTGCCAGCCAGTGTGATGGAAAGACAAGGTAATTAGCAAACAAGGCAAAAAAAAAAAAAAAAAGGCAACATTTAAGTGCCCAATTCTCATTAAGAGACACTGGACAATCATAAGTCTCCAACCAGGGATCTCACAGAAGGGGTGGGGATGGATGGACATTTGGCAAGACTAGCACCCGAAATTTGCTAGTAGCCAGCAATTAGCTCCATAAGGCTTACAGAGTTAAGGGAAGATTTAGTAAGATCCATAAAGGCTTTGCTGTTTTCCCCCAACCCATTGTTTCCATGAGCAGCCGTTTATTTTCCTCTGTAAAGACTTGTTTTCCACTCTTGCTGCAAATAGAAGTTAGTCAGATGAACCAACCATTTGAAGCAAAGGGGAAGAAGGGAGGGGGGGTGGAAGAGAAAGAGGCTGGATTGTTTGAAACATTTGAAAAGCCAGCCTGGAAGAAACCCATTTGTATTTTTAAACAAACAACAAAAAGCTAATGTAGCTATCAAACTGGCAGCACATTAAACACCAAAGAAAATGTTTTCCTGGCGATCAGTGTGTGTGCTGACACTAAATGGCTTCTGGCGGTGGCACAGAGAAAACTCCATGAAAAACTGGGGAAGCCTGTGCAAAGGGGCAAGGCGGAGACACAGCAATCAGAAAAGCAAAGCCCATACAGCATCATATCTTTCTCGCGGCTGCTGGGTTGCAAATGTTTTGGAGCACATTTGCAAACAAGACGGGAGGGAGTCAATGGTTTCGTGGAGATCTTTGATTAACACACATATCACGGGGGGGGGGGGCATTTCAAGTTTTTGTGGGTCAACAGTTAATGTTTAGACTCCCCAGAAGTTGCAGAGGAGGATCACATTAGTACAGGAGTAGGCATCAGATGCTAAACTATTACTGTCTCCCACCTGCCTCAAGCCACGAGCAATAGTCTGAAGGCTGAGAATCTCAAACTTTCATTAAAACATATTTGCAGGCCTCATGCATGAATACACAGGGGCTAAGACCTGGCCACAGTGATCCATGCGACGGTCACCTCCAGGCTTGACTACTGTAATTCGCTCTATGCGGGGCTGCCCTTGAAGCTGTCCCAGTAACTCCAGCGGGTGCAGAATGCTGCAGCGAGGCTCCTCACAGGGTCTCTGCCATGGGAGCATATTCACCCAGCGCTTTTCCAGCTGCACTGGCTCCCGGTGGAGTACAGGGTCAGATTTAAGGTGCTGGTTTTGACCTTCAAAGCCCTTCGCAGCCTAGGACCCTCGTACCTATGGGACCGCCTCTTCTGGTATGCCCCACGGAGGACCTTAAGGTCCATAAATAGCAACACCCTAGAGGTCCCAGGCCCTAAGGAAGTTAGATTAGCCTCAACCAGAGCCAGGGCCTTCTCAACACTGGCTCCAGCCTGATGGAACGCTCTTTCTCATGAGACCAGGGCCCTGCAGGATCTGATTTCTTTCTGCAGGGCCTGTAAGACAGAGTAGTTCCATCTGGCCTTTGGCTTAGAATCAGTTTGATTCCCTCCCCCTCTTTCTTTTTCCTTTCTCCTCCTGTGAAGAGCCTGTATCCTAATGTTTTAATGTTATATTTTAATCTTGTTTTTAAAATTGTATTTAAACAAATTGTTTTTATTATTGGTTGTTAGCCGCCTTGAGCCTGGTCTTGGCTTGGGGAGGGCAGGGTATAAATAAATTTATTATTATTATTATTATTAAGAAAACCTTCCCAAAGCCCTGCCCGTTTCATGATTTCAAAGAACTGGATCAGTTTTGAACATTTTAGTTACCCGTTTGGCTGGACGGAAGTCAAGACTTATCTATGCTATACGGGATCTGGTCATAGCCGTAGGAATGCAAAATGATGCGGGCATTCTAAGCAAAGGTAAGCATTACTAATTGCATGCTTATCTTTCCCGTGTTAATTACTATAAACTTGAAATGCGTATGAGCAGTGGCCCCCTGGTTCACAATATGTTTCTGATGCAGCACACACTGGGTATCTGCTCCTCCATCAGCACACCACCAGCTTGTTTTACGGTTATGCATCTTCTACACTCCCACACTTTAATATTAAAAGTATTTAACATTTCAATTTAGCATTTCCTACATGCTCATTCCAACAGAACTCTTGATATCTCCCTTAGGCCTATCTTTGCAGGCTAATGCACTTTAATTTTGTTCTGTAGAAGAAATTTACATACAAATTCCCTCAAACAGCTTCCACCAGGGAGCTGCTTTTTTCAAACAACTAAGCGCATATGACAACATGTTTCGGTCCTTCTGAAGGAAGTTAAAGACTTGCGATGAAGATGCCGCCAATAATAATTGACTTGTGGACCACCGCCAAGATCCAAACACCAGTATTACTTCATGTGGGAAGATTCATGCTCCCTGTCAACTTGATTTTGCAGAACAATTCTCAGAAAGATTGCAACAGAAAGAGGCAGAAAAATTTCTGACCTTCCCTATTTCCCATGCTACCCTCACCTCCCCTAGGAGCCAAAACTTCTGCCACAGAAATAGGGAAGAGACATTATGAGGAGTAGGTTTACAAGGGACCAAGAGAGAGTAGCAGGTAGCCATAAAAGAAATGGTGATTGTTTTCCGCCCTAGTGTATATAATAAATCAGAAGTCAATGAACTTTTTCAGACATTGGAATCGAAAGGTCTAACACTGTATCACATTTTATTAGCTAGTGGATTGTTCCTGTGAGGATTCCCAGGCAAATCTCTAGTGGTGATGGACAGGGGAATTCCATGTCAGCAATTCGGGGAAAGAAACTTCAGCTCAAGAGAATTTTCATCCCCAGGAATGTGGGCAAACAATTCTCCTGTTAGTACAATTTGCTCATCAAATTTGTATGGTAATCACATAGGAATAATCCTCCAGCAGACAAAACGTTGTGAAACTGTGCAGTGCAATTTACGATCACAAACTAATTATCATATGGGCAATTATTTGAGTGCTCATCAATACAGTATTACAAAGACACAAGTTTTTTAAAAAGAACACACCAAAAAAGCCCCACACAGTTACTTCTTCAGCACATGTCTAGAGTGAGTCACAAAAGTTAGTCCAACATTTGCCCACCAACCCAAGACAGAGTAGCACTTACCATTAAAAGTAAAGGTGTATACCACTTCTGAACACTGATATTTTTACAAGTACTAATGAAATCCAACTAATGTTGCTCATGAAAGGCACACAGTCGTTCCAGATTGAAAAGGTCCACAGTAACTCAGCTTCTCTCTCTTGCCTGCCACAGAGCTCACCCTGACACTTTACGCCTCTCTCCCTGCAACTGAACTCAGATAACCTCCATCTCGCAGGGTGGAAGGCCAAATACTTGTGACCCTATAATTCTATTACGTACAGGCTTCCCCTGGCTAAATCAATTTCAAAAAGAAATTTGTATCCCTCTTGGGGAAAAGGGTTAACTGCTAGGCACTATTACCATCAGCTATAAATGGCGACACATATAGAGAGCTGTGGCGAACCACTTTCATTCCACAAGTGGAGTCATAGAGATCTAACCAACAACAGTCACAGAGCAAAGTCCACCACCAAATATAACATTTGCTATCTCCCACAGATCACTAGGGTGTCAGGCTGGCAACTGCCATATACTTATAGAGTGCTTTGGAAAGATGAAAAATGTTTCCTGTACAATACAATACCTAGTTCGCATGCAACAAATGAGTCTAGCTTGTGAAGCGTAAATCCAGACTCCTAGAGGCTTATTCCTCTCCAAAAGCCCTGCAAGCGGAAGCCAAAGTTGGTCCTTCTTTGGAATGAAAGAAGGTTGCAGTAGCTGGGTTCTCACGTCGTGACAAGCCAGACTCTAGTTTGTTTCCTCCCATATGGAGCAAAGTCAGCAATGGGGAGGAGCAAAGGGCTGGTGTACATTAAACCATGGTTTGTTTTATAAACCATGGTTTAACATTACATGCAAATTAGTTCAATATGTACTGTCTTGTCACCCCAAGAAATGAGAGAGGTATGCTGAGTTAACCTTTACAAGAGACTTTAAAAAGACTTGGTCTAAGGGCATAGAAAGAACGGTGCTCACATTATGGAAAGCCCTTCTAGTAAAGCAGGGGTGGAGAACCATATTTCTGTCTCCAGGACTATGTACCAGTGATAGGCATGTCTAGAAGCAAAAGTAGTATGGCCAGACCCAAAACTGGGGGAGCAACAAATGTGACTTATTTGTATACAATAAGCTACATTCCAGCCACGCAAAAAAAAAAAAAAAAAAAGGGTTCTACATATCTAAGCAAGCAAGAGCCACTATAACAACTAAAGGACACTCCTGAGATGGGCTTGAAGCAGTGCTAGTGACGGGTACAGTCTGAGGGGAGCCCTCAAGACCAGGTAGGGAGGCCCCAAGTCCTGAGACTTCTCTTCCCTGAAATAAATGCTTGCCAGGGTCATAGCAAGAATACATGTCAACATGGTTGTGCGTAGGAAACATGAGAAGCTTTAGATATTTTAAGATTCTGCACTATTTTATTTTTTGATATTTTGAGACCTAACCCACTCTGAGTCTCCAAGGTGAGCTGTATATGCATCCAGATAAACTAACAGGAATAACTTCTGGGACAAGGGATTTCAGTCAAGGAGTCTGATCCAAACAGGAAAATTAATCATTTGGCTGATCTTCTCAGTAAAAGAAAAAGTTAGGAGGCTACAACTAACTTGAGTCAAAAGTCTTGCTGAGCTTTTGCTTGGATCTATGACAGTTCCCTGTTCCACTTTTTAAGCTTACCTTCTCCTATGAACTAGAGTAATACAACAACATTGCTAAATAGTGTGAAAAGAATAAGAGGCAACTGAAAGACTCACCTTCATGGTCAAGTCTGCCCTATGTAGCCTTAGTCCAGGCCACCAAAAGACTAAATAAGAAGTTTGCTACATAATGTTAATGGCTGAGAGATCTAAACAACTCTTACCATTAAAGAGCAGGTACCAGGAATAGTTCTCTATGATTTTTTGCCATACTGGTAGGCTATTCAGTCTGAGGGAGGTTCTGACAAAACGTCCTGGGGTGATCTTGAGACCACAAAAAGGAAACAAGGTTGGAAGTGGTTGTTGAAGCACATACAGTCCAAACCATTTTAAAACAGGAAGCTGAAATACAAGAGAAAAGGCCACTTTCTCCTGCTGCTCAACAGCCTGCCTTCAAGGTGTGGTGGCAAAGGCCACACCATCCATTTATCGTGATTACAGATTTTTAACTTGTCAAAGCATAATCAGTACTATTCATAAGAAACAAAGCTTTCACCTTAGATAAGCCTAGAATACAATAGCAGAGGAAGTGTTATGGTTTCACATGGTTGTTAGCAACGAAGTAGTCCATGGAGAACCGGTGTAGCATAGCAGCTTGGAGAATGAACTAGGAATCAGGATGTGTCTGGTTCAAATCCCTCCTTGGCCATGAACTAAATAGGTTGCCTGAGGCAAGCTATTTTCTCTCAGCCTTACAATTGCTAATACAATAATCACACTGTCCCTACCCTACATGGTTGTTGTACGGATAACAAGTTAATGTATGTGAATGATTTAGAACAATCTCATTATATAAATGCTAAGCATCATAGTTCTTTGTATGCATGACTGCAAGCTCTAACCTTGTAAGTGAGTCATTTAAAAACAGTGGGATTTACTAAGAATTAGCCACATATAAGACCGGAAGAATAGACCTGACAGAGAGAATCCCAAAGCTTATCATAAAGTCTTGCAGTAACAGGTAATGTCCACATTTGATTGTCAAAGAAACTCAGTGAGATGAGTTTACACAATACACTGTGATAGTTAAGAACAAATATGAAACACTAGCATCTTGAAGTGGGCAACAAGAACATTGTTCCTTTTAGACAAAGGAACTACCATGGCTTAGAAAGTGGCATGGTTTCTAATGCACAGTTCGCCCGGGCTACCCCTGCACTTTACACCATTTGAATAAGTCAGCAGAGAAGTTCGTCTTGAAACCTAACAACCAGTTTGGGGATAAAAAGCCTATCCACAAAGCCGGTGCCAGCTCATGTGACTTAAATGCACCAAACTAAGAAACTTGAAACCTTCTTAAGATTCACTGGCCTGATACATGTCTAGCAGCATTAAACATATGCTAGAGAATGAATGAAGTCCTGCCTTTATCTGATGAGCCTCAACTGACTTGGAAAGAACATTTTGCCCCATGAATAACGCTTTCAGGTGTATATTGTTGCATTCATGACAATGAGAGTCAGCTTGGTTCTGAGACTCTGCTAGGTGGGATCCAATAACTCAACATTACACATCTCCCAACAAACACTGGCTATTTAGAGAATTTGCCACTTCATAAATATAAAGAAGCAATAGAAAACTAAGGCTGATAATCCAAATGCATGCCAGGAAAAGCATGGCAGACACCTTTCCAACATAACCTTGTTAATATCACACTGAAAATGTCAGAAACTCTTGCACAACTTAATAAAACTCCAACTATATTTTTAAGGAACCTCATACACACAGAGAAGAGAGCATGTGGAACAAATTGTCCTACTCTAGCACACCCAGCTGTCTTAAGTATAGTTCCACCTTCTCAAACTCCACACCTCCTCTATTCATTGCAGATGCAAAAGCAGCCAAATTTGGGAGCTAGGCAAGCTGGAATTCAGTCCTTCAGTTCCAGAACATGATGCCCATTACAGCTTACCAGTATTTCTCTTAGCATGATACTATGGTGGTTTGAATAAAGAAAACAGTACTCCAAAAATGTAAATCCTGATATATTAGTGTAGAAGAAACTCAACTAAAGCAAAACAGTGAAAATGATCTTTTCATACTATAAGCCTAAAAGTTTCCACATTTCCCCAAGCAAAGGAGTGTTTTTTGTTTCAGTTTTAGACTGCATTTTTAGGGGAGATACTCACATTCCTGTTACTTTTCTCTTGCTCTCTCACACATACAACCACCCAGGAAAAAATATGCTAGTCTCATTGCACAAGGGAAATATTAAAAGTTTAATTTAGCAAGAGCTGGAAATGGGAAGTGATTGGAATTTAGACTAACCAGGCTACTAGCAAAGCTTATCATCAAGAGAAGGTTTGTTTCTTTTCAGAGGTAACCACAGATAACCAGGCTTCTAAGTCTTCATTCAGATTCTTCTCTGCAAGAAGTATGCAGTCAGAAGAGTACAGTAAACAAGCATGCTCCCAAATCTATCAATTCCTCCTTCACCTTCGATTACTGATGCATAATAAGGGATGCATTAGAGGAGGCAACTACACTCAACGCTGTTCAACGCTGTACTTTTCTCCCAGGGAGAAAAGTACATTTTGCTAAAGACTTCATGGCAGCCCATCAGAATACAACACTCACAACCTGTGTGTGTGTGTGTGTGTGTGTGTGTGTGTGGCCAGGACCATGTGCGTGGATAAAAAACAGATGCACGCGCAATGCGGAGCCAAACCTATTCAAAACCTGAATGATGGGATTCAAATCCATAGCCTGGCACAAGACAAGAGCCTGCATTTCGTTGCTGTTTCCAGCATGTTCAGAGTAACACTGCCCTGAAGTGACAGGTACCTCTCCTTCCTTGCGTCCCACTTCTTCTCCAACCCGTATGGCAGACACCATCCCGAAACAACCGCCTCCAGTCAGTCCCCGCCACTCAGGACGAAGCTGAACTTCTAAGTGCTCCTAGCCCAGGGGCTCGACTTCCTCGCCGGGCCCTTCTTGAAAAGCCTCTATTATTAGCTCCTGCAAAGGCGCAGCCCAAGTTTGCGCCTCTCTCCCTGCAGCCAGCTGTTCCTTAGTTACCACCTCTTCTCGCACAGAGCTGCTCCTGACAGAGCGCCGCACACTTTCCCCCTCTGCCCACAGAGGAATCTCCTCGCTCCCCTCGGAGCCCTCGGCGCCTTCACCCCAACTCCTTCTCCCTCGCCTTGCCTCACCCTCCGCTATCCGACTCCCCACTTCCAGAGACACCTCCCGCCTCAGCCCCGCTTTGCTCGTTGTTCCCTCCCGGCCCCCGTCCGTCCGCCCGCCCTCCCGCCCCTCTCTTTCCTCACCTGACTCGGGGGGGCTCCAGACCCAGCCGCCTCGCCGTGGGGAGGGCCCCCCCGGCCCAGCCGCTGGGAGGGGGGTGGGGGGCGCTGGAGGGGGGCTCAATGGCTCCGCGACGGCGGCTCCATCCACAGCGCCTTCACCTGAGGAGGGACCGAGCCCCCCTCCCCTCCCCGAGCCACTTCCGGTCCCTCTGCTAGGCGACAGGCGCGGGGAGATGAGCGTCGAGAGGCTCGAGTGGTGGTCAAAGAAAGCGCCCAGGGCATCATCATTCCGTCAGGGGGTGGTGGGAGAGGGAGCGCGTCGAGCGCATCGAGCGAAGGCTTTAGAGGCTAGGCAAGGGGGAGTGGGTAGAGAGCCGAGCGAGTCGATACGGGAACTGATGGGCGGGGGTGGGGGGGAGAAGGGTCGTCGCTGGGGGAGGCGGCGGCGAGGAGGGAAGCAGGCCGAGCACGGAGACGCCTGGATAGAAGTAGGGACGATCCGAACGCCGGGCGTATCGATGGCGGTCTCAGGAGGAGAGGGAGCAGGGGGCACAAGCTGAACGCCGAGAACATCGGCTCAGAGCGCTGGCGAAGGGGAGATACTGGGGGGGGGGGTGTCGGGGCGTGTCTGTCTGGGAGTCCGAATATTCGCCGATCGGGGGACCCCCTCAAGTTGCTCCCCAATCTTAATTAACAGCAATTAGTCTTGCATCTTAAATTAACAGCAATTATTAGCCTTGCATCTTGAATTAACAATTATTAGCCTTGCATCTTAAATTAACAGCAATTATTAGCCTTGCATCTGCCCCCCGGTCGCCAGCCAGCGATTAATGCAACGTGACAGTTCGAGGCGGGTCCTGCCGTTTCCCCAATTCCAGTCCTTGCAAATCGCGATAATGGTTCTAGAGGTGCCGAAGGAACTGATATGTTGCATGCGGGGGACCGATGGTGTGTGTTTGCGTGTTTCACCACCAGCAGGGACTACCGATTTGTTTCCGACGCGCGTGGGAACGTCCTTGCCGATTTTCTTTCATAATATTTTTTTTTAGTGTAACGAATAAACTGTCTGCCTTTATTACGTACTCTCTCTCTCTCTCTCTCTCTCTCTCTATCCTACCAGTTTTCGCTCAGACGTAAGTACGCTTGCCGCTTCACCCTTAACGACCCAAAGCCTGGGAAGTTTCAGTGGGATTTATTTGGAACCGCCCAGCAAGCAGGCATAGGATTATATATACCCTTAGTAACAAAAGAAAGTACTGGAGCAAACCAGTGGGGATAAATTAGGCAGGACCCAGCCTAGTCCTTCCTTACACTTGCCAAGGGAGGTGGTTGCTTAGATGAACTGTAGGTCTCCAGCATCTTCGCGTGTCCCGTTATTTCCGTTTTACATTTTGACACAGTCTAAGAACAGACCCCCCCAAACAAACACACAAAGGCACAACGGCTTAAGTAACCAGCAGTTATTTATTATTATTAATGGTGATGCTGATGAAGAGGCATAGGGTTTCCTGTGGCTCTAGCTTCCGCACAAATTACTGGTTATAGCTAGCTTGCAAGAGACCTATAATTCCTCCTGCTGCCACAGGGACTGTGGGTTCCCCTATATGTAACACACAGGATGGAACCGCTTCATGGGGTTTTTTGGGGGGGGGGGGAGGATGAAGCACTTCTTCATCCTAAGGCTGATAATAGTTTTCAAATTGTCATTTCCCGTCCAGTTGATTTTAATTTAAAATTCTCTTTGAAGCTGGCAGCATTGTCTGAGGAACACATTAAATTTGGTTGTTTTCACCCTGCGTGTGCTAATGTGGTCCTCTTTTGAGCTTGCAGCTGACGAATTAGCTAATTAAAGCCCTTTATCCCACATGTAAATAGGACAGAGAATCCGTGCTGACATGAACCAAATTACCTTTGGCTCCGAGAATCTCTTTGATCTGGATGCAAGATGCACATCAAACACCATCTAATAATGCTGGTCAGGGAACAAAATCACCATTGTCCTCAAATTGTGGCATACCACCCCTCATTTACTTAGGCAATCATTATTATTTTCATTATAATTAATCCATAGGCACAAACCTGCAAAATTTGTCCTTATGGGGGGTGGGAAATGTTCTGAGCAGAAGCAATCGCCTCATCATCTACTTCAACACTTACCCAGCTCCCCTTGCAAGAGCCCACTAGGAAACTTTATTCAGTAGCGTTATGTTCCATCCGATTTTATGTTTAGCTCAGCACTGCTCAAGTTGAGGCTTTTGCGTTGCTGCAAGCTTGCTGACTAGACTTGAGGTTGTCAGCAACAATCTAAATCAGGTTAGAGTCACTGGATTCCAGCCCTGTGTTGCATTCAAGGCTACCCTCTCACCCTTGATATGCCACTAGATCCTGGGCAGGCCCACTACAACCTTGTCAAAGAACCAGCTGACTTCTACCACTGGTATGCTACTGAATAACAGTTACTGGGGGAGTAAATAAGGAAGCTGGCTATTGTCCTCATCATGCCCTGGGTGCATCCTAGTGGCATCTAACTCACCGTTGTGAGAAGCAAACATCAGATTGTCCAGACAAGAATAAGATCAGAAAGCGGATCCCTGCAAATGAGACCCCAATGGGGTCAGCTGACAAATTTAATACTGTAGTTGAGAGGAAATGTAAATTAATTAAGTTATAAGCAATCTGCCAACTGACATACACCTAATAGGGCCAGTGTGACATTGCACTATGCTGAACATTCCTTCTGTGCAAGCATTTCAGCATGCCAGATGGAACAATCGCCCCTCATGATACCCCCAAGCCAATTTCAGGGGGGAGAGGGGAGAAGGCTCCATTGCAAGTCCTTGCGCAGGGAGCTCCCATTCATCTTTAGATGAATCCCACTCAAAGCAGTTACCAAAGTACATATACCAATTTTTATGGAATCAGAAAGGGGGACGGGTCGTTAAGATATAATCTAGTCCAATCCCCTGGTGATGCAGGAAATGTAGTGCTACAGCACCCCCAATAATTATATAATTATGCCTGTGGTTTCCATAACTGGGGCCTGTCGCAAGAGCAGAGTATAGATTAAACTAATAAGAATACACACTGCAGACTGAAGGCAAGTTCCCCTGAAATTAAGCGGATGTACCTCAAATTAAAGAGTGTTTCAGATTACAGGTGGTTCCCATTGGGCGTGGAATTCTCAAATGCCAGCATTGTTAATTTATCCCGAGCTTTTATGTCTGAATGAAGTTCAAAAGCAGAGCAAGAGATGGACCTGCAGATAACCTTGCAGCAAGGAAGAAGAGATGTACATAACACAGGTGGAAACAAAAAGAAGAGAGATAAAATCCAGAGCGTTTATTAAGGACTACTAGAAAATATAGATTCTTACCCTATGCAAAATTAACAGAACAAATGCAATATTTTATCACACTCATCAGCTTTCAAATGAGGACAGAGCAGAAGGAGCCATTACACAGTAAAAAAATATTATAGTTTCCCCTGTGCAGTGTGGAGATATTAAAAGGTATCTGATTTTAAGAACTACTCATTCCTTCCCCATGCAAAAGGGGAAGCTTTTTCAGCTTAAGGGCATGTTTCCTTGTGTACAGCCTTTGAGGGGAGGGGTGCTTGCCAGTGGTGGGGTGGGCCAGAGGCAAAACTGGGCGGATCATTGGATGTAGCTCTTACTTTTGTACAGTAGGCTACATCAGGGTTTCCAGCAGTTTTTGGACTACAACTCCCATCATCTCTAACTAGCAGGTCAAGGATGATGGGAACTGTAGTCCACAAACAGCTGGAGAGTCAAGTCTGGGAAACACTGGGCTACATTCCAGCCACACAAAAGTCAGAGAGGTTCCTCCACCTACTCAGAACACACTTTACCAGAGAGCATTTGCTATCCAGACCCCTGCTCTAGGAAACCAGCCTGTTGATGACCATGTTTCGAACAGACTGCTCGAGCTTAATTTCCATCTTATGCCTCACAGCTCAGAGTTCTCAAGTCTTGCTCTTAAGTGTGTGGAAAATTTCACCTGATAAATTTGGGATAAAGCAGAACAGCAAGGCTAGGGAGAGGTTGCAAGCCAATTGTTGTAACATATGAACTTCAACTTGACTATAGCCTGTGACGAGTTCCCATTGGCTCTCTTATCGCTAATGTTTTCTGTGTGCATTAAGGAGGGAAACCCCTGCTAAAAGTGCCAGGCATTTCCCTTTGCTTAGCAGCGGTTTAAATGCAAATCCCTTCCCGAATCAAGAAGGGGTGTGCACTGAATCCTGCCAAACTGAGCAGGATTTAACCCCTGCGGAGGGGGGAGTTAAATCCTACTCAGTTTGGCTACGCTTTGAAGTCCCCATGTTGGGACTTCAAATAACCTCAGAGGCAGCCAAGTGCTAAATCTTCGCTTTAGCAGTGCCTTGCTGCCAGTGAGGTGCTTTGAAGCAGACTCCAGACTTCAAAGCCCCAAAATGTCATTTGTGATGTCAGGCGATTTGGCATTTGGTCAGCCCCACCTGTCAAATTTGGCTTGTGAGGCAGATCCTGATAAGGCTCCTCACCCCCCCACACACACTTTGAAGTTTGTTACCACAAATGGGAGGGATGCAGGTGGCGCTGTGGGTTAAACCACAGAGCCTAGGACTTGCCGATCAGAAGGTCGGCGGTTCGAATCCCCGCGATGGGGTGAGCTCCCGTTGCTCAGTCCCAGGTCCTGCCAACCTAGCAGTTTGAAAGCACGTCAAAAGTGCAAGTAGATAAATAGGTACCACTCCGGCGGGAAGGTAAATAGTGTTTCCGGGCACTGCTCTGGTTCGCCAGAAGCAGCTTAGTCATGCTGGCCAGATGACCTGGAAGCTGTATGCCGCCTCCCTCGGCCAATAAAGCGAGATGAGCGCCACAACCCCAGAGTCGGCCACGACTGGGCCTAATGGTCAGGGGTCCCTTTACCTTTACCACAAGTGGGGGTGACAGAACAGGCACTCACCAGCTCCTTGCAGTCTTGCATAGCCAGTTTGCCTTCCAAACCAACAGGTGTCATCCTCCTCTCTTGGGCTGACTGGGACTTACGCAGGAAGCGCTTTGCGCACAGTGCCAGGGATGGAGAACCTGTGGTCCTCCAGATGTGGCTGAACTCCAACTCCCATCAGCCCCAGCCAGCTTGGCCAATGGTGAGGGATGATGCGAGTTGGAACCCAGCAACATGGGAGATCCCTGGTGTACATGCATATCCTGATTTTCCAGCTGTAACCCAGCACCATTTGAATCATGTTGTAGTTCCAAACCAACCACCCCATTGTCTTGCTTTGTTAACAGGACCTGGAGCTACGGAAGAGAATCTCCTGGAGCCATACAGTGATGAAGGCACCTGGACAGGATTCAACCCATCACATCCTCTTACCTGCCCCACCCCATACACAATGCCACAGCACTAGTGGAAGGGAGGAGGTGAAGGAATCCCTTATCATTTTTGTACACTGCCTCAAACAGGTCATCATGGAAACTCTAGGCAAAGTATTAAAAACGAATGAGATGAATAAATTTCCCACCATGGCCAGCAGAGGGAAGCAGCAAATTAAAACAAGGACAAAAACCCTGAATAGATACAGAAGTCTTTTATAGTGTGATGAAAGCTTTTCCTAACCTCTCTAAACCGGATTCTTGAAGCTTGGCAAGTGTTGTAAAGGGGGGGGGGAAATGCTTACAGCTAGTAGGCAGTGTTTCCAGTCTGGAATGTGATTAATTTTCCCAAAGCTGTCCAAATCCGTCCTCCAATTACCACTTCAGATACTTGGGGAGGGCATGTCGGAGACTCAGCCAGGTCCATCCATAGCGAAGTTTTCCATCCCCACCCTGAAACGTCAGAGCAAGAACTGGCACAAAATGCTGGGGTACCAAGAGTACAGTGAGTGTCACGTAAACTCACAAATCTACAGTGGAAAAAATCTCTCCAGGCACTTATTGTGTACACCTGCTTTTGTGCGTGGCAGGTGCTGGCAGTGCCCTGAACAGGCTCAGGTAGCAAAAAGAAAAGAGGTGCAGCTACGATGTCCTGATCTGATGGGAAGGATCAGCAATGGCGGTGGGGGGGGACACACCTAATTTTGGACGGGGTGGGTGGTGGTACACACTGAAATGCACAGCACTGGCTCCCAGTGCATTTCCAGGCACAGTTCAAAAGCACTGCTGCTTCTTGGTGGTGCCCTGCCTACATTACAATATTTTGGGCAGCAGGTTAAAAAAGCTTTAATGTTTTCCCAGGGCTTTTTTTTATTTTCCAAAAAGTGGGTGTTAAAAAAAAAAGTCCTGAAATTAAACTAAATGTTACACTGTTTTACCTATGACTGTTTTCCTGCAAGTTTGTGATGTTATTTTAATGCTTCATGGCTAACACCTCCCCCCCCCAAAACACACACACACACACACACACACACCAACACACACACACACACACACACACACACACACACACACATATAGAGAAGGCACAAAGTGTTCATGGGAGGAGATAAATGCCCATGGAGAAAGCCAATTCCTTGGACACGCACACAAAAAACTAAGCTCCCCATATGACCAGGTGCAATCTGACCTACAACTACTGTTGTAGGAAACCCAAAGCATTCAAATTTAGTTTCGGTATACACACAAACACACAATGCCTTTGTTTTGTATGCTGTTTTCCTAAACCTGGATTCCCATGTGAGCAAACTACCTTTATTCTCAATCTCATTTTTATGTGTAAGCAGAGTAGCCATTCTCTCTGTGTTTTCAGTCCTGCCAGGGCAGGAGAGTTAAGTGTTTCACAAAAGCGATTGTCAGAACCCTTCCTTACAGATAGAAAACTGTGCTAGATTGCCGGATGTAAAGGACTCCCGTAACGGGTAAACAGCTGATGAAATCGCCTCTTCAAAATAGTCGAGATTTCTGTCCTCCTTTTTCATCTGGTCACCCACGACCGTGTCTTCTGAGCAGGGGCGGGGAATGAGGGAACAGCTCTTGTAACGGCGGCAAGAACCACAAGAAAGCAATCCTGAGGAGGAGAAGGAGGAGCAGAGCGCAGGAGATAACGAAGGCAACTCAGCGAAGGTTGCACGCATTCGCCTCTCGAGAAACAAGCACACAAGGAATTCTAAAGGGCAGCAGAAGGCCTTCCTTAAAAGACAGATTAGAGAAGAGGTAGTAAAAGGGCCTTCATCCATCTCAAACGAGGCTCGCCAAGGTGGTGACCTCCAGCTCTCGTTGGGCTACAACTCCTTTCAGTCCCAGCCAGCAAAGTCGATGGTCAGGAAGCTATAGCTCAGCGGCAGCTACAGAGTGACAACAAATGCTTAATCTCTTCTCCAAGAGGATGTAGGCAAATGTACTCTTGGAAGAAAGAAGGAGCGGAACCCCAATCTAAGACCCTTTGTTTCTTTCAGGCAATGAGGCACGACTCAGCCTCTTACTCCTCGCCCACGATGACGTGGACCCGATGCCACGCGCTGTTGAGCACTCCCAAAATGTTCCAGATGGGCGCCACTGTGTTGGGCTGGTCGTTGTAGCTGGCATCCACAGCCTTGCAGACAATGTCCATCTCTTTGGTGCCTTCGGGCACGCAGGCGTCCAGCTGCCACAGCTGCCACGCCCAGGCTCGACCAGGCAGCTGCTCCTTCCCGGTGAGCTTGGCCACGTGCCAGCTCTTCCCACCATCCAGCGAAACATCGACACGGATCACCCTTCGCCCCCCTCCGCTCCAAGCGTAGCCCTTCACCGTGAGCTCCCCGGGGCAGACGCAGGCACCCGGGCCCGGCTCGGTGATTGCCGACTGCACGGGCATATCTTGGATGGCAGGGGCGCTGGAGAAGTCCACGTTGTCCCACGTCACGGAAGGGGAGAATCCTTTGTAGTCCTTCTGCTGCCAATGGCTCTGGCTTTCTTCCGGGCCCACCGTGATCCGGGCCAGCCACTTGACGTTACGAGCGCCGACTATCCCCGGCGCAATGACTCGGAGGGGGAAGCCGTTGTCCCGGGGCAACTCCTCCCCGTTCATCTCATAAGCCAAGAGGACGTCCCCGTCGGGACTCATGGCCTTCTTGAAAGGGATGGAGGCCCCGTAAACTGTGCCGCTCTGATCCTTGTCCAGTCCCTCAAAACAGACGTGCCCCTCGTCGCTGGGTCTGTACCCGGCTTCCGCCAGGACATCCCGAAGCAGGGCCCCGCCCCAGCGCGCGTTGCTGATGGCCCCGACGCCCCAGCCCAGCCGGTTGGTGTTCTTGATCGCGTTCATCTCGGACCGGCGATTGCCGGCGCACTGCAGGGTGGCGGTCACCTCGTGCTTGGGGAATCTCCTCTTCAAGTCCTGCAGAGATAGGGACATCGTCCGCCCGCCGGAACTCTGTACTTGCAGCCGGTAGGTGGCGGGGTCCACCACGGGCACGGGGAAGTGGTTGCGCTTGAAGAAGAGCGCGTTGGGAGTCAGGTAGTTCTCGGCAATCAGCTCCGGGGGGGTCTCTGCATTGAAGGGCTTCAAGGTGTTGATCCGCAGGGCGGGGTGCCGCTGGGGATCCTCGGCGTATGGGTCTCCCGGGGTTGGCTGCGGAGGCTCCTCGGGGCTCAGCTCCCCCACTTTGTACCCGCGGAGGATCTCCAGCACGTGTTCCTGCTTGTGCATGGCGTAGAGGGCCCAGAACGGTTCCAGAGCGCCCCCCGCCGCCAGGAGGATCTTACTTTTGCCTCCAGGATGCACCTCTACGAAGTCTGTGATGTCAAAAACGTCGCTGCCGTAGGTCACCCACACCCGACTCTCTTCGCTGTTGTGGCGAGCCACCTCCTTCCGGGTAAAGACCGGAAATGGGGCTCCAGCTGCGGGTGCTGGAGTCTCAGGCTCAGCTGCCTGTAGGGAAGCAAGAGGGGAAAGCCATTAAGAAAGGAGAAACAAGGGGCTCTTTGCAGACCTGAGCACCCTTTTGCCATGATCAAAGAGCCTCACTTATTTACACAAGAAGCCTGTCATACCACAGTTGAACTATTGAGTTTGTTTCCTTTTCTTAAGCAGTTTTTAAACAAATACAAACACAATAACCACGAAACAGCAGTACATCTAAGGGCGGGTGTTTCATCCTTTGTCTCTAGACATACGCTTACACATTCATGCATATTACTTAACGTAGCCCCTCCACTGAGAATATAGAGCAGTTGGTATAAGAAGGTCTTGATTTTGGTCATTAACATTGTTAAAGAAAGGGGTTCACGTTTCTTGGGAGGCGTCTCTATTTGTTAGGCCTTTAACTACCCCTCCTGGATCTGGTGAGACGCTCAGACATTGCTATATCCAGGAGTTTGTTTTCATAAGGCCTAGTGATGGTCACTAACTTCCATGACTTTCAAAAAGGTTGAGATAAATTAATGGAGGATCAATGGAGTACAGTGGTACCTCTGGATACGAACAGGATCCGTTCCGGAGCCCCGTTCGCATCCTGAAGCGAATGCAACGCACGTCTGCGCGTGCACGGGTTGCGATTTGCCGCTTCCGCGCATGACGTCATTTTGACTGTCTGCGCATGTGCGAGCGGCGAAACCCGGAAGTATCGCATTCCATTACTTCTGGGTCTCCGCGGAGTGCAACCTGAAAGCGCTCAACCTGAAGCAACTTCAACCCGAGGTATGACTGTACAAGCTATAATGGCTACATTATATCTCCACTGTTGGAGGCAATAAGCCCAGGAATACCATTTTCTGGGAGCTGCAAGTGGGACTGGCAGTCTTACGTTTATCATCTCCTACCTTGCTGCTTGCAAGTTTAAGTTCAGGCACAGTGCCAAGATCTTTTTTTGTACAACAGCCCAGCTCTCAACGTTTAGCTCTTCACATCCCACTGCCGGCACGCAGAGGGTCGCAAGGCCAGCTGGGTTGTCTCCTTCCAGCCGTCCCGCTACGAAGACCCATCGGCTGCTGCTCCGACGTATATCAGCAACCCAGGCTTCAAAGCCAGGGCATACTATGTCAGCAGAGCGAACTGCGCACACAGAATAGGCGTGAGGCTTGTGGAAGCATACTACAACTACGGATTTATTAATTATAAATCAGGACAAAGAAACATGTTGTCTCTCTCTTTGCTTTCTTTGAGAGACAGGGAAAGAGCAAAAGCTATACACGCAACGGAAGTTCCCAGCAAGCTGTGCTGGTATGTAAACAGACACGTGACATGCAACAGTTCCATGTCTGCAACTAAAGGTGGAGTGGAATTTTCCAACACCCACTACACATCCCACTTCCCCAAGCGGCCCCACTCACCCGCCGACGGTGATCTCCATAAGCCAAGATGGTGCCTAGGCCCAGCCCGGCCCCTGCTGCTACCATGACCCTGCGCCTTGTGCTGCCAGCATCGTTCCAAGTGCCATGGTTGCGAGAGGTTGTCCAAGCCATGCAGGCTGGAGGGTGGGGCCTCCAAGGCATCTCTCTCAACCTGTAACCAAAGCAGGCCAAAACCTTAAAAGAGAAGATATCTACAGCATATACAGTGGTGCCCCGCAAGACGAATGCCTCGCAAGACGAAAAACTCGCTAGACGAAAGGGTTTTGCGTTTTTTGAGTCGTTCCGCAAGACGAATTTCCCTATGGGCTTGCTTCTCAAGACGAAACGTCTTGCGAGTTCTTGCGAGTTTGTTTCCTTTTTCTTAAAGCCGCTAAGCCGTTAATAGCCGCTAAGCCGTTAATAGCTGCTAAGCCGCTAAGCTGCTAATAGCCGCTAAGCCGCTAATAGCCGTGCTTCGCAAGACGAAAAAAACCACAAGACGAAGAGACTCGCGGAACAGATTAATTTTGTCTTGCGAGGCACCACTGTACTTCGGACGTGTTAAAAAACACTGTTCTATGATTCTGAAGTTTTAAGCAGTGTCATTACCTGCAGGCTTAAGAGACATACAGGAAAAGGACACGGGAAGAAAATGCAGAAATAAGTTGCAGAGCGGGACAGGGGAGGAAAACGGCCTCTGTCCAGTATACCTGAAGGAGCGTCTCCACCCCCATCGTTCTGCCCGGACGCTGAGGTCCAGCTCTGAGGGCCTTCTGGCGGTTCCCTCACTGCGAGAAGCAAAGCTACAGGGAACCAGGCAGAGGGCCTTCTCGGTAGTGGCGCCCGCCCTGTGGAACGCCCTTCCAGCAGATGTCAAAGCGATAAACAACTACCTGACATTCAGAAGACATCTTAAGGCTCAGGGAAGTTTTTAACATTTGATATTTTTCTGTATTTTTGGTTTCTATGGAAGCCGCCCATTATTATTATTATTATTATTATTATTATTATTATTAATTTGCTATGGCGGCGCAGGGTCTGTCTTCCAGGATCCCAACAACATAATCAAAGGAATCTGTACCTTCCCTTAAGAGCAACCTTGCCTGACAAATGCAATATTCCCACTTCACACACAGGGAGGGAACTTAAAAAGATGATGATGATGATGATGATGATTTATTACTTATAACCCGCCCATCTGGCCGGGCCTCTCCAGCCACTCTGGGCGGCTTCCAACAGGATATTACAAAGATCAAACATTAAAAACTTCCCTAAACTTCCCTAAAGAAAGACTGTGGGCAAGTAACCTAGAAAATGTTTGCCAAAGCAGAAAGGAAAACAAGTGCAGTTTGTTCTGCTTCCAGGCTGCCATTCTTAACTCCTTGGCAAAGGTGCCTTTCTCTTTTTCTAAAAAAGAGTGTGTGCCTGCAATTGCAACATGCAGCGTGTTATTTGGCAAATTCCAGACCTGACATATAAAATAAGGAAGCTTTCTAGAGCCTTATGGTAACTGTTTATAAAAACAGGCCTGCCACTTCTCTTAAGAGTCAGAACAGGATGGCAATTCCTGTGGGGCAGATTATCAGCACCCTGCAAAGCTACCTGATCATTGTCCTTACCTGCTACCCTCACAGAAACTGCAACATTCATATACTTCCCAAATTCGCCTCCTTTACCCCCCCCCCAGCAATTCATTAGGCAGGTACCCTCACCACCATGTTTTAGATGCCTGCTGATTTTTTCATTACGGCAAGCCTACCCAGACATATCATTTAGCTATGTATTTTTTGCTTCAAACAGTTTTTCTGATTCTATAGTCTATAAGAATCTATATTCTGATTCTACATGTGTTTTACTGATAATATTGTGTGTACAACCTAGGAAATTTTATAATTAAGCAGCCTAAACATTTTTTTCAATAGAAATAAATCCCAAGGGTTGTCCTCAATGTAGTGCTAAGCAAAACATTCTGTCCAGAAAAAGAATTTGGGACATTCTCCACCTCTTCTTCCTCTGCGCACCCCCTAAATCTGATCTGGGGGTTCCCCCTAACCCTTTGTAGCAGGTTTTGTGATGGCAGGAGGGGGACAGAGTGGGGAGAAGGTAGAAATCCCATTGTGGTACAGCTAATCCATGCGCTAGCACAAATATTTAGTTGAATATCATCCCACATTTTGAATTCACAGATTTTCAAAACAAATCCTAAAAAACCCCCCCAAAAAACCCCCTGTGAGATTGAGATAATTACATTTTTTTGCTGGGATTTCTAGACACCAAGAGCATAGGTAGCCTATTTCCACTCAGGTCAACCGGTGATTAATCTTTAACTCCTGCCTCCACTCAACGCAAGGTAGAGGGAATTATAAACCTAATAAAAGGAGTCTCCCTACCTAGATCCTTTGCCTAGGATCATAGAAGCAGAAGTCACATTGAAAGGGAAGTGATGCACTTGGAGATAAGATTAGAGTCCATATACAACTGGGTAAGGAGCCAAAACAAATACTCCGGAAAGGCTCTTTAGGAAAGTTCAGGTAAGGTCTTTTTGCAAGGTCTTTTTGCTTCTTTTCAGGCCATAGGGGCAATACTGCCTGCTGGAAAGGAAGAGACTTGGTAGCAGGTGACTGGATGGGGGGTTTAAATTGCCAATTTGAGTGGAAATTATTGAATAGAGCTAGAGAGGGAGGAATAGCAAAAAGGCCTTAGCTTGAAATGAACTTTTATTAGTAAAAATACAGCATTTTTTTAATTACAGAAGCCTTTTCTCCCTGTGTGTGTTGGAAACTTGGTTTCCCCTTTCAACCTCTCTGCTTTTCTTTGGGACCAAGAAACAATCTGAGGGAGGAATGTCAGCCATGAAATTTTATTTCCTAAGAAACTCAACAACTTTCCACACTAGAGCTTTTCCTACTATAGTGTCTCTAAGCCTTCCTTACCTTAGAGAAGAGCCCTATGCACTTAGGAGCTTGCCCTCTATTTGCCAATTGTTCCAATAAAAACACTATTGTTTTTTATTTACTTTCGCAATTTTTCGGCCTGACTCATTTGCCAAAAACCCCACAGGCAGCAGCTTTTTGAGTCCATGTCAGGATTTTGAGAGGTGAAAACAGAAAGGAAAGATGTCAACCGTGTATAGCAAGTTAAAGATCAAAATGTCCTTTCACAAGAACACAGAGTTGATGTAAATAGTCCATGCTCCTTACCAGTGTGTTCTGTGAAGGATGCAGAAACCATTCCTGCTGGGTTTGGACAGCAGCATCTTCCCAATACCTACACGCAACAGGAAAAGTCAGACAGGATTTGCACCAGACAACACAAGTTCTAGAGCTGCCCATCAGCTGGAAATTCAGTTGTCACAGGGACAGTCTGGCCTCAGTTGTCTATGCTCTGATACTCCAAGTTAGACTATTGCAAGGTATTGCGCCGCCTTTGAAGTTGCACAGCTAGTGCAGAATGCTGTGGTTGGATTATTAACCGAGATAAGAAAGTGTAAGCTCGCTTTCAACATTTTAAACATTATTGAACCAACCAGAGTCTTTACTTCACTTCCACTGCACTGTATTTACCTCTCTCTTAATAAAGGTAAAGGTACCCCTGACCATTAGGTCCAGTCGTGACTGACTCTGGGGTTGCGGCGCTCACCTCGCTTTATTGGCCGAGGGAGCCGGCGTACAGCTTCCGGGTCATGTGGCCAGCATGATTAAGCTGCTTCTGGCGAACCAGAGCAGCGCATGGAAACGCCGTTTACCTTCCCGCCGGAGTGGTACCTATCTATCTACTTGCACTGGTGTGCTTTCAAACTGCTAGGTTGGCAGGAGCAGGGACCGAGCAATGGGAGCTCACCCCGTCGCGGGGATTCAAACCGCCAACCTTCTGATCGGCAAGTCCTAGGCTCTGTGGTTTAACCCACAGCACCACCCGTGTCCCTCTCTCTTAATAGATTCTTATTAATTAAGAGGTACGTGCAGCCCAACCCATGTTTACTCAGAAGTGAGTGCCATCAAGCCCGAAGGAATTTACTTCTATGAAAATATGTATATAATTACAGTGTCCTGCATTATTTCAGCTTTGCTCTACATGTTCTTAGTTTCCTTCATGCTAACCATCAATAGGCTTCATACTTGCAATATTGGAGACCCGTTTCGCTCCTTATATTTGTAGTTCTAAAACGTACAGGTTGTGTTGTCGCCATTTAATTCCACATCAGCCAAGAGAGGCAGGAAAACACCCCTAAGGTAGCAAAATGGCTTCTTGGAGACCAGCTAAAAATGCTGACCTTAATTTAAAGTTTTAATACAATGCATACAGAATACATGGTATGATCAGTTATTATTTACTTACTCGGCTGGATGAAAACAAAATCTAATTATTAGCAAGGAAATGAGAGAATGCAACTTGAGACTCATTCTGAATTTGCCCACTTGTCCTGGCGAGACTTGGTTAGCATGACATTTCCCTTACATACTTTATTTTATTTTACTCTTGTATTGGTTCTGGCTGTGTCCTAACAGCCTGAAATACGTAAGTTAACACAGGTTAATGTTTTCCCATCGTTTTACCGCCACTTGCTGCATGTCAGGCTGCTGTAAAAAGCAGTCTATTAAAAGGGAAGTCAGCAAGCTGATAGTGGGACCAACACCTTCCCCTGCAATAAATATTCTCAAGAGATAACCTTTCCTAGAAAATGAATTTTAAAAAAACTAGGTGAAAAGTGATCAGACTACTATTTTTTATATGTGCACCCAGAGCCGGATTTAGGTTTGATGAGGCCCTAAGCTACTGAAGGTAATGGGGCCCTTTATATGTCCAGCTGTCCTTTGTCAACAACAATTTGTCGCTGTTTTTTGTGTTGAATATATGCTATATGGTAATTTATGGACCTAATAGGTATCTAAAGCCATTTGCACATAACAAATAGGAGCCCATACAACACAAGATACTGTTGCTGTATGTAGGTTTTATTTTATTTGTTTTTTATCTTATATTTTGGAAATGTACATCCAGGTTTTTTTCCCTTTAAATTTTTTGGGGGCCCCCAAGAGAGCGGGGCCCTGAGCTATAGCTTGTTTAGCTTATACATAAATCTGACACTGCACCATATCCAAGCTGTGCAATACAGAAGTAGATAAAGGTAAAGGGACCCCTGACCGTTAGGTCCAGTCATGACCGACTCTGGGGTTGCGATACTCATCTCGCTTTATTGGCCGAGGGAACAGGCGTACAGCTTCCGGGTCATGCGGCCAGCATGACTAAGCCGCTTCTGGCGAACCAGAGCAGCACACGGAAACACCATTTACCTTCCCGCCGGAGCAGTACCTATTTATCCACTTGCACTTTGATGTGCTTTAGAACTGCTAGGTTGGCAGGAGCAGGGACTGAACAACGGGAGCTCACCCCATCGCGGGGATTCGAACCACCAACCTTCTGATCGGCAAGTCCTAGGCTCTGTGGTTTAACCCACAGCGCCACCCGCGTCCCACAGAGAAGTAGATAGATGGATATAATAACACCGCAGGCTTTTGAGAACAATCCCTGCATGCAAAGGTCTCCTAGGAAGCTCCACGAAAAGCTGCTACAGCACCCAGAAGTCGCCAGAGGTTCACTCAGATTTAGGAAACAAGGGGTCTCTCTGTACAAAATGCTGAAGGATAAACACTTCTGAGAGGCTGGAGAAAAAAGGCCCAGGGCCAGCAAGACACATCCACAGAAAAAGAGCAGTGACAGACGTCTTACTCTAAGGAACCATAACGGGCTACCTTCCAGATCCTTTTTTTAAAATGGAATATTATTGTGAAGAGGAACATTTTGTTTAAACTGGCAACCCTATTAATAACGTTGATAATGCACATATATTTGGTCTTTTGCCAGTCTGCTGAAGTGCGTTGCGCTCAGGGGTGCCAACCTGAATATAATTTGGGGGGGGGGGCGACGGGGGGTTAAAAGGCAAGTAAGCCCCTCCCTGCATAATCGATCACATGACATGGCACATTTGAATGGGAGTTCCCCATAACTTGGGGGGGGTGTCCCCTTCAAATATGTTATAGGGGTGGAGGGGAAGGGACCTCCTGGGAGTTGACTCTACTTTTCCACGCACATCCTCGTAAAAAAGAGCAGCCCCCATAAGAGGCTGGTGGACGCGTCAGCACAACCCCCCCCAAAAAAAAACAGATGCCAGTCAAAGCCAGGCTCTTCCCTCCCCTCCCCCCGCCTTTCGCCCCACTTCACCCCCCAGGGCATCCTTGCCCATGTGGATTCCTTTTCCTCCCACCTTCAAGTCAGGCCGGTCCTCCCGGGAAAGGTCCGTCTCCGTGACGCAGCGGCGGCCGAGCGTTGTTCTCCTTTAAGAGGAGGAGGTGGGATCGATGCGGGGGGGGGCGGGCGGCAGCGACGACAGAAAACGAAAGTCCTCGCCCACCGAAGCAGGAGAGATTTAAAGGGCCCGCGGCCCCAAAAGAGCTGCCGCCTCGGACACGGAATCCCCCGCGGCTACCTGAGTTGCGCGCAGCAGGCGAGAGCTCCAGCTGGCCGACGTTGCCCGCCTGGAAGATGCTCCCGTGAGCCGCGTGGAGTTTTCCGTTGCGCAGGTGCTGCGCCCTCTTGGCTCCGCCCTCGCGGCTCGGCAAGCGGAGGAAGAGGCCGCCCTCCCGCCCAAAATGAAGCCCAAGGCCGGGCCGGGCGAGCAGGCGCCGGCGGGGAGAAACAGTATTCTTCCCTCCCCGATTCTCAGCCCCCTGGCTGGCGTCCCAGGTTCTTTTTTAAAAATAAATAAAAATAAATTAAAAACATCTTTATTGGAAGTTCAAAAAGTACATAATTCTATGTGCACTAAACATTGTGAGACGTAAATAAAAGAGAGGAATGAAAAAGAGAAACAGAACCCGTGTAGAAGGAAAAATAAAGAGGCTTCCCCGAAACTGTATACTGTACAAGATTGTTATTGTACTTCACCAGATCTTAACCTATTACAGTATTTGTAAGAATGGATTCCAAATTTGTCCATGGCAAGTCTGTGTTTATATGCAAGTTGTTCATATGTTGTGAGACTTCAAACTTAGAAGGGAGCCGCCTTTTTATTTTTCCAGTTCCTCAGGATTTGTCTTTTTGCTGTGGTAAGGGCACGAGATTCCACTCATCTTGTCCTTTTGTAAGGTTGCAGGTGCTGGGTATATAATTCAATAGGATATTTTGCTCTGTAAATGTGAGGTTGTTCCGTATGGTTCTGCTGATGGTTTCAGCTACCCTCTGCCAAAAATCTTTCAATATAGGACAATGAAAAAACATATGTTTTAGAGAAGCATTATCCCTATTGCATCTCCAACAGGCTGGCCCCAGATTCTGGCCTGATGAGAAAGGACTGGAGTAGAATGCTTATTTATTTATTGTACTTATATGCCGCCTTTCTCTTCAAAGGCTGTCAAGGCGGCGTTGTCTACGTGCTTCTCCTCCTACCCATTTCACCCTCACAACAACCCTGTGAGGTAGGTTGGGCTAAGAGGCTGACCCAAGGTGAGCTTCTTGGCCAAGCGGGAATTCGAACCCTTGCCCGTTTCCAAGTACGTTTCCAAGCACAATTCAAAGTGTTGGTGCTGACCTTTAAAGCCCTAAATGGCCTCGGTCCAGTATACCTGAAGGAGCGTCTCCACCCCCATCGTTCTACCCGGACACTGAGGTCCAGCACCGAGGGCCTTCTGGCGGTTCCCTCACTGCGAGAAGCCAAGTTACAGGGAACCAGGCAGAGGGCCTTCTCGGTAGTGGCGCCCGCCCTGTGGAACGCCCACCCACCAGATGTCAAAGAGAAAATAACTACCAAACTTTTAGAAGACATCTGAAGGCAGCCCTGTTTAGGGAAGCTTTTAATGTTTAATAAGTTATTGTATTTTAGTGTTCTGTTGGAAGCCGCCCAGAGTGGCGGGGAAACCCAGCCAGATGGGCGGGGTATAAATAAATAATAATAATAATAATAATAATAATAAATTACACTCCCAGGTCCCCGTCCCAACACGCTTAACCGTTACGCCGCACTGGCTCTTTCCTCTGTCCGCTTTGTCCCCACACCCGTGTGGTTGGCATGTCTCAAGAGATAATGGAGTGCACCTCTGGGGGTGTAGTCCAGCCAGTGCGTTAGCAGCAACCGAGGTGACCTCCCTGGGCAGCGTGTATGGAGGTCCTGGGCTGCCCAGACGACAAGACCCCCACTCTCGGCTTCGCCCATGTGGTCCAAAGGAAAGCAGAGTGATACATTCAGTACCAGCTTGGCTG